TATTGATTTGAGCCTTTCAGCCTGAGCAAGAGCCCCATCCCGCGGATCACGTTTCCAAGGATGAAAATCTCTACAGAACGCCCGAGATATTCGAACTCATGCCGTATGCTGCGTGTAAATGCTCTTTGGATGACCGTTTAAGTATCGGTCTCTGTACTCCCGTTAGCAAACGTACGCCATATCTGACATTGATTAGACTGTTGGTATTCCTGCTGCCTCTTCCGGGAGATGCAATCAGAGATATTACCGATGGGTGCCGGGCAGCAGTAGGGGACCTAGGTCGAAGGCATGATATTGCTCTACAGTGTGCTTGTGGTTGGTGGGACCGTTGAGCTCTCTAGCGGGTACAGACTCGTATTTGAATCAGTTCAACGGACTGCGCCAGTACATGTTTTCTCGCATGTGACTCTACTGAGTTCACTTGATGGCAGCCCACAGGAATAGGTAAAATCCCGACTCATCTCTATTACAATAAATTATAGCAATAAGCCATGAACTCACGTACTTTTAAGGGAATTTGACCACCCAAATATACAGAAACCTTCGTATCTAGAAACGTTGTACGAAAGAACTTCCAGTTCCATGAGCTAGCTCGGGTTCAGTCTATATATAAAGCCTTGGAGGGATCGGCCGGGCGCTATATATACGGACTAGGTGTATTATAAGACCATCTGAGATCTAAGGCGATAAAGGAAACGACATTGCGGGTTGTAGTCTATATACTAGACTTTAATGCGACTGACTCTTCTGTTTACCGACTTCTTAAAATACTAACATCACAAGGTAGGCTAGCTAGATCTATAGACACATACCATATATCACCGGCCCCGTTCCATATCAACGCCCTACGTTATGACAGTATTAGATGAGGCCACAAATCCTTGACGTAAGGGCCGGCCGAGAAGATTACGCATGTGAGAGCGTTAGAGTGGCAATTTCTCTCTGCTGCACATGGCGAGATAAATCTCGGATTTTCAATCATTGACCACCAATAACAGCGACGTCACGGCACGGGTCACAGTTAATCGAATTAATTCGGAAAAAACAATTGGCAAATATCTATTAGTATCACGACTTTAACTTATATAAGGGGTGGGTAATATTGATTGATCTAAGGGATTGGTGCATTTACTCTTCCGGCATTACCAGAGGCCGGCGGGCTTGAACGTCACGTAGATAACTACACGAGCCAATAGCCCAGAGTCCCCTTCCTTCATGCCATAATTACGGAAGAATCTTGTCTCTGATAGGCGACGATTCTAGGACTGGATCCATCCAAAACCAAGAGATCTAGTAGGCCGTTGCAAGAGTTGTGACCACGAAAGTACTACCTCCAATAAGGTCAGTATAAACTTGATAACTGTAAACGGTAGTCCTCTTGGTATTACCTTGCCCTCGTCTCACTACACTGAGTGAATTAACAATCAATTCTACCTGCACTCAGAGTCTTGGTATCCGAGTGATACCTCATGACTCTACAGGCTGGTTGAAGTACAGGGGCTGTCTTGTATCGTTACTTGACTTATTTTGTGTGAGGCTTCTTCATTGAGGATTCAAGATCACATTGCTTAATTATCCACCTACCAACTCGCTGGGGGAAAAACAAGTAATATAGGCCCCGGGGGTGACCTGGTACGGCCGCGGGGTGTTATCGAGAAGGCGAGGTATTGGGGTACTGGTAATCGGGCTCGGTAGTATTAGATTGACGCTACATCACATGTAGTTGTTTGTAACAGAAACGAAGATGTACTGAATACCTGTAGGGTCAGCATTTTGATCCACAGTCTGAAACAGTATCCACTATTTAGTCGAATGCTTGTCAATGTATGAGGTTGATTATGATGTATGTGGAGTAGTACTGGAGATTGGATTATCGCAGGATAAGCTCAAGTTATGTAGTTAGACGCCTGAGCCGCTATCCTCTTGGCACTCTTATTAATCAATCAATCATTATCTTCGCAGCCGTTTCTACCGCTCCGAGTGATATTCTATGATTTCGTGTTCAAGGTATTAGAGGATCTACACTGCTGCAGAATCAGTACCATATCTTTCCTTCGAGTAACCCATATATCGTCTCAAGACTTTCTCAAACATTAAATATTGCGATCTTGACCTAAAACGGAGCATAACCTGAGATATTCTAACCCCCGACCCCCACCGCGACCCCGGCTCCTTGTCCGGGTTAAATATAGTATAATGGACGCCGCGTTATAACGCCAGAATGAAGTAAAGTTTAGTCCTCAGGGCTACTTTGAAAGCGCGAGGAACACTGAAAACCATCTAGTAACTTCCAAGCAATCAATTTTGATTCCAAAAGCTCTTCATAGAGTTGTGTGATTTCTATTTTCGTATTTATCTATGACTTGCTTTCCTTATATTGGGATGTCAATTAAAGTTTGTAGTAGTTCTGGTGCCGGTATAGCCGGCCACTTCCAACATAATATGCTTATATACCTTGGAACTACCAGAAGATGGGGGATACTCAAAGATAGCTTTGGATGGCTTAGCTCGTGTATCTGAATTGCTGATCTCCTCGTATTTCAAGCCTCTTGGGCCTCTGGGTTTAAGGCTGGTGGATTGCGGACGATAAGGCTAACATGGAGAATTCAAATACCGACCTGCAGGCACGGCATTGGATCAGACGGTTCAGTGCTCCCGTCCCGACCGAATTTCTGTGCTTTGGAGGGGAATTAGCTGTGATAGCGTATTTTCCCTTGTTCGGAGGTCAGGCCCAGCCCCACAGTTGCATGGATATTACTAGCAAAATACAAATCCTCCGCCCGGGCCATCCATAGGCTGTTTTCTAGTATCCTTGTTCAGGTTAAGAGTCACAGTACTCAGAGATTACAGTACATATTGGACTTTGTGCCTTTAGTAGTCCCATTAGGAGTGCTGCGGATCGCTGCTGTAAATGTTTTCAAGCCTTTCCAAGACTCTATCTGCTCAAGCCAGCTCGAGCTCCAGGCCAGGCTCGTCTCGAACAGGCTCGTGCCCAACACTATACGAGAATCGCCAAGAAGATCCTCCTCTTCACGGCCTTCTACTCTATGTGGAAACATCACATTGGTGATTGATGTGTTGTTCCGACATCATGCCTGTATGTTAGGTTATCCCCTGTTGCCGCTGCTGCGGTCTGACGTCATGTTAGCGAACCAACATACATTCCCCCGACTCAAAGCTTAAAACCACAAATGAAGCTGAACCGCACTGGATACTGCCTTCAGATCTGACCATTCGAATGGGCATTTCGCCTCATCAAAACTACCAAAAGAGTAATTCAGGCTCGGGCCCGCATATGCGAAGAAGGAGCTTTTGAGATCGAGAACTTATGTGTGAAAGAGATATTCGATGGTCTCAAGGCTGATTAAGAAGTATGTAAATCTTTCAGGAATTGGGCTCGGCCTTCAAGAAGCCCTCAATTCTGACATGTGGTGCCTGGCAGAGATTAGGAAGAACACGCTTCGACTCCGGATGCATCTAGTTGTTGTAGTTTGGCATTATCCATTCGGAGGAGATGGGAATTTTCGCTTATCTTGAGGGTCCAAAATGGCCAGAGCCAGATATAGATGTTTTCTGCCCCTGGTTAGCTGATTGGCATTACCCTGTTTTAAATTTTGGTGAGAACCTTATATAACGTACATCATTTTTCTCCACCATTAAGCTGATCATCGTTATACCCGAGTTTTACCATGGAAAAATCACCATGAAATAACATCTCCACTTGGTGATTCTACTCTACAAAGCTCAGAAATAGCGGAGATCTAGTTTCAATTTTGCTGTTGGCCCTCTCTTTGCAGCTGTGAGTCAAAACATCCGGAGCTCCATGCAGCGATACTTGGTATCTTAGCGCCAGGGACGACGTCTGTCAGGTGGCTAATGATTAATTATGCAAAGGGTCCAATGACATCTTAGTTAGTACGATAGTAGTAACATCATCGGCACCGTACCAGCACCTGAGTAATATAACGTTCCTCTCCCGGGATACTAGATGCATGGCTATTGTGTTTCTTTATATGTTTCCCTACGGCCTGCGCCTGCTAGCTATCTAGCCTTGCAAGACGTCGAAAATGAATTTGGATACTTTATAAATAGGATCGAGGCTGAGGATCATTCTGGGCGCTACATCAATGAGTTGGATCATGGATTGCCAATCATTGAAGGGATAATACCAGTCTGGAGATAGCCCATCCGTCGAGAGATGAAAAACCAACTAGTATGCTTGCAAAATGCGCAGTCCATATACATATAGCGGTTTCAGTACCACCGGTGTACGCGTCTTTATACCTCGGTTTGTAAGCGAAATCAATTACTTGGTTATAATTATTGTTTCCATAGGTTGCAGTACTTACATTTAGTTGGACGCCATCGATCTATCACTGCGCGTGCGTTACACTACATCATGTATATTAACTACATGTAGTTACATGTACATACAGAGTCAGCTTACAACTGATATGGCGCATGAAATAGGTCAAAAAGAAGTCGGCTCTAGTCCTATCATATTGTTCGCCTTACCACAGCCGTAGACACTTATACCCCGGATATACATATCACGTGGCCACGTGGGTAAGGGTAAGTCACCAATTACACCACTGTTAACGAACGGTTTTAAAGCCGGACCTTGCAATCGCATTTCCGAATCAACGGCCGGCTCCACCGAACTTGCCCCCGTAAGGCCGAACGTTTCCACCCGCGCAAATGTGGGACTTTGCAATATCCAAGGTCGAAGTTGCATTGGGATTGGAACGAGCTCCCTAGAAACAATACATGAATTCGAAAGCTCAAGACCATATATACCCTGGCCATGGTTCCTCGCACAGTTCGTTCCAAATAACTTCCATGAACTAAGGCTACAATATATATAAGAGCTAGCTATAGCGCTATACATTTGTGCTGAAGCCTATAACCACATCTTCCAGCCACCTATATATTTCTGAGTCATCTTTGAAATCCACTCGAGTCCTCATTACAAGATACAAGAAGGTCAACAATCTCCAAAGATGGCGCCAGTTATAACGAGCCCATCTATTGCCATTAGCACTCCTGAAATCCCCCTGTTTGCTGTTTCGGCACGTACAAACAATCCCGATTTCCAGCGATATCCACTTCACACATTACATACCAGAGATGACACGAGCGCGAACGTTGATGTAATCAGTGCCATAATTGGCATAATTGCCGTGTTGATCGCAATCATCGGCCTGGTTGAGGGATATAAACGTTGGAAACAATACAGGAGAGATGTATACTACTTATGAGACTTTGCGGCGTTAGGGCCGCTAGGAAAATTCGATGATTCTGATGTATGTTCTAGCTCATGTCATCAGCTGTTGAAGAAAACCGTGTGGGAATGCATGTGCGGCAACCACCCTGCGATCCGCCTCCGAATCTCCCCGCAGCGGATGCGAACCATGTATTCTATGTGGTGTGTGCCATCCTCACGTTCTTACGCATGGTACATTCTACTCCATGTCCAGACGACGAGAGAGATGCGGGAATTGCTTGTGTATCAACTCCTGGATCGGGGACCGCTGGGAATATTGGTTTGCAAAATGGTGCTTGAGAGGATCGATGAAATTGACGTTTGAGTGGTTAGATCTGGTGGTTCTAGGTTTGAAGCTCGTTGCATAATACATTTACGGCGCAGGATGGAGTTTATGAGGCACGAAATATTGTTAGCTTTGAGGACTTTCCTTTTTCTTTCTTTTCTTTGGTAATATATATCATGGGTCATGGGCAATAGATGGGCTGCCAATATGTTAGGTGCATAGGTCCGGGGGTGTTCATGGCGTACGTACGGGTGCTTTTTAAGGATTCGGAGGCTATCGCGCGCGTTCTTTATATGATTTTTTGTTCTTATTTTCCTTTGTATATGATTGGACTAGAAATGACACTATTTTCTTTTGTCGTGATACGTTGGTGCTTTGCAATTTGGGGGCTCTTGAAATTGGCTTTCTCATGGATGTGGACGACGCCTAGAATATTTAACAAAGTAAGATGACCTTATTACTTGCAACAGTACTGATAACACAAAAGTTATAAGGACAGGTTGGGAATTGTTTTGATTATCTGGACTAAGCTAGTCCTTCATCCTCTCAATCCTCGATTCGACGACACTCGATCTCTCCCACGATTCTAACCCGACAACACTCTCCCCCAAATCTAACCCGACGACACTCGATCCCTCCCGCGATTCTAATCCGACAGCGCTCTACCCCCACAAATCTAGATAAACAACCGAACCAAATAACCCAACTTGTTTCTACCTGCTCTGGTAATAATAAATCAACTTATAGTGCATTGCGCCATGTTGTCGATTGGTCCAAGATTGATAGGTACCCGACCGGCACGACGTCATGATCACCTTCTCAATGGTAGAGCTAGGGCTACTAGTAGTTGGATGATGGTAGTTTGTTACTGAAACTTCGTATCTGGATATATGCGCATACTCGCGTAGGATACTCGTCACTAGCAAAAGATGGTCTAATGACGTTGATTGAGTAACGAAGGCGAGTTGATATTGGCGTTAGGAAAGTCCGTTCCATCTCTTTGTATATGCCAATCAATAAGCTGACTCCACAAACCCGTTACCATTCAGATTTGGTGATATTAAGGCCTTTGCGACGGCGAGTTTTCGACTTTCGTTGCGGAATCTATACTGCAATTAATCATTGACTTAGTAACTGGTAAAATGGACATAGCTAATGTATCGATAGGAGTTAGTGTGCTCGTGGTAATATTCGTTGATGAATACTCTATTGTCGAGTTGTTTGGGCGCCTAACTGCGAGTTTTCTTACTCTAGGAGGGAGGGTGGGAGCAATGGGTATTATGTATTGTGTGCGCTGATAAACCAACTGCCCGGGCGGTTAATGATTGGTTTACATGTGCATGCATATATGTCTCACTTTCCTGCCAAGAACTTTATCCACTAATCATTGACACCGCCAAGGAAAAGGGATCCAAGTCATGCATATTGCACGTGGCTGCTTATCAAACTGGTGTCTAAGACCGAGCCCAGTCTCCGATCATGCGGCTAGGTGCTCTAGAAAGCCGCCCTAGAATCATGGACCCGAACTTCTGGTAGCGACTATGCTTTCTCGGATGCGTTATATAAGTAGATCACTTTTATCAATGCAAAGCACGCCATCTTGTTCATCCACAAATCTCGGTTCATTTTCATTCTCTTGGCCAGGACCACCCCTACACTGTTTATTTTCTGACAGGCTTGTGTTAGCTTCCGCCATGTACTGTGGAGATGTTCTTATACTTTGCAGCGAGCTTTGACATAAAGATACATCTACACCAACAAAATTTAAGCTTAAATAGATTAGACTTGACAATTGTGCTCATTCGGAATTTTCCAAAGGCAAGTCTACGCCGTACTGAATTTCTAACCTTGCATAATCTTACACTCAATTAAATCGAATTTTGTTTACATCGGGTGATCAATTGACCCACTGGAAAGATACCCCGAATATATGTGACTTTATAGACGTAAGATGAGATTGCATGGAGCATATTCTTTGTTAAAATTTCTCGACCAATTTCTCCTCCGGCCCCTCAACTCAATCATTTTAACATTGGTAGCTATAATGACCATGATTACGACTTTCTCAGTATATTAGGGAAGTCTCCCTACGTGCCACATATATGGGGATACCATGCATCAATTCTCTATTGGTAGCCTGAAGCTTTGTGTTCTTGGCGCCGAGACCCACAAGGCTCAGGTGTGGACGTTAGACCTGTGCGCATGCGTCATAGCTAGCATGCGCAGCCTTCACCCCCTCGAGTGAGAAAGTATGAAACAGAACTCGAACTATCAACTAGCAACAGCAGTTTCTTGACACGGCTCAACGATATGTATGTCTGTCTATATCTATGTTATTCTTCTTCACCATACGCAAGAGCGTAGGTGGCGACCCTATCCGCCTTCTGGTAGGTGTTTTCACCACGTAAGTAGGAGGCGCCTAGTTTCAAATCCTGCATTGAAAATTTGCAATGTATCTAATAGCTGGCATGTAGGGGAGGCCTAGATCATATAGTCGAACCGTCATCGATCTTTTCTCGGTTTCAGAGTCATAGGTATTGGAGCATCTATCGCCCAACGGATCTCGGTGTATTACGCTTGAGTGAAAAATTGAAACTTCATGAAGCAAGGCTAGGAAGAAACCGCATCAAACCCCCAGGAAACAGCCATTAGACAGATAGCACGCCAAGCAGACAATGCATAGTCCCCGCTCGTGTACATATCCGATCCTCGAGGTAGGTGTAGACATCTAGAATACGTGTAAACTCGTATTGTCGTGATCAATCAAGTATGTAGAAGCCGATGAAAAGTTCGAAAGCCTATGATACGTTTCTCTCGACTCCAAGTACTATGTAGACAAAGGCTGTTCTGTTGTGGAAGACACGTAGGTACATGTGTTAGGCAACCGTCATCCACTGCAGCCTCGACACAGCCTCGTCTGTTTCACGACAACGCATCACTCCGGCTCCCCCCATAACAACAACCAACCACATGTGTTTGAAGAAAACCTCCGCTTCTGTAGCCAAATCAATCGTAATCCGCGCCTCTGTCTCGGAACCTTGTGTGTGCCTTGAGGTGCGGTTATATGTATGTCTTCGAAGAAGATGAATCTCGGTATTGGTCAATACTCATGAGCTTGTGAAGAGAATTCAAGTTTATATGAACAGCATAGCCCACAAGGTTGAGAAGTTTGGAGAGACCCGAGAAGACTCATAGGATAGTTTTGTATCTTTGGTAGCTGCTTAGAATAATTAGTAAGATTTCGAATTTATAATTTTTCGAGGATCATGAAGGGAAATAATTACATATATGTTCAACATCTTGTATCCCATGGCAACAAGTGCATAGCGTCCTCGTCCGCCCATTACATGTACAATAGTTATTCAACCTGAAAAACTTGAAATATTGCTGTTCTAAACGAGTAAGTCATGATAGTAGCTAGGGCAAAACAAGACAACTCAAGACCGGATCTTAGAGCTATGTTCGGAGTATATACCGTTCAGGAACTCTTTGAAATTCTCTGTGAATTAAGTAGGCCCATGCCACTCCTCTCCTATGTCCTCCCCATGTAGCTAAAACCTGCGTGTCAAATAGAGCCTTTCAGTTCCCGATTTTATTTACCTTATTAAGCTACGATAGTACATATATACAGGTATATAGGCATATTGATATGATGCTCCGACTTCGACCCGACCAACTATTTATCTTTATGGAGCGTTAACGTTTCAGTTCACCTCGACTATTTTCGGGTTATGTCGCAGGGTTTTTTCCGGTTCTTTCTCGGGCCGCGGGCCATCTAGTTGGGCTCACCAACGGCCCGGACAGTACTGCCAAGTGGTGTGTACCGGGATTTAGGGATCGGTACGGTATATTTCTACCGGGGCTGGGACTGAATTCGCGTATTTGAGGCCAGAGGCCAGAATTAGTGCTGGGAATTGGCCAATATATCTGTAGAGCCCTAAAGCTCAGAGCGAGCCAATCACTGAGATAATGCACGTAGTATGACATGACCAATGTCCACCCTATCAGCAGCTTTAATTTTCGAGCAGTAGCATGGATAAATGTGGTTCTGTCCACGAGATTCTCCGATGAATGAACTAACCTGTTCTGCCAGGATCGTAATGAGATCAACTGGATTCGCCTATCATTTTTTTTTCTTTCTATTCTGTTTAATTCCTTAAATTCGCCTAGCATTTTGCGGAACCGGGAAATGGGGGCCAGTAAGGGCAGTAGCGAGGGGGAAAGGCGAATTACGTATTTTGCGAAGAGCGAGTGGAGTTTCGGAGATTAAAATCCTAGGTAACACATCTACAGACATTTATAATACATATACAAAGCTCCTACACAGACACTATCTGCTTATGATTTTGTAAGCCCTAACATTGATATATTGTACCTCGAAGACTCCCATTCAACTCCGCACTCGATGTACTCCAATCCTATCGCCGAACCTTCAGCAAATTTCACATTTGCCCACATCGTATCCGACAACATCCAACGTTATAGTCTTCACACACTCCACGCCCGCAATGAACAAAGAAACATCAGTGCAGATGTGATCCAAATAACTACTAGTATATCTGGGTTATTGATCTCTATTTTCGGCTTGATTCAGGGATATAGGTTCTGGAAGCAATGCAAGAGAGTCTCTATGGCAAGTACCTGCCTGCAAGGTCAGCCACTGCAAAAAGTGGCTAGCGTGGCGGTGTCTTGTCTTACATGTATGCTGACTTGCTTAGGCGGCCAATAATGTTGATAACCCTACCCCAGCGAATCCGAACCTCGTTACAATCGACATCAACCGCATCTGCTTAGACATCTGCAAGTTCCACCTGTCACAAATAGCGCCTACAGCCGCTACCCAGGCTGTCGGTGCACACGATCCCGTTGCAGATGTCGGCAATGCGCCAATCCTTGCGGCTGACACTATCGAGCTCGCACCAGCTGCAGCCCAGAATGTCTCGATTGACGAGGAGGAGAGAGGACTTGGACCTACCAGCACAACGGCGACGGTCACCTAAGAAGGTAAAAACCGAAGCAGAAACTCTAAAACACAGCATTCGCAAGCTAATAATGACTATACGTACCACCTAGGCCTATAGTATATATATATACATGTATGCATGTTATGACCATGCTATGGCGCCTGAAGCTTAACATACATGATGCATCCACATCTGAACTATATCTATGAATCTCAGCGCCGAGAATACCAGTAATCCAGCCTACTCCTCAGCAATAACACATATTTATGGAGAAAAAAAATATTTAAAAATATAAAAGAGAGAAAAAAAAGAGAGAAAAAACACATTCCCTCGGCGGCAGGCGGACTTCATGAGAAAGTAGTGGTATTAGAGTCATGCCGGTGAGAAGTGTTAGGGATCGGCAGTTTCTACCAGAGCGAGGTAATTCAGGCCCCGGATTTTCATTTGTTGGTACCATGGTTCGGTCTATTATGGGGAGTTTGGCGCATTCTTTTAGATTTTCTATTTCCTTTTCATTTTTCGTCCACCACTCCTTCCTTACCCTTTTTTAAAAAAAAAATTCTATCTACATTATCATCGTAAGCATGTGAAAAAACATATCAACTCCATATACTACCTATGATGAAAGAGTCCTTACCATGCATTGATGTCCAGCTCGCTTTCCCGATTACTAACACACCGGGCAGTTGACCAACAGTACATTTTCTCACCCTAGGATGCCGATATGGGAAATAACCATGGTCGCGAGCGCTAGCAGGGTCGAAAAGCTTAAACCTGCGTTACCGCATTAATTCGTCTCGACGGCCGGTCACACAGGACGTTGAAATTCCCCTATATGGTTATTTGCCTTGAATACGCCCCCCAATCTCCCTCATGCTGGCTAGAAGAGGCAACTTAGACGTCTTGTGTGACCGGCCGCTGAGACGAATTAATGTGGTACTATTTTTCAACCTTGGCTAGGGCAGCGGGACGCTTAGTCATTAACCCCAAGCAACACCCTGGTGAAGACCCTTGGCAAGTACCACGTCACAATTCCTTGAGCAACGGATTTCCACCATACGGGTCTTTGCATGCTTCTTTCCACCTTCCCCAGGCGAGGGAATGCCATATTTCACGCGCGCCAATCCTTTGCTCGAGCCAGACTTATGCGGGGAATGCACGTTTGGCCCAAAATAACCTGCGGCTTCTAGAAGCCCACCATGCAGATACCCGATACGCTAGGTATTTACCTATCTAGGACTAGGACTAGGAGAACGGCGGTGCGCATGAAGAGTCATTTGTGGGGTACTAGTTGTTGCAAAACGTTTGTTGTGATTGTTTTGCATGACACGTGTGAGGGGGGGGGGGGGGGGGGTGATGAGCTCTGTAACGTCGCTCATTTTGCAGCAGCTTGGTTTCGAGCGGTGAATACGGGTCAGGCCTTTTGAAGTACACAATAATTCTCCAGCTACGCACAGAGGCAAGACCTGTTGTGTATCTGAGCTCCCAGAATTGATAGAACAGGTCAAACGAGCTAAATAGCTGCCCCCGCCGCGGCTCATGACATGATTCAGCAGATGTCAAGCATCGATGTCTTGGAGTCCCTCTTTTGGCCCGAGAAGGTGGGTGTACCTGTGGTTCAGCACGTCTGAGTGGTCGAGGAAAAACGTTGTCAGGTTTGAGCCTCCTCGCAGTTACTACAACGGGTCGCATACGTACATGTATGTACATAATAGTAACCATAACGATTTATCTAAATATCCCGATTCGGTCTCGTGGTTGATTGGGGGTGGGGGGGGGGGGGGGGTCCCGGTCAGACTCGCCAGCACTTTGGTAAGCTGATTGGGCAATCCAGAGTTCGTATTGGTCCAATCCAAGGTTCGTACTCTAAAAATCCCAAAAAGTTCTAACAGACGCGTACGGTGTTGGGCGCCTCTAACGTACAATTGGTACCGGACGGAGGGAGCTCCGCTACATTGCAAAAGAGTAAGGTGAATAGGGTGCCGTTAAGAATACGATGAGATCCATCCATTGGTAGAAAGTGGTGATGGTATCTTTCTGCCACATGGGAGAGTACCTACATGTACGAGCGAGCGGTCGTGCACCCGATCCAGTTGCCACAGAAGGACAATTAAGTACAGTTGGGACCAGATGTCTCAACCGTTGCACACCGCGCGCTTATGGAAACTATGTAACATCGTCCCCCCGGTCGGATCTTTGTTATTTACTGTGTTCCACGTTCGTTTTCTCCATCCGTTATGTACAACAACAGCGCCTTAATAGTCACAGAGAAGCATGAGAGTTATATATCATGCGCATATCTTCATGATTTTGATCAGTACATTTTCCATAACATCTGCTCTTTTGAGCCTTCTCTTGGATTCCGACATCATCATCATCACATACATAAACTGGTGTGAAACTTTATATTGCATTTTTTGGCCATGGACCCAACTACCACGATCACCACCACAACCGAGGCTCTTTCGGCCGACTTTACGTCCGCCCTTGCGGCAAATTCCCACGCACTATATGCCCGGGATGAAAGAAGCGTGACCGTTGATGTTATCACTGTGTCCACTAGCATGATTGGGGTTTTCATTGCCGTGGTTGGCCTGATTCAGGGATACAAGTACTGGAAACATAATTGCAACCATGATGTGAGTAAGACAGTTTAGGATTCAGGGTTAGGGGTATCCATCTGTCTGTGCCTCTGCTTGTGTGGCTTTTGTCTCATGTGGCGGCGATCTTCACGGGAACAGAACAGAAGAGGGGATAACCACAGTCACGAAAGTCAAAGAAATAGAATCAAGCAACCTAAAGCTATGGCTGAGGCTCAATCCTCCCATGTTTTCTGCGGCTTAGAAAACCTGCCATATAATCATTTCTATTGACCCATGACTGTGGGGATCCCATCAACCTATTATATATGTTTCCAAGTCTAACATTCCCGCCTGATTAGTCGCCGTCGACCGCTCCTTTAGGAACCGTACAAACCCTTAACCCACCGCAGAACTCGATCATGGTGGATGCGAATCAAGTGTTTGGCATAGCGTATGCTGCGGTCCTCATGTTCCTGCACAACGCCTTTGTTGCTGTAGCGCCGTCGTTATCGCCAACTGCTATCGGGAACGAGCCGGACACGCCGCGCGTGTATGACCTCGAGGCGGGTGTCGTGGGCCTTCGGCGCATTCGCGATGTTGAGGTGGAGGAGGAAGATCGGGGGCGTGTTGTGGATAGTTTTGCTGCGCGTGCTAGTTGATGTAGATGATATGGTGATGAGGCTATGAGGTTCTGTTTTAACGATTCTATTGTGGGTTGTTGGGTTGTGTATATATAGATCGAGGCCTTCGTGGAACTTTGGAGGATTGTATTAGATTCGGAATTGTTTGATACCAGGAACTAAGGGAATGTGTTCGTTTCGTGAATTTATTTAATCTCTTGTCTATAGTATTCGTATATTGCCGTGGTGTTTTCTGGATCCCTTAAGGCGCTTTGATTGGTTGAGAGCATCGAACCTTAACTCTATACATGAAGTTTTGGGGCCAATATTGCTTCGTCTCAAGATGACGTAGCACTCCAATATTTCGGGATAAGGAAGAAAACAGCTGGACACAAAATTTTTGATAAGTATTATCACACGCTAGAATGCTCCGTCGCTACAATGATAGAAAAAACAGACAGAGTTCAGCAGAGCACATTGCATAACTATATCAGTTTGGTAACACTAGGATTTGGACTGACCGCTGTGCCATCACTGCTAGGATAGGTGTGGCGCTGACTAAGGAGTCATGGCACAAATGTATGTATGGTGCGCCCACTCTTAAAAGTGACCAAAAGTGGCGGAAAGTCAATCGCTGATAACTTTATGACCATGATAGATATCAAAAATTCGGAAAAATAGAAGTATAGTAATAGTGATGAACTTTAGTTCTATTCTTCCGAATTTTTGATATCTATCATGGTCATAAAGTTATCAGCGATTGAAAATGGCTGTTTTTGTATGTAAAAAGCGCCAAGACTGAACAAAGTGGAACAGTATTAATATACCCATTTATACCCCCCGAAAAGCAAACCTGATCAAGTTGTGGCAGTGATGCAGAAAAATGGCTAGAAATGAGCCCTCTGGTTGGCTCATGAGTCCATATTGCAGCCAAAATTGTTCCACATCCATATGCCGCCGTGTCACCTTTAAGAGTGTGCGCACCATAGCTACTTTGGGCTCGGGATATGCTACTTTGGGCGGCAACGTTGCAATGGGCCTACGGTGGAAGAAACTCTGTTCCATAAGAACCTGAAAATGCCGGTGCCAATGACAAGGATAATTTGTATGGGGTCACTGTGTGTAACTGTGGAGGAGAACGAGTACAGTCGTAACTCGATATGCCGGAACTCGTTGTGTCGGATCCCTTGCTGTCCCGGATGAGGTTGGTGGACACTACTTTTCATCACCAAAATGCATTTGCTATCCCGGATATTGGCCTGTTCGGACCGGATGGGAATTCACAGGAGAGTGAACCCCTGTCCCTACAGAAACAAGATCTGCTATCCCGGATGGTTGGGCTTGGCATATGGGTTAGGGTTGGGTCGCAGAGTGGTGATACTCGAGGAGTTTCATTTCTTTCTTTAAATCCTTTCCTACATTTGGGATAAAGACATACTAATAGTGCTTCTAGGGTAGAATTTTGCGACAAATCTAACCATACTATTGGTTTCTTCCTCCGAGTCCTGGTTGTGGAGATATAGTCAAATTCTTGATGATAAAGTTCAAGAAAATCAATCTTTTTCATAATTGGACATTGCAACTTGTGTATTAGGAATGAATATATGCTAATACCTTGTATAGGACAGAATTTAGCGACGATTCTAACCATTCTACCAGCTTGGGTGCGTGACTGCTGGTTGTTGAGCTATATCAGAATTCGGTATAGAAAAGTAATTCCAATGAGGTCGAGAATTTTTAAAATTGGATACTGCAGCCTGCATATTAGAGATGAGTACAAGCTGATAATGTGTATAGGTCAGTTTTTTACGAGAAATTTAACGGTGGTATCAGCATAGGCTTGCAACCTCTGGTTGCTGAGCAATATCACAATACGGTAGGGAAAAGTGATTTGAGATCGAGAATGTTCAAAATTGGATATTATGATATGTGTATTAGAGATGAGTACAGGTTAATAATGTGTATAGGTCAGTTTTTTACGACGAATCTAATGGTGCTATCGGCTTGAGCCCGCGATGGCTGGTTGTTGAGTTATATACAATTTTCAATTTGCAAGCCTCTCGTACGCTGCATCGATACCACTCCCGCTCCAGACAACTGGAGAAGTTAAGTAAGGGTCCTCGTCCTCCTCAACATCACTGGAAGACATGGAATATCTTAATGGTATATCATCTTCTACCAATGCCCATTCTCTTATAACAACAGATGGTCCAGTTGCTGGATTCTCTCTGTATTCGCGGAACGCGCCCGTAAAATACCTATTAATTTTGGTTTGATGGACATACGCAGTATGCTTGTGACTATCCTCAACATTAACTATTGATTCTAATCCAGAATTTAGGGAATACTTACCAAACAAGAGCAACTTTCAGCTCAGATACTTGCTTGACCAAGTCATCAACCCCGAGCCTCTTCCCCCCGTTACTGTACAGCTCTGTCGTTTTAAGAGACTGGAGGTAGCGGGAAAGCTCTGATGCATAATGGATTGCACCTTCAGTTGTAACAACTGCTAAAGCAGCTGGAATATCGTCAACTTCTACCTGTGTGCTCGTGGTTTCGGATTCTTCATTATCCATGCTGTCATATTGGTCAAGTAGGGACGGATCTTGCAGGAGAATGCCTGATGCGATACCTGCCTTTACCAGTTGGGATGTGCTTGGTAGTGCATTCCCTCTGATTTCTGAATCGGTACTCTCTTGAACAGCATCTTCGTCCAAGGAAAAAAACTCCTCAAATCTTTCTGCCCATGTAGGGTCGGGTAGTTGAAAATCTGATAGAGGGTCAAAAATGCGGCGCATAGCAATCTGACAATGGGTGCGCTGGGAAGCAACAAAATATTGCACTTGGTCTTCGGGTCGCTGTGGAAGTAAAGAGTTGCAGTTGAGGTCAGTATTTTGAGTTGCGCTTCCACCACAAATGTCCGCTTTTCACCAGCAGTTGATTATCGTTTGTGGGGTTACCGCATCCCATGCGCTTGATATTAAATGCACAGCTTGCAAAATATTGATTTTCTCAGGAGCAACTCCGTGGTTGTTGAAGTACTGTACCATATTGTCTGCATATTGACGGCGATAAGCAGATTTGAATGCTTTTATTATTCCTTGATCTAAAGGTTGAAGTCTTGATATAGTGTTTGGTGGAAGGTAAATAAGAGTTATGTTCGTTAGAACAGGGGGAGTTGGGCCATTGTAGTTCTGAGGAGGGTGAAGCGGGTGCGGATGTGTAGGACAATTATCAGTAACAAGAGCTACGTTACGATTCTCAATCCTCATTTGTTGGTTAAATGTCCGTAGGAATTCATACCACAACCCAGTCAACATCCAGGCTTTTTTATTATATCGGTAAACAACAGGCAAATTGGCGATGTTAATGCGGTTTTTCTTGAATGCATGCGGCTCTTTTGCTCTCGAAATCACCCAAAGCTTTCTTTTATCGGTTCCTGTAGAATTAACGATGTGAAATGTTGAAATACGCGTTTTTGAATCCTTCGAACCGGTGATCTGTTTTCCCTTGTCCTTTTTGACGTTTGAGCTTTGTGGTTGTTTATTGTAAACCAAACCACTTTCATCGCAATTATATCGGTCTGGTGGGGCAAATGGTGCTAATTGCTCTGCTAGTCGCTCCCTGTATACAGGTAGCATGGTTTCGTCGACTTGACCAGCTTCCCCATGTCGTTTTAAGCGACCGATATTGTACCTCCCCTTAAAGTTGGTCAACCACCCCCCTGACAACTCAAAAGACTCATAGTTTTCAAGAACACCTGCATTCAGAAGCTCTTTTTGAATTGTCTTTGACTGCGAACGGATTATATCATCTGTAACTGCAATTCGTTCTGATTCTGCCGCATCTATCCAAAGTGCAAGAAAATGCTCAAAAAATGGATATTGGGCGGTCCTGGATTTCTTCTTCTTTGAATCCGGACCTAATATTTTGTTAGATAACCTAAGAAAACATAGATTAAGTTTTCTCATACCGCTTGGTGGATCTTCTTTTGCCCTCTTTTCCCATCCCTTCAAATGGTCCGAGAGACTAGATGTTGCAAGGGGCCGCCCATCTGGACGTCTTGGGCATTCTTCCAAAAGTGCAAATAAAGATAATTTCAAGTTTGGAAATCGCTCTCTCAATTTACACAATTTGTATTTCTCTAATGGAGTAAAACCGGCAATGTGCTGTCTGCGCTGGATAGGAGGCATTTTGGATGTGGATGGTAGAAAGCCGGCAAGAGTTCAAGATACATGGTCACGGCATACTGTACCTATACTCTACACTCCCCTATAGTACCGTACCTATAGTCTACGCTCCCCTATATTTACTTTTTCCCTTTTTTTTGCTGTCCCGGATCACTTGCTATCCCGGACGAATCCCTCAGAGTCTTGGCCATCCGGCATAGCGAGTTGCGACTGTACTCGGGGCAGGCAATAAGAACCTGAAAATGCAAGCTGCAAGCAGGGGCTCAATTTGGTGTAGCTTTTCGCCAGCCTCGAATCAGAGTCGTTACCATACAAAGTCATTTTCAGGTTCTTCTTGCCTTGCCCGAGTAGGTACGGGTAGGATATCAACCCTGCGCACAACTCTCACTTTGGCCTATCGAGGCCTATCAAACAGTGTGTGGGCGGTCGGGCCACGCACCGCGCCGATTCATAGCTACCCTATCAAACTCTCAAGACCACCCCCCTGTCGATCATAGCTTACCACCCTATCAAAGGGGGTACCGAGCTGGTCCTAACCTGTAGGCTGCATCTAGATCTCCTCTATCTACATGTACAATTCCTATAATATATAAGAACCAGAATGACGAAGACCACAATCAGAAACCATTTTCAACATAATATCGCGCAAGTAGCTCTACTTTGGGCGCAGAGCATAAAGCCTAAGCTTATAAGCTTTTCATTAGTGCGGACGTACTCTGGAGCATCTCCCACCGCACCTCCCGCCCCACCCCGGACACCCTCATCATACCGGTATACCGCGCGCCACGAAGAAATCAAGATCTATAATTCAAAAGTGAGAGCTACAAATGTTCAACTCAACTCTTACCATATCAGTTACAGCCACTGTTACATTGCAACTGGCCCATATTGCACCATCCGAGAGCCTCCCAAGAAACACTCTTCATACGCTCGATACCAGAGCAGATACTAGTGCAAGTGTCAACTTAATCGCCATAACCACCAGTCTGGCCGGTGTAGTAATCGCTATAATCGGTCTTATTCTTGGATACATATACTGGAAACACCCACGGAAGGCCGCAAGTCCGAGTATTGGGGTTAGGACCACGATACCCCCGTCATAGGGTTAGGGCTTACTCAAATCTCTCTTAGTCATCACCTCTTCCTGTTCTCAACCCTAGCCCACAGCTTCCAGGTTCGACATTCAATGTCAACCGTATGCATGTTCTCGTGCAATGCGTGGTATCTGTACATCCCACCTCTTCCGAACCTGGAGCGGACCCGGAACTAGGCCGAGTGTCGACCCTCCACTCTAATCTGGACAGGGTTGAGCTGGCAGAAGAGCTCGGGCTAGAAGTATAGATGTTTACTTTGAAGATTGTGAGTATTGCATTGTGGAGTTCAGGTCCGATTTGCTCTATAAATCTAATGTAACGAGTTCGATCATAGGTTATCGGATTTTGTTTTATGTGGCGTAGGGGTGTTGGAGTTGGAGTTGGGCTGCTTCACGATCGTTTTTAATATTTTCTTTGTAGTATGTAGTACATTTAGGGCGCGTGTGGTTTAGAAACTACGTTAAGCGGAAGTCTTGTTAGCACATTGCTAACTGAGAAATATTAAAATAGAGTTTTGGTCTGCCAAACACGAGCTCAGTTAGGTGAATTTTGTTACAGGTTTTTGTGGGGGATGCGCATTGCAACGAGATAACAGAGTTTTGGTAAAAGTGTGTTGCATAACGGCATTTGGGGGTCTTAACCTCCGTTTACGTGGTTGCCAAACGCTTTCAGGCTGTTCGTGATCGTGATCTTGACTTGATTGATGATAGATGATGATAGGTCTAACTGTGGGATAAGCCCTTGATCTGAGTAGGTTACGCTTATGACATGTATGCGTGACCCGCTTAGGCCACGAATCCGACACCTATGCTCTAATCCTTGCTCTAGCCCTCACCTGCGCCACAACGCGCCCTTAAAACCTATTATGGCTCACTGTGGCGAAGCCTTTCTTTTGTGGCGGTCTGAAGCCACAGCGAACCTTGGCGAGCGATCGGCGGTCGGGTCGATACGAGACCTGTTAGCTTAAATGAGGGAAACGTTTCTTCAATATTGGAGTAGCGGAGTTTCCTGAGTGTAGGTCGATATTAGTCCAGCCTAGAAGCGAAGAATCAGTAATCGGTGCTTTCCTAGGTACTATCCCATTGGTCCAACAGGACTCAATAAATGCACTTTTATGCAGAACTGGTGGCATCGATCTGTGCAGCTGCATCATCAAGATTTCCTTTCCGAGCCCCCCGTGTTTCCTCTATCCCTTGGGCGGATGAAACCTGCAAATTCGCGACTTCCCTCTTTCAGCTATCACTAGCCTTATGTGGTAATTAGAGCTGATTTTTGGTTGGCTCAATTATTGTTATCACCTGTAAAAAGAAAGACAATTGCCTTACTAAGTGCGTGCACGGTCCAGGTCGCGAATTTGCAGGTTTCATCCGTCCAAGGGATAACTAAAATATTAATATGTAGATTGATGTCGTATTAATAATGAGGCGCGCTAGGCCCAATTAGGTTAATTTGAGACCAGTCATTTCATATTCAGGTTGGGGATATATATGTACAGTACATATACTTGAATGTATATATTAGCGCGCCAGGTTATAGCAAAAACTCTATCTTCTTTCAACCGAAAGTCACGCCGCCAGATTACGCACAACCTGCCAGACTCGACTCCTCATTGACGTGGACTTTGAACTTTCTATATCCCTTTTAACCCCCCCCCCCCCCCCCCCAACTGCGTATACTGTCAGCGGGAAAGCCTGACGGTGTCGGGCTCAGAAAAAAAGGCTCTATATCCAGAGATTATTGAGCATCTATGAACACAACTACTCACACTACCGCACCCGCTGCACCAACCTTTACATTTGACCATACTCCTCACACTCTCTACGCAAGAGAAGATATAAACGCGAGTGCTGACCGCGTGATCACTATCACCACCAGTCTTGCTGGTGTAATAATTGCTATAGTTGGTCTTATCTTGGGATACATATACTGGAAACATCCAAAAAAGGCTGTAAGTCAGAACACATGTACAAGTAGGGTTAGGTCAAGGCTTGCGGCTCAGCTGCTTATGCCATGTTTTAGTCATTAAAGACACTTCCAATGGATAACCCTAGCCCACTTCCGCGATCAGTGGATGCCCGCCCTGTTCTGTGGCTCGCCTTTCCCATGCAGTTCGTGATGGCACCTGTGCGCCCCGCCCCTGCCGAGCGTGAAAGCGACCCAGAACTTGCTCGCGTGTCAACCATCCACTCTGAGCCCGAGGATGCTGTGGAGTTTGAGCCTGTCAGATAGGAACTGGACCGAAGGATGACCCAAATTAAGTGCCCGGTTTGAAAATTGTAAGTTTTGGGGCTCGTCTCCGGCTCATTTGTTTCTGTGAAGTCTAATATCGATCACGTGTAGGTTACCACATGGGTTGGCGTCGTTTAGATCGAATGCATAGCGAGGAGAACATTCTTTTTGGTTTCTTTTGTTTTTTATGTGGCGTAGGGGTTGGGGAGTTGGTATCCGCTATACGATCGTTTTTTTCATTTCTTATGTTTATATTTAAAAACAAAAATATTATTGGGTTCTACATACCTGTATCCTGCGTGCATGGATCTTCTTCGATAAAACCCCATTGTTCTTGGTCTGAGAACACCAGATACTTACATGTACCGTATACCAAGTGCAACGTGGGGGGAAACCTCCCAAATCTAGCCACCCCACATTCTGGATGGCTGGAGGGCCCTGAGTGGTAAGAAATATAAACTGCCACAGTGAGCCACAAGTAACCCCCACGCCACACTGTCTGGAATGAGAGTGTTGTTGAATTGCTAAGTGATGTCCCCAGGACGTGTTCTAGGGATGTGGTGGTGCCAAGCTGGTTTCCGTATTTGTTAATTAACGAGCTTAATTCGACTACAGCTACAGGGATGTGCGCATGCACCCTTCTAAATGTGGGTGAGTGCCAAGCATTAGTAGATGACTAATATGCCGAGACACCTATCTAGCAAGAGCGGCGGTTGTGGAAGACTTTGGCTTTTTAAGATCATATCGTTCTCCTAGCGCAATACTAGTTTCATCATCTTAGTTATCGAGCTTTTTCTGTCTCTACTCGCGAACTTCTCCAGCAGATATTGAAAACAGCTAACGACACTTACCCGTCTTGAAAATTCCGGTAACATCTCCACCACTCCAACTCTCTACTACTGCGGTTTAGTTGTTGGAAGAGTTGGCTGCTGATTGAAGATCAGTGCCTATAGTTATACACACAAGTTTCGACAAAGCCGTTTCTGGACTGACGGGTTGGAGCATATCCGGGATCCAATTGATTAGGAGCCTTCCTTCAGGCGATTCAATATCCACGTGATAATGCTGTCAAAGGTTCGCCCAATCTCTACCGATGTCGGTATTCCATAAACTATCGATGCTGACACCTCTTGTCAGATTTAAAGTCACAGCAAGATTGGGCAACAGATCAATAAATAATATGATTGGCTCTAGCTACCTCTTGGCCTCTACAACGGGGTCAGTATTGCCTCGACGGTGTACGATTTGAGTGCTTAATTACATTACCTCTGATCATTAACTACATAGCTTATATCTACTCTAGCATATCTGACCCATCATCGACCGAAGATGGACCCTGGCATTACCAGGTGTGTGTTCTCATCCGATCCACTGGAAATAACATATCTGAGATCTTCGATTAGGCGAGGGGTGGGATCGATACAATGCGTCGGCTGGAAAGAGTGGACTGATAGGTTGAGTATTGACTGATCTCCCATGTTATTACATCGTGGTATCAGCGTACCTAATAGGCCACTCTGGGTCCTTTTTCGCCTACCACTCGCATCATCCCTTTCCCAATTGGCTTTGAACCTAGGCTTGTACACAGCCTCCTATCGGAGTTGCTGGAGCATATCCCTCTGACGTTAGTTGTGATCTTTTCACTGGGGTTAATTTGAGAGCTTTCCGACGTTGGAAAGGCTGCAGCTGTTAGAGGTAGGGGACCTTTCGGGGCCCAATTTATATTCGAAAATAAAGTTCTTTTTTGATTTTATTATTCTTTTTTTTTATGCAAATTAAGGTTTATTTTGACCCCGGTGTCACAATTCGGACTCCGGCCTACATCACACTTCGGAGCTCGACCGGCCTAGGAAATGGAGGGTGTCGGGTTTTTTCCTCCCAGCATTTGTCGGAATGTCAATTCCCCAGACCCTATGGTGAGCAGCGTGATGCTCGTAGATGATGGGCACGAAACTAATTTGGACCTATTCATACATTTATTTATCAGTACAGCTGTCCTTACGAAAAAGTTTGAGAAAGGAAGAACAAACTTCATCCGTTGAGTAACATCTGCAGGTGCAGTCTCAAGAGACTTTAGTCTTGGTCTTCCTAAATAGACTCCAATATCACACGTCTGAGCCGCCAAGCAATGTCAATTTCCCTCGCAACACAGCGGCAGTCTGGCTTTAAGTTTACCTTGGTTGGAGCGGATTTTCTAGGGCTGTGTTGACGCGACCTCAAGAACACACATAACTACTGGCTGGCTGCCGAAGCCACGATTGGTGTATCAGCATTAGGAACCGGCATTCTGTGCGGCCACAAGTATCGGTGGTGTACCGTTAGGCCTGAGCTCATCCATGCCTCAAGTGGAATACTCCGTCTCTTCTGTGCAGGAACCCGCTGGAGGTGCCAGTCTCCGTCAGAATCGTGTTTCATCTAGCCTGAGAAAGCGATTCCTCATATGCCGTCCCCTATCTCATTCGTTACCGGGAGTGTGGATGCTGGCTACAATTCGTGGTAGCCAATAATTGTGACGCTCGTGTCTTCAGGACCAGCGAGCTAGCTCGGGGGCAGGTAACGGTACCGCTGAGCCAGACTCAAGATGCGCTTTAGTAGTTGGCCCTGGCTTCGTAACGGTCAAGCATTCAGTCCATGTGGGTTTGGATCTAGGATCAACCATGCATACATGTACATGTGCATGATGTACCGATAACTTTCGGGACCAATGGCTAGGGCGAATAAACGCATGCTTGTATAACGGCTTGGCGGGGAAGAAAGCTTGTCCGATGTGCCTGGACTCGTGGAGCTAGGTTGATGGTCTGTGCTTGTCAGTGCTAGCTAGCCCCATTTGGCTATCTCATATATGATTTAATCATAGACGATTATGCTAATTTTCTGATCCGATGGAAGGTTTACAGGGAATAGCTTATCAGCGTACCATCGGTGTAACTGGTCAACATTCCCGAATGTCTAATTGGACTATGGTCTTGAATAGGGAGATACATAGCATTATCGTCGGTATATTCAGGCTGTTTATTTAACTACGAATATGAACAGTGGAAGAATATATCGGGGGTTTTACTGATGGAAATATATATATATGCCCTCCTTGTATGTGCCCCCACATCCGCATATATCGGCTTTTTGTGATAGTTTGGATTTCACGCTCTGGAGAATGTGGAAGAAACAACTTCAAACATCACTGGCCTATGTTATGGTTCTAGATACAGACAGCACCACCTAATGGCGCACGATATGTGGTATTCAGAAAATCAAGGTCTCACATTCGCAAGCCAGTACGTAAAATAAGAAACCCCAGATCCCTGTATTTTATATACGAACTAATAATGAAAAAAAAAAAAAACGCCATAAGAAACGCACAAACCCCATCTAGATATCCATCTCCTCACCCTCGAGCCACTGCTTCGCCTGCACGTACAACAAATCATGCTTCTTCCCGGTGAGACTATCGCCCTCATTCCTGTGTCCTGGCATATCCAGCATGACCTTGACACCCATCGTCTCCTCCTGGCAGTAGGCCAAGTACCTGTAGCCCTTGGGGAAAGTCGCCAGCTTCTCATCGTCCAGCTTTGGCACCTTCCTGGGGTCCACGGCGATCAGCTTGTCCTTCTCGTACCAGTGCCTGACAAAGCACGCGCCCCACTTGCCCTCCCGCTTCTCGAAGAGGAAGAAGAAGCGGCAGTCGGACTCGGCGTCGACCTCGCAGCCGTCGAGCACGAAGCGCTGCGTGATGGTCGCCTTCATCTTGGTCACGGCGCGGTTGCGCTGGATGTCGGTGGTGGTGCCGTGGATGCGGTGCATGATGAAGGCGCCGCGGTCCATGCCGCCTTGGGAGGCGGTGATGAAGTCCGCGATGGCGGTGCGGCCGGTCCAGGTTGTGTAGACGTAGGCGTCGGGGTAGTGGAAGATTGACTTGAAGTTCTCCCATTCGCAGGCATCACTGTTCGGATGGGTGTTAGTGGTGGGGGTGGGGGCTGATTCATGCAGCATTGGAGGAGGTGAGGTGGGGGAGGGATGTCATCTTATTACCGGTAGCATGGCCAGCCTTCGGCGAGCTCGCGGATCTTGTAGCGCTCGAGGGCAAGGTCGTCGGGGCCGTTGTTGCGAACCGCACCCTCGGGGCGGGTGTTTGGCGGGAGGGAGTGGAAGTCTGGCATTGTTGCGGGAGATGGTTTTACAAGCTTGATGGCAGAGGGAGCTAGAGTGTTGAGGATCTGTTGGAGGCGTGGAATGGATGTATTCATATATATGTGTATCTCTCTCTGATTGAGCGGCCTACTCGTGAACCTTTTATAGCACTGTAATTTACAACATCTCTTCGTGCACACTCATACTCACGCCGACAAGCCCGACTTCAATTGCACATCCCCTTCCATCCAGACTCGTCGCTGTGTGAAGGTTCCCGACGATGATGTGGGGTGGAGAGGAAGCGAACCCCAACCCTAGCCGAGACGGCGGCTATATGTTTACCCGTGTGCCAGGGGTGTGGAGGGGTGAATGCACTGCCGAGGGTGTTGTGGGGTAGAGCGAGCCAGTGCCATGATGCCTCGATGCAGACACAGAGAGACGGAGAGAGAGAGAGAGAGAGTAATAGTACTGATTATAGCTCGGACATAACCGGCATTCGTGGTGTTAGCAAATGGTAACCAAGCACTGTGCAGCCAGTGCTGTGTTGCCCCAATGCCGAGAGTAGGCGGCGACAGCAGGAGTCAACAAGTGAAGTGATTGTTAGATGCTGAGTGATTGCTAGTGGGCTGTTGGTAATCCTGACACTGACACTGACACGGACACGGACACGGACACTGACCGGCTGCGTGAGTGCATGAGATCGTCCCTTTGTAGGTAGGTGGTAGGTAGGTACGTTGCCCCTCTCACACGCACACGCACACCGTCCCGCCCCGCCCCGCATTCTGGGCCCCGAGTGGCCATTCTTAAAACTGGGGACGTCGCATCTTCACTTCTCTTCTTCCTCATCACAGAGCATCAACCACACTTTACTCCAATTCAATCCACAGCCCACCACCCACCACCCACCACCCGTCCTCCTCTCTACTCCACTCCACTCCACTCCCCACACACTCCACACAAACCACCGCCCAAAATGGACCCCACCAAAGTCACAATCCCACCCATGAAGGACCTCACCGACGAAAACATCACCGCAAACACGCACATCATCAACTCGCAAGGCCCCGACAAGCGCTTCCAGTTCCTGATACACAGCCTCGTCACGCACCTGCACGACTTCTCGCGCGAGACGCGCCTGACCACGGACGAGTGGATGGCCGCGATCCACTTCCTCACGGCGTGCGGCCAGAAGTGCACCGACACGCGCCAGGAGTTCATCCTCCTCTCCGACACGCTCGGCCTCTCCATGCTCGTCGACGCGATGAACCACCCGAAGCCGCCCGGCGCCACGGAGGGCACGGTGCTCGGCCCGTTCCACACGCATGATGCGCTGGAGTTTGAGAATGGGCAGAGCATCTGCAGCGAGGGGAAGGGCGAGCCGATGCTGGTGCTGTGTAGTCTGAGGGACACGGAGGGGCGGCCGGTGCTGGGGGCGTCGATTGACATCTGGGAGACGGATGAGACGGGCCATTATGATACGCAGTATGCGGATAGGGGCGGCCCGGATTGCAGGGGCATACTGCGTAGTAATGAGGAGGGGTTCTGGTTTAAGGGGATTAGGCCCGTGCCGTATCCGGTGCCGACGGATGGCCCGGTGGGCGATATGTTGATGAAGTTGAAGAGGCATGCGTATAGGCCGTCTCATATGCACTTCAAGATCAACGCTCCCGGCTTCGACGAGCTCGTCACGTAAGACCTCCCCCCCCCCCCCATATCTTCTCTAGCTAACGCAAATAAACAGCGCCCTCTACGTCCGCGGCGACCCCTACGAAACCTCCGACGCCGTCTTCGGCGTCAAGTCCAGCCTCATCATCGACCTGCGCAAGATCGAGGACGCGGCCCTCGCCGCGAAGCACGGCATGAAGGTCGGCGACTGGCTGCTCGTGCACGACTTTGTCATCGTCACGAATGAGGAGAGCGATGCGCTGCGCAGGCTGCAGGCGAAGGAGGCGCTGAAGAAGCTGGGGAGTGTGGCGACGCTGAATGAGGATGGGCTGCCGACGGCGGCGGAGCTGGACTGACTTGTGGGGGCGAGGGCGAGGGCGAGGGCGAGGCTCTGATTTGGCGGTGTGGGGTTTTCTTTTGCGTTGGGTTGGACTTTGGGGGCTTGGGCACTGGGATGGGACGGGACGGGATGGGATGGGAGTTGTATATAGCTTGTTGGTTTGTGATGCATGTTTGCTACGAATGGCTTTGGCTGTGCTTCTGGAATTGAGACTTTGGTTTGTTTCTTGCGGTCTTTTGTTTCGTCGAATAACAACCAGTACTCTACGTGACGCCAACCCCACGACTTATCGCAGCTGAACCAAAACCCATGCCGGTAAAGTAACACTTGACCAACTCGTACTTCCTGCTACGCTACTTGATCCCATTGGCGGATCACTCACTCTACACCAGGGATAGGATAGGGTGTTTGACCCTGTCACTCTAGAGCCTCGGGAATAACCAAGTGAACCATATGGCGCCGGCGCCATCCATGCTCCCACTGGTTCACGCTCGATCTGCGGCGTCGGTGGTTGGCGCCGGCCATGACGAGTAAAAGTCTCCGGTCTCTGTGGAGTAGCGATGCTTGGGCTTACTAGTGCATGGATACGCGCATCCAGTTAAACCCGCGTCTACTACTATTGCATGGTAAAGTGCAAGTGCAGTTGTGATCTGATCTGCAGGCAACGTTCTCTCCCGGTCCATCTTTATTATTTGGGCCCGCCCGCCTGGGATCAGGGTGTAAGACGCATCCCGATACGGACAGATAGTAATATAATAGCCAATGCGACGCAAGGTCAATGATTCTTTGGCGGGTAAAATGGGAATGTTACACAACGTATTTCGTTTGGACCTGTAGCACATCACGGAATCATCACTGAGACACAGAACCGGCATGGAACGAGCTTCAAAAACACCATTTGATTTTCCAACCAACCCAGTCCGATAGATATGCCAAGAAAAAGAATAAAAGGAAAATAATCTATTTACATACTCCAAAAAAAAAAAAAAAAAACACATTTCGCTTAGTTATATGCTAGTCAAGTGACGACGATGGTCTAGTGCTTGCCCTGGCGCGCCTTCTCCAGCGCCTCCCTAATGACAGCCTTTGCATGGTCGACTGGGAACTCCTCGAGCTTCTTCTCCGCCCACAACACCTGCTGCGCGATACCCTGGTGCATCATTGCCTCCGTTCCCGGAATGACCGCCCAGCCGTTATTCTCGCTGATCTTGTAGAACTCGGTGATTGGGTGCGGGTGGTAGCACATCTCGTGGACATATCCCTTAACAGCACCCTCCGCCCTCTGCACGTCCCTCTGGAGGAACTCCTCGGCGATCTTCCTCGCCAAGATCTCGCCGGGCTCCTTCGGCGGGAAGTCAGGCACGGTGCCGATAACGACCACGGGGGCCTCGAGCGCCTGCGCTTGCTCGAGCGTCGCAACGTGGATGATGTTTGCGGGGCACCCAGCCGCCTGGAAGGCGTCGATGATGGCCGTCACTTCCTCGGGGATGCGGTTGACGAGGTAGACCTGCGAGGCGCCGAGCCACTTCCAGCACGTGTAGACGGCGCTCCTGCAGGCGCCGCCGCCGCCGACGATCATGGCGGGCTTGCCGGCCGAGCGCGAGAGCAGGTCGGGGTGGTTCTGGAGGAAGGCTTCGCGGATGCCGATGCAGTCGGTGTTTGTGCCGATGTAGCGCTTGTTGCCGGCGGCGTCGAGGCGGAGGAAGATTGTGTTTATGGCGCCGATCATGCGGCCTTCCTCGGTGAGGTCGTCAACTTGCGAGATGAAGTTGACTTTGTGCGGCATTGTGACGGCGGAGCCGATGCAGTTGTCGGCTTTGAGCTTGGGGAGGAAGTCATCGAAGTTGGTGGACTCGACGAGTGAGTAGTTCCAGGTTGTGTTGAGGGCGCTGAAGAGGGTGTTGTGGAGGAGGGGGGCGAGGGAGTGCGCAATGGGGTAGCCAAAGAGGTATGTCTTCAGAGGCTCGGTGAGAGAGGTAGGGGTGAGGGGAGAGGTGCCGTAGGCGTAAGAGAGCTTGAGGGTATCGGTTTCGGCAGACATTGTAGTGGTAGTGGTGGTAGTATTAGGTGTGATAATTTTTTTTTTTTCCCGTGTGTGTTGGAGATGAACTGATGTGAACTTTTTTTTTCCTAGCAAGAAGCAATGAACATACGTTTTTGAGATGGAATCTGGTGATAATTTCTTTCGTCTAAAACCAACTCCGATGGGGTTTTAAGCATCTCTCTTCCCTTCTCCGCAGTTTTGCTTCTTTCACCTCGGCCACACTCGGCGTTGTAGGGTTTGCGGGTTGCGCTGTGCCCCAAGACAACGCCCCCAAGCCCAAGCCCAAAAAACACCATGGCCACTGGCTGTACCTGGCCACACACACCCCATCACCTCCATCACGACCATCACCCCGCATGTATGCACACCTCGTATGGGGTCAGGTACCAGATGGCATAAATCATTACCCGTGCCGTTCGCCGTGGTTGAGGAGGACGAGAGCACGAGTGCGGGGTATGCAGATCATTGGCGGATAATCTCATATCCTTCGCCTTTGCGCGGAGACTCGGAACGTGCGGGTTAAACGAGTGTGGGGTGGGTTAGGGTTGGTAACGCCAATGATCATGCAGGGGTGCGAGCCAACCTGGAACGTCTAGCTGCCAAGACATCCCGTACTCCAGTTAACTTCGTCCCACGTGTAAGCACAACACCCGGTAATCTTCTAGAACCTTTGTCAGGTGATTCCGGTGCAGTCAACTACCCTGTTTTTCGGGCATCACTCGGCCGGCAGCTCGAGTGTCAAGTTTGGTGGCTGGAATGGCGGATTCTTTCAAGCCTCATTCGTAAAATTGTTCTGAGCTTTGGCGTTCTGGCGCACTCGGCTTCTTAACTACTGCACCTTTATTCTTATGTCGCCACATTTTAAGTGCCGTGTAGGTATGTACGTGTCTACTACCGAGACACGCACGGAGTTTGAGTGCGAGATACCGATGGGTTTATTCCTCTCTAGATAGTTAGTAAGACTGTCTCTCGACTGTGGAAAGCAACCAGACCTGTACGCACCTGAATTCGCAAGTTCTGAATGCAGTCTACTTCCTCCAGAGCTTCATCAACTCGCTACCTCATCCCGATGTACTCCAGCATATCAATATGGCGAGTGATACTCGGTGACTTTATCCGATCCTGCTTACCTAACATGCAGTTGTACGGCTAAAGCCGGCGTATGGCTTTCTGCCGTAATAATACCCATTCCGAAATTCGCTTTTGATATGGTTTGTAAGTATTGATAATTCAACTCTAAACAGTTAATCATGAGTCAGAGCGGATATATCCTAATATCCGTCAGCTTTATAATCTGTAGAACAGGTTGTAACATATTAACGGTACGCTACCTTTGAATCAAGAGTCGAAGAGAGACTTGGAACCGATCAATATACCCGCACCCGGGATTTCCTCGTTGTTATATATTTCAGTTGATAATACGGAGTCATCAACCGGAGTTTGGTTGTAGTACCCCCAGTAGTCATGCCTTTAGCACCCGACCTCACATCCCATCACTTAGCTACCAAGACCAACCCCATTTCTTTGAGGTTCCTTTTGTCTTAAAAAACCTTGAGTGATGTGGATCGAACTGTGTTCCTCACGGGATAGTTCTTCTCCCCCGCCAGTCCATGAAACATGAGGAGCTGGTAAATACCGGATCTGGGTTTCAGAACCCCGTTTCTGCATTTTTATTCTGATAGCTAGTACTCCTCAACTCTTGTGTCTGCATTAATGCAGTTGAAGCCTGAGGTCGTGCCAGCTGGGTAATGGAAGAATTCCATATGACATTCATAAGTCATTAGAAATTGGCCACTAGGATAAAGACATGTGCTTAATCATCACCACACCGTCTAAGTGAGTGATGATCTATCGGGTACTCAGGAACCCTACCGCTTTCATTCATCGGCGGAATTTTGTGATGGAACGGTCATGGAGCATGCAGAGCTGCTCGATGCTTCTAACCAGAATGTTGTATAAATATGAGTGTCCATACTACGGCCTCTGTATTGTCGGTGTGGGTGTGTGAACACCTATGTATTCGCTTGTCCTTGAACATCGATGTTGGAAGTTAAGGTATGAGCTTCGTGAGAAGGTGTGTTTGTGCGTACGTACATGTAGCTAGGAGCGTGGTAGGCCGGATTACCTAAAAGACTTAAGACCACAGTTCATTACGGCATGGCACACACGATGTTCCCCCAGAAAAAGCACGTGCACACTACCGGGCATGCGCAGGGAAGCCCGCTACATACAAGTACCACCGAACCCTAATCTTCACCAATACTACATGTACATGTAACTTACACGACTATCATCTCTTTCATCTAACTAGTTCAATTGAGAAGATTCCTCCGCTTCTTATCGAGTCAATCATAGTGCATCACTCGCCTTTGCCAGTGGTCTGACTTCCGGTTCCATCACTTCTCATCAGGAGCTCGACTAGGTCCTTCTATTCGTCTCCATTTCTGCTTGGTAATTATCCCTAGACCACTACAATCGAGTCGTGTCACGCAGGATATATGACTGTCGAATTATGGCGAGACATGTGGCGTGATAGTCTTGGCGGGATGTATTAAGTCAGACGCTAACTTCTCTCACTATTTCATAGGTTAATCTTAATACAGTCACTAGAAAATAACACGGTCGGTTTTTAGTACCCTGCAACTTGAGCAACAAAGTTCTTTCTCTCACCTCGCCTACCTTTCCGCTCTAACCACCGCCGATGAAAGCCGTAGGCAGCCTCTACTTCTGATCTAGTACTGAGTCTGCCATAAATAATACTCACACTACGCGGCGTGGTGCTAATTTGTGCTAGTCCTTGCCTTGGGTTTTATGTTTGGAGTTGTCAGTAAGTTAATCATGTATTATCACTCGCATTGTGTCAGCCCGCGCAATCATCCTTGCCCTACTGACATCGACAGCTCGATGTCAAGTAAGAATCATGAAATCATGATTAATGGTTTTTGGATTGATTCTCTTGGGGTTGTGAGATGATATGGTGTCGAAGATATGGACGAATGATGATTCTTGTGGAATCGATTATTGGTAAAGGGGTTCCTTTTGTTTTCAAAAAGTACGCATTCACTGTTAATTGTTAGATTGCATGTTTGTGGCTACACCAACATACCAACATCTTAGGGTTTTATTGTTCTTCTTTTCCGTGGATTTGACTCATGGGGATCCGGACTTACGGCGTTTGATACCACCAGGATGGCAATAATGATATCTAATATCATAATTTCAACTTTAAAATACCATCGCCAGGACCATATGCTACAAACGATTGACCGATAAAAACCCCTTTTTTTTCATAAACTAACATACAAATAAATAACCCAGCCCAACAAAAGAAATTACACCAATCAATTTAAATAAGTCTACAACTTCGCACTCGCCGGCTCACCAGCCCACGCCCTCCTAATGACCTCCCTAATTTCTGTCCTCTCAATCTTCCTTGGGTTTGGATATGGCTTCGCTACCGCCAGGTCGGCCGCCTTGTCTACATCCTCCTCCTTCATACCGTACGCCTTCAGCGCCCTCTCTACGCCCATCTTCTCCAACAACAAGTTCAATCCCTGGACTGCATCGCCCTCACTTCCCGGCAGTACTGCCGCCAGTGAGTCCAACACCTCCTTTGACAGCGCCGGCGCATTGTATGCCAGGGCATGTGGCAGCACAATAGTGTGTACCTCAGCATGTGGGAGGTTGAAGCTTCCTCCCAGCGTGTGGCACAGCTTGTGGTGCAGCGCCATCCCAACACTTCCCAGACAGCTCCCGCACAACCAAGCGCCATAAAGCGCGTCGGAGCGCACATCAACATTCTGTGGGTCCTCCTTCAGCTTTGGCAGTGCGGCGGCAAGGGCGCGGATTCCCTCGAGGGCAAGGAGGTTGATGATTGGGTTTGTGGTAGTACTGTAGAGGGCCTCTACGGAGTGCGCGATCGCGTTGACGCCGCTGGTAAAGCTCATGGAGACGGGCAGCGTGAGGGTGAGGTTCACGTCGTAGATGACGGTTCCGGGGAGGATCTTGGGGTCGGAGCGGGTGGTCTTGACGCCGTCGGCGGTCTCGCCGAGGATGGGTGTCATCTCAGAGCCGGCATAGGTGGTGGGAATGCAGATGTGGGGGAGGCCGGTGCGGATTGAGATGGCTTTGCCGAGGCCGATGGTGGAGCCGCCGCCGATGGAGATGATGGAGTCTGCGGAGGTGTCGCGGGCGACGGCGAGGGCCTCGTCTGTGATGTGCGTAGGGGTGTGCATGGTTGCCTTTGAGAAGGTTCCAGCGGTCGAGGAGAGAAGGGCGGCAACATCGGAGGCCTGGGAGGTCTGCTGCGGCGTGCATAGGATCAACGGGCTGGTGAGGTTCTGGCGGGCGAGCTCTGCGGGGAGCTGCGAGAGCGTGCCGGCGCCGAAGATGACGCGGGAGGGGTTGGCGGTGTAGGTGAAGGGATGCATTTTTGCGGTGGTGGAGAGCGCGCGGCGGAGTAGATGGTTAGTACTTCTGGTGAGGATTGAGATCATGGAAGGGAAAATGATTGTGGGATTGCGGCGGGTTTTGTTGATGCTTGATGCTGACAGACTGGGTGGTTGACGTAGTTTTTGTCACGGCCGCTTATATGTTTACCCGATGGCACTCAATGCGGGGGATTGGGATCATTGGTCACTCGGTGGCCCCAATGGGAAGTGGATTACCAACAATCAACAATCTCCATCGCTGTGAAATGCGGGGAGCCGGTTTTTTTTGGTGCAGATCGGTATTGCCGCGGTAATGATCCTGGTTGGGGGTGTTGGGGTTGGGATTGCTGTGGTATGAGATCTACACACCTTGAGGGGGAATTAACGGGTGATTAGATAAGATTTATGGCGGATGCGACATTTTATTACTATTCACGGCAGTGGTTTGTAAGTCGCTATGTCCGGTACCTCCATCAGAATAAAGATTACAGGTGGATTTGTAGGAACCGAAGAGATTATGGTCATTAATCACAAAAAGCGATTCTAGCATAACGATAATGTCGAAAAAAATTATACGGAAATAAGTTCAAACACTTTCAAAAGCTAATAACCAGACACTACCAATAGTTATGCAAAGTGCAGTCACCCCAATCGAGAACAAAATGTTTCACCTCGGCAAAAAACCCTAACCCACACCACTAATCCATATTACGAATGGCTGAACGGTAGTGATGAAACACGACTGGTAGAAATAAAGACCGAATCTCATTAGGCTATAATTTACCGTTTATCTTTATGGTCGTGGCCGGGATGCGCCAATAGCTAGGATGGAGCTGTGCTGTATTTAAGTGGACTGAATATCGCATGGGATAACCAATGAACATCATGATCAAAGCCATCAGCGCCATCTGCATGATCAGATTGGGGCAATATACTGATTGGGAGGACCCCACGTTTTTACAAAGTGCACCACTAGCTCATGGGGAGTTTCATCGGGAGGGACCAGGTACCCATAGAGGACCGCAAGACTGCCATTCGCAGTTGGGGGGTCTGCATCCTATTATTGGCTTACTATCGATACGTAAGAATTCTAATAACGCTGCGACATCTGAGTGGACGACACGAGCGGTGCATGTTGTCTACTGTACCTGGTACAGCTTGAGCCATAACCCGACAAAACTCAGGCATCATCGACCAATACATGAGATCCTTAAATCCGGGTCTGAACGTAGAGTGCAAGCATCATGATTGGATCCCTTTCATTGCGTCAGTCAGTTAGGAAATCTGTCTTTATTGGCTACTATTGGTGCACCGATTGATAACGTTGCATCCAAGTGGACAATATAGATCCTAGCACCACGTTTTCTAGTGTACCGGGTACTGTACTCTAGAGCAACCTTAATTCAACAACACTCAGACTTTACCATCCAATACTTAAGACCCCCAGTATATAGCTCGGGAATAGAGTGCAGTTCTGATTGGACCCCTCTCACGTTTCTGTAAGATAGACATGGTTTCAGCGCAACCAATGTGAGACTACAGAACCTTCACTGAGTGTTAAGAAATCTGTCAGCTCATTGGTCAACTACCAATATGCAAGTACCATGCGACAGCTACTGGTGCACCAATAGAATCCTGAGGTAGGATATGGCTGTGCCAACTTAAGTGGACGATCCAGATCGTAGCAGCACGTTTTCTACAGTACCGGGTACTGGATGTGCAGCAACCTTAATTCAACAGCATTCAGGTATCTCCGGCCAATACATGTTATTCCTCGCGCAGTAGTATGAAGAGGCAGTGCAATGGTCTTCATTGGATCCCTTCCACGTTGCTGCACCTGCACGTTTCATGGGCCTAACCCACGTTTTGCACTGCCAATCCAGGGTGCTGCAGTAATGCACCCAGTACTGGTAGTTAGGATGGTTGGGAGGGGGGTTGGTTCACCAATGGATGGGACAAGACTGGAAGTGGATCAGTAGGCTATGCTGTCTACACCATCAACCAAACACCACCGGGCCAGAACCAGTAACTTTTTAACCCAGCAGCTCCCACGTTTCTGCAAGATACACGTTCCAACTCAAAGTCCACTTACCACAGTGGGGTATCTCCCCATAGGTTCAGATCTAGCCACTGCACGTTATGATTCAGAAACCCTAACCCACAAGGCTGCGACAGCACTAGCACAAAATCTCGAGTTAGGGTGCTCGATTTCTATGGGGTAGGGAGATGTAAGGGGGCCCGGTCTGCGGTTTCATTGGCTTATTGCTGGCGCGAGTTGTGGTAGAGTATTGGCCCATGGTGGGTGGGCCATGGGGTGCGTGGACAGAGAGGACGTAGGTGTGGGTGCGGTCGCAGCCTTGTGGGTTAGGGTTTCTGAATCATAATGTGCGGTCTAGATCTGAACCTATGGGGAGATACCCCACCGCCGGAACACGTCGTAAATTTTGAGTTGGAGCGCAGAAACGTGGGAGTTGCTGGGTTGAAAAGTTACTGGTTCTGGCCCGGTGGTGTTGGTTGGTGGTGTAGATAATAGACCTGCTTATATCACTGGTGCAGTATTTCGGCCAGTAAGAAATCTTAACCTATCCAGAAGTTAGGGTGACGAGTGGTCAGTAGCTGTCAAGGTGATAGGTGCACGTGGAAGGCGGGTCTGCAGCCAGCTGATCGATTTACCACCGATGGAAATATGGTGGTTCACCAATAGAGCATGACAAGGCTACGTTCCGGTGGAGTGGAAGATCAATCAGTCACCGCACACGTTATCCACAAGACTAGCACTCTAACTGGAGGACTTCCATGTGCCTGTGAGGTCCACTTGCAAGACGTTTACATGGGCCAGCAAGGAGGCCTATCCACCGATCTGGTGGACTTGGTAAAGACGGTGACTCGCTCAAAAGCGAGTAGCCTTCCTGCACTGGCTTACCACTGATATTCAAATAATGGTAATGACGGTGTGCCAATGGATATCGATCGAACAAGGCTGTGTATCCCAGTAGTGGAGACAACGACACAGCTGCAGGCTGCAGGCTGACGGAGGCTATGTACCAAATAACGGAGCCAGTAAAATCCGAGAATAAAGTGTCATAACCTTAAACCAACGTTTTTGCACCTGTGCTGTGCCAGTCAGGAGCGTGCCACGCGAGTACAAGGACAAGGGCTGCGTCCCAGTGGAGTTGACACTTGACTTGCAGGTGTCAGTCACCACGCCGTTACCAGTAAAGTCGAGAGGGAAAGTGCAATAATCAGAATCCAACGTTTCTGCACTTGCATCAGGCCGGTAAGGAAGCATGGTGGCGGCGTGTCGAACGGGCCCAAGGCTATTGGGTTCCGCCGATATCCAATAGAGCAGACAAGGCTGCGTGGACACAACCACGCCATCACCAGTAAAATCGAAAGGGAAAGTGCAATAATCCTAAAGCAGTTCCTGCACCTGCACGACTCCATAAAAGGAAGTCTATAATATCATTGGTTTTAGCACCACGACAGAGCCACCGGATCCACAGCCTGACTATTGGCACAAACAATAAATAGGAATATACACTGATTGGATCCCCCACGCTCCTGCAAGACATGGACTTCACTCAGTGAGTAACGCACGTGGACTACCGACCAGTAGTTGACGACCGATGATAAAAAGTGATCTGGAATATCATTGGTTTGCTATCGATGTAAGTAACGTACTAAATCCAGCATCCACTCTCACTGATTCGATCCCTCGCCACGTCCCCATAAGACATGCACTCACACGTTCCGCAATCCCTAACCCACTATCACTCACACAGCCAATCCAGTAATGCACTACCAATAAACGAAACAGCCTCTACCAAATCCAGAATAAGACCTATGTAATCAAGATAGCACACTCAACCAACATCATTGGATCCCTCACACCTGCGTTTCACAAACCCTAACCTTAACCATGTCATGGATTATCACTCGTACTGCTATGTTACGACTGCAGAAATTTATTGGAATTTATGAGCGGGAGCGGGATAATAGGTGGTAAATGGGTGGAGGATAATTCTGTGAAAATTTGGTTTGTTAGCGATGTGGGAGTCGTGTCAAGCCCTAACGCACGAGTAATTGGACACGCGGGAGTGCGTGGCTTTGGGTATTTTGGCTTCATCATAGGACAGGTACGTGTCTACACAACGTGGAATGTTGTTTGACAACGTACTCGTTTGACAAACGATCACACCGCCAACGAGCGACCTCCCTTTTCTTCATCCACTTCACTCTCTCCCCTCAACATCGACACGAATGAACCATCCATCACTCAATCATCATCCCCTCAACAAACACAGGCAAACGATTCTATGACAAAAAGGAAAACTTTTGATATCATTTATCCTCTGGGGTACATTACTAGTACATCTAAGAAGCATACACATATTTACAAAAAAATACCAACGCCATATAACATGATAACCATAACCCAAATCCCCATCCCCTATCTAGATCTCAATCTCCTTCAACGAATCGCTAACCGCAAACGCCGCCGCAGTCTTGCTCTTGAGCTCGTCGACCGTCACGCCCTTGGCGATCTCAATGAGGGTGAGTCCGCCGGTGAAGGAGACGTCGAAGACCGCTAGGTCTGTGATAATGCGTGAGACGCACTGCTTTCCGGTCAAGGGGAATTGGCATTCTAAGTCCTAGTTAGTATCTTTCTTCTTCTATGTTTGGAGCTAGGGGAGTCAATTACCTTCGAGGATCTTTGGCCTGCCCTTCTTATCAACGTGCTCCATCAGGACAACGACCCTTGTGGCCGCTGGGTTCGCGACCAGGTCCATAGCTCCTCCCATACCCTTTATCTTACCGGGCAGCCCCCAGTTGGCCAGATCACCCTTCGACGACACCTGCAGGGCGCCGAGCATGGTCAAGCCCATGCGGCCCGCTCTAATCATACCGAACGACTCCTCACTGCCAAACGTCGACGCTCCCGGGTTGAGGGTGACGGTCTCCTTACCCGCATTGATGAGATCCGGGTCAGCCTGCTCCCTCGTGGGGTATGGGCCCATCCCAAGCAGCCCGTTCTCAGACTGCAAGTGGACATGCACACCCTCAGGCAAGAAGCTGGGCGCCAGTGTCGGCATACCAATACCGAGATTGACGACATCCCCATCCTGGAACTCCTGCGCCGCCCTGCGGACAATGGTCTCCCGCTTCTTCGCCGCCTCGCCGCCACCGCTCTTCATCTCCTTCTCGATGTCCTCCGGTGTCTTTGCCAGCGTCAGAAGCTCAATGTTCTTTGGCGTGGTGCTCTGCACAACCTGCTTCACGTACACGCCCGGCACATGGATATCGTCAGGGTGGATCTCCCCCGGTTGCACAATGTTCTCTGCCTCCACAACAGTGTGCTTCGCCGCGCGCGCCATCGCAGCGTTAAAGTTCCTTGCCGACAGCCTGAAACGGATATTTCCTAGGGTATCCACAGTGTGTGCCTTGATGAACGCCACATCGCCCACGATCGCCTCCTCGAGAATAAACTTCCGTCCGCCAAACTCACGCACCTCGCGCGGCTTGCTCGTGAGCTCGACCTCGCCGCTGCCGTCCTTCTTGTAGCGCACCGGCAGCTTGCCCTCCTCGATCCACGTACCGACACCGGCGGGCGTGTAGAATGCGGGGATGCCGGCACCGGCAGCGGCGAGACGGCCTGCAATGTTGCCTTGGGGCGTCAGCTCGACGTCGAGGCTGCCGTCAAGATACATCTTTTCGAAGATCTTGTTGGAGCCAATGTAGGAGGCGATCATCTTGCTGACCTGCTTGGACTCGAGCAGCTGCGAGAGTCCGTGGCCGGGCGTGCCGGCGTTGTTGGACACGGCTGTCAGGGAGCGGATGGTGGGCGTCGAGAGGACCTGGTTGATTAGGGTGTCTAGATACCGCTCAATTAGCCCAAAATCCTAATCATTGACTCACTCGCAACAGAGAGAACTCATGAAGACTTACCGGGAACTCCACAAACACCGAAACCACCGCAGAGCAGCGTGTCGCCGGATTTCAGGCTCGAGATGGCTTCCGCCGGGGAGACGACTTTGGACTTGTATTCTTGCGCCAGGCGGCTGCGCACCGAGAAGCAGCGCTGCTGGGGGCGCAGCGCGCGGAGGGAGCGGAGGCGGGTTGTTGCCATTATTGTATACTATCAATTATGAAAAAGGGAAGAAAAGAAATGCAATTGCAATACCACCGATGGAAAGCAGTCAGGTAGGAATACAAGAATACAGGTAAAAGAGCAGAATAGAGAAGGAGAAGCTTCTTTTGTAGCATATAACCCCCCCCCCCGGCTCTCCCCCGGGCATGGGACAGTTGGCATCTAGCTGTCACGTAAGGATTAGTGATGGGTTAGTGATGGGTTAGGGTTAGGTGTTGCGGTTGTCTTCACGGTTGTCGTGTGCACGTGGTGATAGCGGGTGAATATTTACCCGTGCTTCTTATCGGTGGCTACAGTGCCGATAGTCCGCGGCGGGGTTTTGGGTTTGCGGGGGACCCGGGCGGGTGTGTGAAGCGGTGAGTGGTACCTGGATGATGGATCTGTGTTTGACAGATGAGTCTATGTGTGTGGATACTCTACGTATTCTACGATGGGGCAGCCGTTTCGGATTGCTTTCACAGATGACAGTAATGGTAATGATTGTGTTTGTAGATGGAAATCAATTTCTATAGCGTACGTGGTAGGTATTCCAGCACCCAAAAAGCACACACACAATGCAGCATACAAGACAGATATACAAATTTCAAACACCCCTCTCATCCCCTCACGCTCCCCCATCCCCTCTTCCCCCCAATCCCCTTAAGCCTTCCCACTCTTCTCCGCCGCCGCCGCAGCCTCCTTCTCCTCCCTCTCCTTCTCCTTCAACAGACAGAACCCCACGGCCGCCGTATACCCATACGTCCCCAGCCCCACCACCGTCGCCACCGCCTTATCCGAGAAATACGAATGGTGCCTGAACGGCTCGCGCGCATGCACATTACTCACATGCACCTCGACGAAGGGGATATTGACGCCGACGAGCGCGTCGCGGATGGCCACGGACGTGTGCGTGTAGGCGCCCGGGTTGATGATGATCCACGCCACCTGCTCGTCGCGCGCGGCGTGGATGCGGTCGATGATGCCGCCCTCGTGGTTGGACTGGTAGGTTGAGAGGGAGGCGGAGGCGGCGGAGGCTTGGGAGACGGCGAGGGATTCGACGTCGTGCAGGGTGGTGTGGCCGTAGATGTGGGGTTCGCGGGTGCCGAGGAGGTTGAGGTTGGGGCCGTTGATGAGGAGGAGTTTGGGTGCCATTGTGGGTGTGTTTGTGTGGATTGGGGGGTTGTAGGAGGAGGTGGTGAGAGGTGAGGTGGAGGAAGTGGTAATGATGGTGATGGTGGTTTGTGGTGGTGGTGGTGGTGGTGGTGGTGGTGGTGGTGGGCCAATCGATAGATAGGATAGAATGTAGACTACGGCCACTTTGGTACTGCCTCTTTCTCGGGAGTCTCGGCGGTACTGCGCTGCGCAGCCGACATTTAAACAACGTCCCCAAACAGCACCACGGCTACTATTACCGCGAGTATCTACTGCCTATGAAATAGCCGTGATAATAGTAGCAATAGTAATAATAGTCGTAATAATAATCATTAGTAGCATATGCATTGGCAGCAAGCAATCCTATACCTTACCCTCAACAGAAAAAAAAAAGATTAATGACCCCTCAGATTGTAATCATGATGCTTCCTCCATTTTCCCGCGAAATAAGCTCGGCATGTAGTGCGGTGCGTGCGTTGCGTATCTTGCGTATCCGGGGGTGTGCTGGTGGGTGCTGCGTGGTGGTGGCAAGCTCGATCATTTCCTCCCGTCTAAACGTTCTTCCGACCTCTCGCAGCGCCAACTCCCCACAGCACAGCCAGAACAGACTAGTAGCTGCTACTGTAAGTACATGTAAGGTAGTTCCTAGTAGACACTGCGCTCTGCTAGTACGGTCAACTACCCGCCCCTCCCACCCCCTCCCCAAAGAGTACAAAAACACGGTCAGTACCAGATATTTTGGAAAATAAAATTCATCTCATCTCATCTCATCGTAAACCTCCATCTCACCACCCATCACCTCCCACCCACTCACCTATTATCACTCACATACTATCACTCACCCCTCCCCCCAAAAAGTAAAAAACAAAAAAGAAAGCCAAAATGTTGCCCCCAACCTACACCACCCCCACAAAGCTCGTGGATGCCCTCCCCCTCGGCATCGCGTCCATGAACCTCGGCCGCGCCGCCTTCCACGAGCTCGAGCCCAAGCTCTCGGCCGCCGCCGCCGCCGGCTTCAAGGGCATCGAGGTCTTCTACGAAGACATCAAGATCCCTGCGCGCCGCGCCCTCGCCGCCGACCCCACCACCACATTCCAGGAGCAGCTCCTCATCTCCGCGCAGAACTTCCGCGACCTGTGCGACAAGTACAATCTCACCATCTTTGTGTTCCAGCCCTTCAAGAACTACGACGGGCTGCTGTCGCAGAAGCGCCATGACGAGAAGATCGAGAAGCTGAAGCACTGGTTCAAGCTGGCGAAGATCCTGAGGACCGACACGATCCAGATCCCGTCCATGTTCCACCAGGACCCGATGGTCGCGACGGGCGATATGGACAAGATTGTGGCCGACTTGGTAGAGGTGGCAGATTTGGGTGCGAAGGAGAGCCCGCCGATCAGGTTTGCGTATGAGATTATGGCATGGGGCGCGCACGTCGACCGGTGGCAGCAGGCGTGGAAGATCACGCAGGCGGTCAACCGCGACAACTTTGGTATGTGTCTCGACACGTACCAGATTCTTGCAAACATCTGGGCCGACTGCACCTCTGAGAGCGGTGTCCTGCCCAACGCGGACAAGATCTTGCAGGCCGACATTGACGAGTTTCTGCGCGAGGTGCCGCTCGAGAAGGTGTACTACGTTCAGCTCGCAGACGCCGCAAAGATGTCGCCGCCGCTGTCGGCATCCCATGAGTGGTACGACCCCAAGCAGAAGTGGGTCATGACCTGGTCGAGGAATGCGAGGTTGTTCCCCTTCGAGGAGGACAGGGGCGGTTACCTCCCGGTGTTGAAGATGCTCGAGGCGTGGATCTTTGACTGGGGCTACAGGGGGTGGGTTTCCATGGAATTGTTCAACAGGAGCATGATGGACCCTTCGCCGTCGGTGCCAAAGGACCATGCTGATCGTGGTGTGGCATCGTGGAACAAGTGCATCAAGGCGTTGAAGCTGGATGAGAGGGATGCGTAGAGCGTTTTTTCCTCTTTTGGTTTTTTGTAGTTCCTCTCTCTTCGTGTAAAGGGTCTTTTTTTTTCTTTTCTTTCTTCTTCAGTTTTTGTCTTGGGTTTTCTTTGGTTGTACTTTTCGGGAGCTAGAAATATAACATTCTTGGACTTTTAAATTTTGAGTCCATGGCTGCCATATTGTGATGTCTGCATAAATCAACCGGTGTCTGTACAAGCGAAATAGCCAATTCTTCATCCGATATTCTGATATCTGCGTAAATCAGCTGATGCCTGTATAGGAAGATAGCCAATTCCTCGTCTGACATCACTTCATCCACACAAGAGTAAAGTGGAGATAACGGGCGGAGATGAGGGGTAGGTTTCACGAGTAATGTTGAGTGACGTTGCAGGATGGAACAATCGAGTGATAGTGGATGATCCAATATCTAAGTATGCCGCGTATAAGGCAGACAGCTTTCGGAGGTTGATGGATCTCCCAGCAGTCGCAGTAGATAGATGGATTGGAGGGCTGATAGATAGAAGACCCGATTGATGATGGAAGAGGGAGAGGAAGAGCCTAGGGTGAGCGGTGCTGGATGATATATAGCATAGCTGTGCTTTCAGCGCACGTACCCACCTACATGCAGCCAAACATGACGTGTTTAAAATCATGCCACGCCTCACGCCAGACACAGACACAGACACAGACACGGACACAGACACAGACACGGACACAGACACAGACACGGACACAGACACAGACACACCGAACATGCGGGCTGTGGACAGACAACATCCGAGTAAGGAGAGACCGATGGGGCTAGGCAATGCTTGTAGAGAGAACCCTCAGCACTGAACAAGTAGAACAGATATGCCAGATGAGCTAGTATATCTTCGCAGTTGGGGGCTCTTCCTCTATCATCACTCTTCCTCTCTCATCACTCATCCTCTATCATCACTCTATCACCAATCAAGTCATCTTTCACTAGCCATTAAACATCAGCCATGACCTCTTTTATGTGTATTTCAACATCTCTCCCATTTATCGTCCACCACATCACAATTCACAAATATTTCAGAGAGACACTCTCATTGCAGAGTTTATGGTCTGATTCTTATTCTATTATCGACTTCATCACTTAACTTCCTCTCGTGTTTCACAAGCTAACAACACAATCTCAGTTCACATTCACCAACGGAGTAACCAAAAATCATAAGCTTCATTTTTAAACTATACAACCGCAAGCACCACCAACATCACCATCTATTTATTGATAATCGTACTCGCATCCGCCGCCTTCCTCAGCGCCTCCCACGCCTTCTCGTATGGAATATTCTTCGCCGCCTCCGCGCCCGCCCACAACGTGTACTGCCTCTCCAACTGCCACCCGATGATATTGATCCCCTCCACCGTCCTCCACCCCTGCTCCCCGGCCGCCTTCAACAGCCTCGTCTTCCTGGGATTGAAGCACATATCCAAAAACACGCCCCTCCCCTCCTCCGGCGTCTTCTCAAACACATACTTCACGATCTTCGACGCCTCGATCTCGCTCTCCGTCTGCGGCTCGAAATCAGGCACCGTGCCCACCACATACGCTGGCAGCTCCTCCGCCGCGATCGACTCAATCTGCGACAGCGACTTTACATGCACAATTGTTGGCCCAGCCTCACCGTACGCCCGCGCGTCGCTCTGCAGGTCGGCGACTTCCTGGTCGTCGCGGTTGATGACATAGATGGTCGTGCACTTGAGATGCGCAAACAGCGCATACACGGCCGCCCTACTCGCTCCGCCGGCACCAATCACCATTGCGGGCTTACCCACGCCCTTTTCCGATGCCGTGCGCAGACACTCGAGGATGCCGATCCAGTCGGTGTTTGAGCCCACGAGCTTGCCGTCGCCGTCGATGTAGACGTTGTTGCATGAGCCCAATGTCGTGCAGAGCTCATCGAGACGGTCGAGGTGCGGCATGATTGTCTTCTTGTAGGGCATTGTGACGACGCCGGCGGCGAAGTCGGGTTGGCGGAAGACGGACATGAGCTCTTTGACAGAGGGGATGTCGAGGAGCCTGTAGGTCCATGGGAGGCCGAGGGCGTCGGCCACGGTCTGGTGGACGGTGGGGGCAATGGAGTGGCGGACACCCTGGCCCGCCAGATAGTAGAACTTTTGGCTTGGGTTGGTCATTTTTGGTTGTGAAGATGAAGATGTGGAGATGAGTATGGGATGTGGGTTTTGAGTGTGGGGATCGTGGTGTGAGGAGTGTGTTTTTGGTGTAGAAGAGGCGAGTATAAAAGCTATGGGAATGAGTCAGGAGTGGTCTCTAGAGGTCGAGAGACACGCCGACAACACCGAGATTTTCATCAGATGAAATAACACTGAACGAAAATGCACCGGTCGGTAACTTGATTTCCATCCAGGCCCATTAGGCTCAATCTCTACTGCTGATCTGCTATTAAGGTAGGACCGAATAATGAAACGGAAATATAGATGTGAATATTACTCTACAGTATCAATTGCTACGATACAACAGAATACTCAAAATGAAAACAACTATTTGCTGACTACTATCTATATAGCTGACTACTAACAATGCCTATATAAAAACCCCACAAGCTGCAGCCCTCAAGGCATATCCCCACAATATACCGCCAAACTACCCCATATTCCACTAACCCAATTTCCTCGTTAGCATCTCCTCGTTAGCATCTCCTCGTTAGCATTCCCCCCCCCCCCCCCCCCCCCCAAGCCCTTTCCCCAATTTCCCCACCCTCATCTCCCCCGCGCGTCAGTTGACACCTCCCCCGTGTTTCCCCACGAAAACTGGATAAGCACTTACCCGCCCGCGCCCCATCCTCCCCACGAGCCGAGGATAAGGATAAACCCTCTCGTTTTTCTTTTTTCCTCCTCCCCCCATGCCGCCTCCACGTCTCTCTGCGGGGGAGATCAATAATCACACTCCATACACCCGCCCCCCAACCCTCCCATCCCCCATCCCGCCTCCAGGTCACAGGGCGCACCCGTCCCTATCCCCCCCAGTGCCGACCAACCAACCGACCGATCTCGCACCCAAATCTCGCTAACGGCTAAACGAGCAGCCCGGGGAAAAAAAGTAATACCAAAAAGCAATATGTATTCCAGGGCCCGAGCGCCGGAAGAGCACTTACGCGCTCCAAGACAATCATTACCGCATTCGGCAGCGATTAGTAGCTTTTCTTTGTTAGGGGAGTTCCGGCACTGCGACAGGGCTAGGGTTACTCCGGACGAGACAGGCAGTGGGAGTATTGAGGGCACGATGATGTTGTGAGGAGAGGAGGCAGTTTATATACTGTACCCCTATAGGGGACTATTAGTAGTGGCTTGCTTGATTCGTTGTCTGTGTACATTTTTTTTTTTTTACCAAGAAAGAACCAAGAGAAGAGGGCTTGTGAAGCTTAAGAGAATCCGGTCCTTGAAAGTAAAAATATCCCCACGGGCAAAGAGGAACATCACCGAATAGTGATAACACTATTACCGATAGCATCATTATCAGCCCACTCCACTGCACTCTACTGCACTCCACCATTCCATTCCATTCGACTTCACCACCACCACCGCCACCACCACCACCACAATGATATCCAAACTCACCCCGCCCACCACCGACCTCATCACCGCGCACCACGCCGCCGGCAAAAAAACGTACATCCTCCCACTCACGCACCCCAGCGTCACCACGCTCCTCCCGCTCTTCCCGCACCTCTCCTACCACACCGACGTCTTCGAGCTGCGCGTCGACCTGCTCTGCGACCCCGCCGCTCCCGCCTCCTCCCCGCCATCATGCGCATACCTTAAATCGCAACTCGAGCTGCTCCAGCAGGCCACAGAGCTGCCGATCATGTTCACGATCCGCACGCTGTCGCAAGGCGGCAAGTGGCCGGACGCGGCGCACGAGGCGGCGCTGGAGGCGATGCTGATGGCCGTGGGGGCCGGGTGTGCGTATGTCGATGTTGAGATTGAGTGGCCGCAGGAGATGATCGATGTGGTGGTGAGGGAGAAGGGCGGGAGCAAGATTGTGGGGAGCTTCCATGACTGGACGGGGCACATTCCGTGGGGGAGTGAGGTGCTGAGGGAGAAGTTTGAGAGGGCTGATAGCTTTGGTGGTGAGTTCACTTTTTTTTTTTTTTTAGCTTTTTTCTTTGGTTGGTTTTGGCGGGGGGGAGGTGCGGAAGAAGGAGAGGTAATGGGAAATGATCGCTGATGCAGGAAATGAACGGCAGATATTCCGAAGCTTAGTATCATGGCAACGAGCATCTACGACGCTTACGAGCAAGCGCTCTTCCTGCGGGCGCACGCAGACCACCCAAAGCCGATACTCGCAGTCGCGATGGGCGCCGCAGGCCAGCTCTCGCGCGCCCTGGCCCCCATCAGCATGATCACGCACTCGCTCCTCCCGTCGTCGGCGCCCGGGCAGTTAACGCTCACGCAGGTGCACAGCGTGATGCACCTCGCAGGCCAGCTTCCAAAGCGCAACTTCTTCATTTTCGGCAACAACATCGCGCACTCGCTCTCGCCGGCGCTGCACAACACTGGTTTCGCGGAGCTAGGGCTGCCGCACCACTACTCGATCCACGAGACGGCGAACGTCGACGAGGAGATTGCGGCCATGATGCTCGAGGAGACGTTCGGCGGCGCGTCGGTGACGTTCCCGCATAAGCTCCAGATCGGCAAGTATCTGCAGAAGACGTCCGAGACGGCGAGGCTGGTGGGCGCGGTTAATACGGTTGTGGTGGAGACGGACCCGAAGACCGGGGAGCGGGTCTTGTTGGGTGATAATACGGACTGGCTCGGCATCAAGTCGTGCATCGAGGTCAACTGGCCGACGCCCGGTGGGGTGTCTACTGCCGCAGCGGTCGTCCTGGGCGCTGGCGGGGCGGCGCGGGCGGCGTGCTATGCCCTGCAGAAGTTGGGTGCGCGCAAGGTCTACCTGATCAACCGTACGCGGAGCAAGTCCGATGAGCTCGCGGCAGACTTCCCCGGACTAGATTTTGAGCACTATCTGGCAATGTCCGACTTCCCGGCGGAGGTGTCGCCGGTGCCGAATATCGTAGTGGGGTGCGTGCCCGCCGATGATTTTGTCGAGGCGGATATCCCAGCGCAGTTCTTTTCGCTGGCGGCGGAGGGCGGTGTTCTGGTGGAGATGGCATATAGACCGTTGATGACGGCGCTGATGAAGGTTGCGGGCCGGTTTAGCGGGTGGAAGACAAGCCGCGGGACGGATGTGCTGAAGGAGCAGGCGTATCACCAGTTCGAAATGTGGACCGGGAGACGGGCGCCTTCGGCGGTGATGAGTGCGGCGGTGGATGCGGTGTTGGCGAAGAAGTGAATGGACTTTGTATCCCAGGTCGTTTTTCTTTTCTGTTTTCAATTTATTTCTTTGGTACCTAGAGGCAATAGTCAGATGAATCCATAAGAGATTAGACAACAAGTAGAGTCCAAAACGTTCTTCGTGATATGTGCGGGAGCATTGCATACAATTAATGAAGTAATCAATCAATCATGAATCAATGGCCGGGCGGGTACATTGTAAACCGAGTGATAATCCTGTGATGATAGCGAAAAATCAGCCACACCAAAATAAGAAAATAACAATAATAATATATTTTATTCCCCTCCCACGTGGCCACGATGCTGTGTTACCTTCAAAATATGACAATGTCAATGATCTCAAACCTTCTTTTGACAAAGAAAGAAACAGTTTCAAGCATCCTGTCTACAGTATCACGTGAAACCTCACAATCAGGGCACAGCAGCCTCAGAAACACCAAGGGCAGGCCCACAGAGGTACATACATACCTTATCATGGAACCCTAACCATTCACAGAGTACATACTGCATAGCAGTCATTACCGATACCACGTTTCTAGGGGCGGTGCAAACAGCATTGTCCCCAGGACTGAGAAGTTCATTTCCCGGTAGAGGATATACCCAGACGCATTTTTTCTGGGCAAAAGCTTGAGTCCACTTTTCCCCTGAATCCATTGGGTACATGTAGTGGTGGATGGATTGATATAGAAGACGCAACCGTTACGAGTTGTGTGTAGACAACGCTTATTAGACGATGAAAAATCTGGTAACTGCTTCATCCAGCAGTAGAAACGGTTTCTACTTTGGTTATATTAATCGCGCTCCCCGTTGTCGTGCTGCTCAACAGTAGAGTAGATAGCAGCCATGTACTGGTGAGTCGAGTAATTGCAGGAATGGCACCACCACGAAAACCCAATGGCATGATCTATGGCATGACACGATTTCTTTCTCCACCGTCCATTCTTTTGCTACCGTTCGTAGAAGAATTTAAAACTACCAAGAAGCCCCCAACTTTTTTCTCTTTTCTGAACGGAAAATATGGCCAGAGTTACTCAAGAGACTCTCTCTGGATTTCCTTGATATATCCGAGGTCTAATTTGTCGTTCTCGCTTTTTGCTTTGCTTCGGTCTTCATGTCTTGTCCAGTTGTCTTGCTTATTACCACACTGTAATTACTCGCAAGAAATGTTATTTCCGTCTTAACGCCTCTATCCCCCCCTCTCTCTATCTCGCACCAAGATGGATGTTCAACGGGAAAAGATAACTCCTATGCTCTCCATCGAATCCGGAATCGTTTATTAGAAATCATGAAACAATTGGTTTCTTCAACCGGCTTAATTCAATCGCCCTTGCGGAAAAAGCACAACCGTCCTTGCCATTTCATGATCATGGCCCAAAAAGAAAGGAAAGAAAAAAAAGCAAGTATCCCTTTCAGTTCGGTCGCATCTTGTCATACAGGGGTGGCATGTCGCAGCACCCATAACGTGTGCAGTCAAGGCAGGGTCATCCATCACACACACCTCACACACGCCCAGGATATCTCGGTCTCTTGTGCGGTCTACCCATCCACAACCTCAGGTCACAAACGACATCGCCAAAAACGGGTAAAACCCTAATCGAGGCTACCGACTCTAGAGCACATGGTTACATGAAGGTAAGACTTGTGTCTTGCCTCTCAGCCTTGCTTGCAGAACTGCCGCCAATTTGTATGATGGAGATCTTGGCCATTTCCCCGCATAATGTCCTATCCGGGCCTCCTTTCCCCGGACCAGGGCTGGTTTTCCCCACAACGCCCAGTGCGAGCGTCAAGTGGTGGCCACCAAAGGGCTGGTCGGTATGGTGTTGCGCAGCACCCTATTCGGCTACCCGCGGTGGGGTTAGTGTTCTCCCCGACAAAATAAGTTGCTAGCACCAGTAGGTTAGTGGTGAAAAACGTCCAAGTGTCCGGCCGTATATATTACTCCCATCATTTCCCTTCTTCCGCAACCTCATCATTCCTCCCAACAATCATCACTCAGTCCTGACTTCACTGTTACAGTCCAGTCATCACTCCCTGATACTGTTGGAATCGAATCTTCATCCTTTTCTTTAGTTTTAATAGCACTAGCTCGCCCAATATGCGCAACCCATTCGCCATGAAGGACGACTCCGCCAACCCGGCACCTCCAGAGGTCTACAACTGGAGGATCTATGCGCTCGCGGTTTCAGCAGCTATGGGTTCTGCCATGTTTGGTTATGATTCCGCCTTCATTGGTGGGACCATGTCTCTTCCATCCTTCCAGTCCCGCTTCGGTTTGTCTGAGGCAACCGGTGACGAACTTGCCACTTTGAAAGCAAACATTGTGTCTACTTTCCAGGCCGGATGTTTCTTTGGCGCAATTGCTTGTTACGCGGTGACCGAGAAATTCGGAAGAAAAAACACTTTGATGCCTTGCGGTGTTTTGTTCTGTATTGGCGCTATCTTGCAATTGGTTTCAGATGGTCATCTTGGTTTGATTTATGGTGGTCGTGCTCTTACTGGTATGTGCACCCCTAGTCCGCATCTTGATTCTTGGCATTTTGATCATTACTGACATTTCCCAGGTATTGCTGTCGGCGCTTCTTCGCTCTTGGTCCCCATCTATATTTCCGAATGTTCTCCTCCTGCTATCCGTGGACGCTTGATTGGTATCTTTGAAATCTTGCTTCAATTGGCTCTCGTCGTCGGTTTCTGGGTCAATTACGGAGTTTCCATCCACGAGGATGACGATTCTGACCGCCAATGGCACGTTCCTTTCGCCGTGCAGCTCGTCCCTGGTTCCCTCCTCGTCATTCTTATGTGGTTCCAGCCCGAATCTCCAAGATGGCTCATCAAGGCCGGTAAGACCGAGCTTGCGATCAAGAACCTCTGCACCATCCGTGGCCTCCCCGCCGACCACCAGTACATCGTCTGGGAAGTCGACACAGTCAACCAGCAGATTGAGCACGAGAACGCCCTTGGTGCCAATAGATCTGTTATCTCAAAGTTGAAGGAGACTTTCCTCCCCGGCAACCGCAACCGTCTCTTCATCGGAATGGCTCTCATGATGTTCCAGAACTTGTCCGGTATCAACGCGCTCAACTACTACTCTCCCACCATCTTCAAGAGCATTGGATTCTCTGGAACCAGCGTTGGACTTCTTGCTACTGGTGTTTTCGGTATTGTCAAGGCTCTTGCTACCATCATCTTCATGTTCTTCGGTGTTGATGTCTTGGGACGTCGCAAGTCGCTGCTTTTCGGATCTGTCGGTGCTCTCGTTGCAATGTTCTACCTTGCTGGTTTCTCCAAGCTTTCCGGATCCTTCGAGGGTGTTGCCGAGCGTGACGCCGGTGCTTACGTTGCCATTGTCATGATCTACATCTTTGCCATCTTCTACGCTCTCTCATGGAACGGTATCCCATGGATTTTCTGGTATGCCCCCATCTCTTTCCAATATTCATTTCTAAAGCTATCATACTAACATTCCCTGTTTTCTTTTAGCGCTGAGGTCTTCCCCACTGGTATCCGTTCAGTCTGCCTTGTTTTCACCACCTGCACCCAGTGGCTCGGTCAGTTCATCATTGTGTACTCCACCCCGTACATGATGAACAACATCACCTACGGCACTTTCCTTTTCTTCGGCTGCTCTCTCGTCTGCGGTATGATCTTTGCATGGTGCTTCCTCCCTGAGACCAAGGGTCTCTCACTCGAGGATATGGACATCATGTTCAGCCTCAAGGGTCTTGCTACCCACCTCCGCCCAGAGACCGACCGCATCATTGCCATCAACCGCGAGGAGCTTCGCACCGGCGAGGTCTCGGATGGAAGCATTGAGAAGCAAGGTTCTAAGCATGTGGAGGTGGTCTAAAGTGACATGTCTTTCTGGCTTTGGAGCAAGCGGATATAATGTGTTTGTCTGCTTGTTTATTGTGCAATGGTCTTCGTGCTTCTTGTTTTGGAAGATAAAAATTATCTTTTTCTTTTATTGTAATTAAATGTGCCATCTAGCTCTATGGCCTATGACCTATTCTTTGTCTCTGATGATGATGAGTTTTGTATTTATGTTGGTACGTGGGGATTTGGGTGGTTTGGCTTGGGGAGCGGGTTTTTCTTGCGGTTTCTATTATTCATGTTTGGGACGAAAACTTACATGTATTCATCATGCATACGGAGTTTGTAGAAATTCTATGCGACATTCTTCCTGGAAAAACATTTGTTTGGTCCGCCTATTTTGACTCATCGGAGACTGAGAAAAAAAAATCCCTTCATCTCTCTAAAGCAGTAGTGGCAAAGCTAGGCTTAGCGCGTCGGCGGAGCTCTGCACACCGTGAAGCTAGGCAGGAACCCGCAGGAACCAGCCCAACCAAGCCTCAAGGATCTGTAGGAACCCACACCAATTAGAGCTAACAGTCTAGGGTTCTCGGATCTTGTTTTTGCACAAACGATACCAGATCCACATGAGTAAGCGTACATACAACAACAACAACGGCTGAGATCTCAACAACCATGTGGCCAGCCAGGCGTTGTCACACGACAAGAATAGGCGAAAAGCTTGGCTGGAAACAAAATTTGCCCTAATCGGATAAGTGTTAAAGGACTATTGGCCGCGTGGGCCGGAACGTATGCCGAACGGAAGAACTCTCTTGCTATTATGTATGGTACATATTATAGGAATAGATCAGTATGAGTTTTTTTAGGAGAGTACATTTGATATGAAAATGCAGAATCTGGAGGGGTACATACATGTAGGTAAGGTATGTACGCACATCGAAAAATATATGTATGCAGCAGAGATAATCATTTGATTCGGATTTCTCTCATTATGATCCGGTGTGAAAAAGGGTTGGTGTGCAATACTTGTCTAAGATCCACGGCAGTATGTCTCTAGCGTCTAAGATCCACGGCAATATGTCTCCAGCTTCGTTAATTGCTTTACTTGCCGATATCTACAACAAAAATAAAGAAGATCGACAACGGATGAAATCTCGATACCGACATACCTTGATATCTTCCCTGTCGAGCGTAAAATAAGCCTTCTATCACTGCAGTCAAGAATAAAACAGACGGGATGAACCTGCACATCCGTAGGTGCCGAAACCAAAACCACGGTTTTTTTTCTCTCTATTTTCCTCAGCATGATGCACATATGTCGATCTCATTGGTGAAAACGTCACCCCGGATCTTATTTTCTCCGCCTGTGCCTGCCGAGCTCCGTGCCATGCCAGGAGTGGCACACTCATGCAGTGGCTGAGGTTGTGAATGTCTTGGTTGTGGGTATTAGATTACCCGAGTGTTTCACGGCATACCCCGCATTATGGGAGTGAGCCCTGTCTCAGATTGTGAATTTCAAATTTCAAGGTTCTTTCCTTTGCCACTGTGATACCATTGGCCTGGGTCACAGAGTGGTCAATCGTGATCGTCTGTGATATTTCCTCATTCTTATGATCAATCGATCACTCCCAGTTTCCCCTAACCCATGACCCGGCAAAATACAAACCTTTTCATGAGATCACTCGAATAGTCACTCGCTCATCGTTTCCTGTAATATTGGAGTAGAAGTATTCCTATGTTGGATGCAACATCTCCTGTGAAAACATCTCCACACTGGCGAGTGAGATCTTGTGATCGCTGTTGGACGATAGCTACTCAGACTCCTTGTACTTATCTGAAGCTGAATATCCGTGGAGTAGAGTGGCCAAATTGTTTTCTTTGCAGACTATGGCTGGTATTTTGTTTTCTTCCCCATACTGGTAGTTGTTTCTCTGTGCCGCCTCTATGCCCGTCTCACCCTGGTTCATTTTGACATCAAGCTTGTTTAAATGACTTGGTGATAATGAGTATTCCTCGGCCGAGAAAATTAATCAACTTTGTGAGAATCCGAGTAATCTTCCAAAGAATTCATAGACTTCAGCTACATCAATTTTAGCCCACCCCTACTGGTTGAGAATCCTGATTGGCCATGATATCGCTTTGGTAGGCGAAAGGTCTAATAGAGTACTTCACGGCACTACTATTACCCTTATCTGGTCACATTGACGGCCCTGAGGTAAACAGGATATGTCAAGTGGTATAGTAGCGGATTAATTTACGTGTAAGATGGTGGGTTCGAGTTGATGCCCCTGTAACATGAGTCCTTCCGTCATAATCGCCTGAGAAAATCCGGTATAGTACCTTCGTTGCCACGTATTTTGGGGGAAAACACCTAGTTTACGGAATTTAGCTCTCCTTTCGTTTTCATATTCACACCCGCCTTCAAGTTTTGTGTTCAAATACAGAAGGCCTAATGAGAGACATCGAGAAAGAAAAAAATCAGACCATGCATTTCAGAATACTCACGGACCCAGTACTGCCACATGACCAGATCACAACCAACGAACTCGTGTATTGCACAGTTTTTCATGTTGCATGAGATTTTCCAACGATGTTCCACTTGTAAAGCAGATTATCTCGCTCGAGTAGGTACTACGTAAGTTAATACTCTACCCCGAGTAGGTGCGGCATACAGCGGCAATAGCCATGGATCACATAGATGCAGTAGATAGAGTAGGAACTCACGAATCAGACCCGATCCGCTCCGGCTAACAGTGGGAAAAGCCGAGGACAAGATCGAGACTCTTCGCTATTGGTGGACGGCCCTATGAAATTGAACCGACTGGGTTGGCATGCAGTGAGCATGAGTACTATTAGAAGGACTACAGGCGGCCCAGCCTTCTCGAGTCATGCAGTCCTTGCAGAACTGATGATAAAGGAAGGAGGAACCGAAACTTGACAACACTGAGAAATCAATAATAAGGAGTCGGCTCTTCCTGATTAGCCACACCGAAGAACAGGGTTAATTCTAATGACAAATGCTAATGGATAAATATCGCCGCGGTTGAATAGACGATTGTAATGATGACGATGAGGATTATGAGGGTGATGTTGGTGATGGTGGTTATGATGATGATGGTGGTGGTGGTGGTGGCGGCGGTAGTGAGCATCGGGAAAAAAACAAAAGCTCAAAAACTGAGAACGATAAACACTCAGGGGCAAACCAAAAGAAGAGGCCACTTCTCAGCCGTCCCCTGACTTTGCTATATCTAACACAGAGCATTACACGTGGGCAAAGTTCGGTCTCCCATGTGTTTAAGTGACTCTAAGTACATCCATGTACTTGTGTCGCCGTTACTGACCGCAATCTTAGACGTTGTTTTCGGTCTTGGCTCCGGCCTCACACCCGCCATGTGTACGCAATACCCGAGCCGTTTCCCTCTCAAAGAGCACTTCCAACATATGCTAGTGTAAATGTAGGTTCAAGTACGGGTATATTACTTCACCATCTCCTGGCTCTCCCCTGATTATCGACATGCACCCGCTGTTAGCTGCACAAGCTATGTACATGTAGTTCCCCAAATGAATTTCTACTCTCTAGTCAAGCCTAGTTTGCTACACACAGCATATCAGGGGATGTAACCTCGAAGAGGCACCAGTACTACCTGGCCCGGCCAGAATAACAGGGTTAGGGTATCCGACCGAGTGATGGTTCATGATTTGAGCGTGATGCTAGGATCGATATCTCGTAGGTCTCCGGGTCTTTGGGCTAGGCTATGTGTCCGTGGGACAAATGTAGACAGGGTAGGTTAAAAGGTCAATTGAGATCCGCAATTGAACAAAGACTTCACACATAAGAACTTGTGCTTTGCTTAGACATCCGCGCTACTACTAGTATGAGTTAAAGTAGACAATCCATTAAGAATGTGCCTATCATGTACATACATGTAATTATACAATATAATATACATGTATGTACGTACAAGAACTTGTTTATAGAGAAAATTTGACGAGGCCAAGAATGTAATGCGTTACTACGTATTCAGCCAGTCACTCCTTTGAAATATCTACTACTACATGTAATTATAATATACGACACGCTCAGCTTTTCCAAGATAGCACATGTAGTTCGTACTTTCATCGATCACACAGCTGGTCATGATTTATCATTTACATAAGCGTGCTAAGTGCATGTGTATGGGGCGCGGTAAGTGTGTGAAAAGTAATTTTACCAACGGTAGTAAATTATTTTACCACCGGTAGTGAAGATAATACCAGTACATGTATTTATACCCTATAATGCTAATCTTTATGATAAAGGCACAGACCTTTTGGCCAAAAGGGGCCATATAATGCCAATATATATGAAAATTGTCCACCGGTGGGAAATTTTCATAAGTTTTGGCATTAATGATTGAACATTTACTTATTTAGTATAGCGCAGCATAATGACCGAAACCCAGTGTTTATACCGGTGGGAAATGTACTAATGTTGGATAGCGTGCAGACACAATGACTGAAATTCAGTGCTTATACCACCGGTGGTAAATAATTTACTACCGTTGGTAAAATTACTTTTGACACATTTACCGCTCCATACATGTGCGTATCACATACGTAGAAGTTAGAAAGTATTGACGAAAAAAAAGAATTCTCCCTATAGAGGGAGGGAGGGAAAAAATGGTTTTCGAATCGACAACGGCAGGGTTTGAACCTACGCTCCCGAAGGAATCAGATAACCGAACGATGGAAATTCAAGTCTGACGCCTTAACCACTCGGCCACGTTGTCTTGGTGGCACACTCTGACAGGGGTATTAGCTTGTTGCCAAGGTATTCCGATATTAACCCGAATCATATATAATCACTCGGAAGGAGTTGACGGTTCCCAACTTTTTTTTGGTTTTGTTTGTCATTAAGTGTATTCAACCTTTCAGTTATCACATAACCGAAAATACTCTTCCTGTAGGGCCTATCAATTCACCGCCATCTCAATAAAGGAAAAGAAAGTAACTATTTTTAAATTTTGTACATGTTTCTCCTCCGTCCCTTCTTCTTCCATCATGTAGCGGTCTTTCGTACCCGGATATGTCTCAGATTCTTTGAATAACGGTTTTCAAGAGATATAGCTGAGCTCACCCGAGTATTGTGATCCGGATTAATTATAACCACAGATTATCACTCGGTAATCCGCGCCAAGCCTACAAGGACACACTTTTGGGAAAATTAACCACGAGTCCAAAACCACGACGAGATCGGTCAGCTGACTGTAAAATAAGAATTAAGACCATTCTTGTCTGGTAAGTATTTCTATTCGACGTTCAACCATTGTCTCAGGAACGACATCATGGTGCAATTCTAGTGTATGGCGCCTGCCATCCGAAAATTCCTCAAAATATGGGAACCCCTATGAGAAATTACGATTATAGCATTGAAGGTTAAGCAAGAGTAGTAGTAATAGTACTTGTAGTTAAGCGCCTTGAAGCTGGTCCCCCCGAGGTAATCTCATTCATATATGGGACCATGATACTTTTACGACCATGATTTTCCACGGACCAACTCTAGCTCTATCGATCAACAAAATCTTGAGCAATTATGATAATCGTATCATGATATCAGGAAGACTACTAGATATGGGCGTATATAGAAACTGGTCTCTTTCTTATTAGGCTCTCTTATTACTTAACTATTCTTGATGCTAGGATACGTATCGACCCTGTCTATCCTTTGACTGTATCAAATATCACAAATATTTGTATAGAAGCTTAAGCTGCTCTTCACCATTCATCACTTGCCTAAGACTCTGTGACAGATATCATCTCGTTTAAGCTATCACACACTATCTCCGGGGACTACATGAAATGGAAAGGAAAGTCCCAGACCGGAAGTCTTATTACCAGAATTAACGGGTGATGACATCCAAAATTGAGTGTATTAGTCTGTCCTAAAGCTGTAGTAGATTTATAACGGTGTATAAATCCACTTGGGTACCCATCACAGGTTGACTGGCGAGAGATACAGACTTAAACGTTGGTATATCTGTAGTTTGAGTGTCCAATGAGTAAGATTCTGAAGATCAGTTGCTATTGGGTGTTTGAGTGATTGGTGAATTGAACTCATATATATGCTCGTTGGAAGGTTACTATGGTGGCATGTGTCCGTAGCGGGTATCGATATGACAAAAAAGAAGGCCGAACATACCTTTCCATTGGTCATTGGTCTACTCAATTGGGTGGGTGATATCATTAGGAGTTTTATTTTCTTTTGACTTCAATGTATAAAACGTACACGCCGCATCGTGGGCATATCAAGCACTGGGATATATCGAATGCGCTTGCCGATATATGATATGCCCAGTCGAAAGTATTTAAGGCTGGGTGCTTTAAATAGCCATCTTGGATCCCGACTAACTAGAGTATAATACGATGGCTATATAACTATTGCGAGCTAGAGATGAAGTATATATATAACGATATTCTATTCCAATATAGTATTACAAATGTGGGTAATATCAATGATAGAATTACTTAACTATATGTAACATCCAGTAAGCTGCCAATGCTGGGCTAGTCTTGTTTCTGGGAGCCAAAAAGTCACAATTGCGCAGACGAGCGATTAGTGAAATTGACTCAGATTAAGAATCGAGGAATTTATTAGCAAAGTCAAACTGAATCGCCACGTACCTAAAATAGTCAGCATTTTGGGAAATAGCCGAACTAAGGGGGTCGATAGGAATACTGATATTGATACCATTTATTCGATGGCACAGCCATCATGTGCGGCTGCCAGATCCTTTCACAGCTGCAGTCGATCTCTATACACCCCTCTGGTCTAATCTCTCGTATACATGAGGATCGAAACATACATATGTATGCCACCTTCATCGTTTTGCACGCCCATTTATGGTCTTTTAAAAAACCAGGCAAGCTTAACTAAGCCCATAGAAAAATGTCAAATCTTGAAACTTTAATAATCATCCTTGAGTATTATAGAGGTCTAATTGTGCCCATCAATAATGTCAACTGATCGTAGGCTCAAAGACATCGTCCAAGCTTTTCGTGGCACCCAGCACAATGCGTACCGCCCGTCACCGCATAAAATTAGAGTATTGCCATCTACTCCACATTTGCTCCCGGCGTCTCGGGAACGGCCAATTTCAACCAACTCAGGACAGTCTTCAAGATTGAGTGGCTGTGCCATGCGGGAATGTGTCTCAGCGTGAGGCGTACACGTGTGGATCTGCACGCCATCTACCGTATACGTTACCTAGTCAATTGCTTTTCTTTTTCGCCCTACAGTTTCTTATCACGACAGGAGGAGGAGGCGCGAGCCCCTGATCCAGCTTTGGTTGGCTGTGTCTTGCGTAGGTGCAGAACTAGGACTCGATAGTTGATCCTCAACTACATGCCATTAAAGAAACGTCAGAAACCATCCTCAGACGTTTGATATCGCTCCTAGAGTTCGGACTCAGTGCTCCACGTAGTTACGTCTATATATAAATACTCCAGATCTACTATATAAATACATGTACTTACTGTCCTAGAGTACATACCATCGATAAATATGCAGGTACAGTGCATGAAGCCACTGAACCGAACACTCTACTCCTTCCTAAACAGGGTGCTCTCGGTCCGCTCAACGACCATAACCCCAGCACAGATCACAATGCAGGTGCACTCGATCTGCATAAGGGGGTCAGGGGCCGGGGTTTTCTTGGCGCATGTATAGTAACCCCTACCTACATACAGCTGCGCTCCCTGCTTGATCCTCCTCACGCGTCTTCCCCCGTCCATCGCGTCTTCCCCACCAGACAGGCACCGCAAACACAACCTCTTTTCTGTCACTTCCTCCGACATATAGACTGGCAGAGGCCCGAATGTCATGCCATTCCCTAATCTCCCCACCGAGATCCTCGAAGCCATCGCCTCAAAGCTCGATGAGTTCTCCCTCAAATCACTCCTAGAGTGCTGCCCGCACCTCACAGCTCTGATGCCTCTGCTGGACGCGGCCATCCTAGAGTCTCAGAAGCATCCAAATCGCCGTATCTCCGCCCTTCACTGGGCTGCAGAAAAGGGCTTTCGTAAGCTCGCTTCAATCCTTCTCGCCAACGGTGCCTCCATCAACGTGCGCGACGGTTGTAACCAGACACCGCTACACCATGCTGTCCTCGGCGACAATGAGCTTATGGCCCAATTCCTCCTGTCGCACCCAGACATCGATATCAGCGCACACGATGACGCCTGGCAGACGGCATTTCACTGCGCAGCCCTCAGTGGCCGCGTAGGCATGGTAATGATCTTTCTAGACCATGGCGTTGAGATCAACCAGGGTACATATCAGGCCAAGCAGACGGCACTGCACTTTGCCGTGCAATTCGGCAATCTTGCTGTCGCCGAACTACTACTGCGGAGGGGCGCCGACATCGACCGGCGGTGCGAGCGAGGGAAGACGGCGCTACATTGGGCAGCACAAGGAAACCATGTTTTCAATCGCGATCTGGTGCCGGGGATCAGCCTTTTGATCGAGAACGGTGCTGATGTGACAGTCCAGGACCAGATGGGAAACACAGCACTACATGTGCTGGCTCAGTGTTATCTCGAAGGCGCGTACGATGCAATAACACTTCTGCTGGAGCATGGTGCCGGTATCGATGTGCAGAACAAAAAGGGGAAGACAGCACTACATGTGGCAGCGTTGGACGATTCGGGCAGGGATTCGCCAGATGTGCTGAATCTTTTGTTAGACGAAGGTGCAGATATTGGAATTAAGGATTCGAGAGGGCTGACGGCTCTGGAGACAGCGGTAAAGAGGGGTTTTAGATTTACGAGGAGAAATAGAAACGAGTGTGAGATTGGGTTTCGGGGGAGCATTTTCCCAATGTAAAGTTTCTTATTATCTTTTATCTTTTATCTTTTATTGTATTTTGTAGGATTGGGGGGGATGGGGGAGTTGGGGAATGTATAGTTAGCTTGGATAATTGTAATATTAATTATTAGACTCAAGGAGAAATGGTACTGGTGGATGGATATCTGACCATTGAAAATTGGCCGCTTTATCGAGAAATAAAGTAAGAATTGTTGACTTCTTAAGAGGGAGATTGTTTGAGAACAACTGAGTTAAAGGCCACATGGACCATAGGTAATTAATTGCCTGCATACTATAAGTTATCTGTTATCAAGTCAGTGCCCACTGGCCAACAGGATCGTCATAGCTACTTGTACTTGTATGTAAGTACTTGGCAAAATAGAGCACTAAATTTCATCTATCTAATAGGTGCGTCCAGCATTCCCTCCAGGGCCTTAGTAATCCATGCCTTTCTTCCCCGCATATGTATTTTCCGACACACTGGGTACATATGTTTGTGCTCGTGGAGCAGGCCATTCAATCTCGCCGATCTGTACCCCACAAGTCCGTTTCACAGCATATGCCGTAATTAGAGTATAAGCCCATATGCAATAGCGTTTCCGAACACGACCAATATTGCATGGCATACAAAAAGGTGGATTTGGCACGTCATGAATGCTGATTACCATTGATGTACCGCCAACACCGTAGAGACTGACTTGAACTCGTCGATCGTTGCAGTCAGCAAACTAGCTACCTATATATATACGCGGTAGTTGAAGAAGTTGATGACATGCAAGGCTGCGATTAAGAAGTACATAGAGTAAGCATGATGTGACAGCCAACAAAGATCAACTTAACACTGCAAAAAGATTTATATCTCATAATGGCGAGGGCTGAAATGACGGATATAGAACATGTGCCTATGGTGAGATCACTATGAGGGCTCGCTTGCAATTGGCGCTGGGGTTTCGCACCGTGATAGGGTGAGTACCAAAGGTATCGGGAGGTAATCTGTATTATAAAGTTAGATAAAGACTGAGGGGGTATGATAGAGAGTTTACCATTATTGGCGGTATAGGTAGATGAATACGAGTGTAAAAGCTAACCGCTAGGAAGTCTTCTAAAGATCAAACGGAGACGTTTATTCTCAGTTGCAGGGCCGACAAACACTGAATCAAATCCTTGTTATGTGCTGCTCCTTAATACAAGCTAGGATTGCTTACTTAAACGGAAAGCTACACTATTATTATCGATACATCGAGAGATAATATGCATGTTGCCTACGTCATAAGTTGTCACTCGTTAGCTTGATACCATAATGTAAGCAACTTGTTAGGGAGAAGGCTACCGTACATACATGTACTACATGTATGTACCTGATGACACTTGATATTCCCTGGTGACATCTGATATTAATCCCTGATGACATCTGATATTCCCTGATGACACCTGATATTCCCCTGACGTCATCAAAAGTTAAACGTCGAGGAATACGAAAGGAAGAAAGGAAACGCGTCTTCTTTGAGCTAATTGGATATAGTCTTTGAAAACCCAGTTAAACATGGACCCGATAATTATAAGCAAGTCCATGATACGATCAATATCTACATCACGCAGGCGCGTATACTCTCAACTCTACTCTATGCCACGGCCGGACTATGTAACTCTATGGACTCACTTACGTGCATGCATGCAAACTCGGAAGCGGGGAGACTCGTAGGTACTCTAGCAGGAGATCTACCGGGTTATCTACTTTCCTTTTTTTGGCTCACCCTTTTACTGTCGCACACTATTAAACGGAGTCACATCTCCGGGTTGCATCAAAAATCATAAAATCAGACAGCTTAGCTTCCCCGGTTGGTTCCACCAATTGCGTCGCGCCTCCTCACACCAATGCTATTCGACATATTTCTACTGTTGAAAATCACCAAATACTTAATCGGAGGGAAAGGTAATACACATTCCTCTGTAGACGACAGTGATCATAAGGGTTCAATTAACTACATGTATTACAAACCATGTGGTGGGTTGCGTTAGGATCCTTGGAATAAAAATTGCTTTTTTTGCTCTAAGCTTTGCCATTGGCTTACTTCCTAGCTCTGATCACCAAAGGCGGGAGCCTGAACAGGGGGCTTGACCTACATGCAAGCTTTTATTTGCTACAAGGAGTTACTCTAGGTCTGGCCCATCGCGAAAGAAGCTTGTCTATCACTGTTTTTCTTTTTCTCACTCGCTGCCTCTTCTGGACCTCTAATTGCCACTAATTTATGATCAGCCTCCACTGTAATGCCCACTTTGGTTTTTGTCTCAATAGCTTTGAGGAATTCCACCCACAACACCCCCCCCGCGCTTTTCTTCCGTACCCGTAGTACATATGGTTGATGCGTCTCCCACCCTTTCCCTCTTTTTTCAGCCTTTCCTTCCGTCCAAGGTTGAACCCCTCAATAAAAAATCCAAACAGAAACAGAGAAGCGTTCTCTTTTGGTTGAAGAAGCTCGCAAAACATGGCACTGCTATCATCGCTGACTCCAGGATGTGGGGTTCTCCTTTTCTCGTGGATGCTATTGTTCTTGTCTGGCGTTAGTGCGCATTTCGAGGTCCAGTATCCCGCGCAACGGAGATATGTATATCATGATCAGTTTAAGTTCCCATGTAAGACATTACCCCATCATTCTCAATCCCTTTAATTTTGGAAGGTTACGCTGACTTTAGTAGGTGGAGGTTTGAGCCCCATCCCCATCCCCATCCCCTCATCTTTGATATCTCTAACCATTTCCCCACTCAGGTTCTCCTAGAGATCCGTCTGCTAACCGGTCCTCATGGCCCGTGGGCGGCGGCGCCCTGTCTTTCGTTCCAATCCACGCTTTCGCACTCACGACTGTCAACATCGCGCTCGGCAATGACATCGACGAAAATATCGACTCCAACCCGTACAATGTCCCCATGGTCCCACTATTTAACCAGACCGGTGGCAATGCTACTTTCTGCATTCCTAAAATAAAAATCCCTAAGAAAATCGCGAGTGAGGCGACAGATGGTGTAAACGCCACGATGCAGGTTATTCAGTTGACGGCTACTGGCGCTGCGCTGTATAGTGTATGTATACATACATACTTTGGCAGGAGGAGGAATAGGAAGAAGAAGAAGGTCCACTAACTGAGCACTGGCTTGATATAGTGCATAGATATCACATTCTCCGCGAGAGAAGCCGAGATATTTGCTGAGCCGGCGGTGTGGAACCACTTTTGTGTCAATGGAACGGGAATGGGAGCACAAAAGATCGGAGCCCCGATAAATGCAAGCATATCGAATGCTGCAATGCGGTTAATAACACCGCCCTCGTCTTTGTCCTCGCCGCTAGTGATAGCAGCTTTTGCTTTGCTCTGGTCCTTGTGGATGAATTAGTGATTTTCCATTGGTTTTTTGGTACGCGGCTGAGGTGTATATTGGCGTTATTCTGTATCTTGTCCTGAGCTTTCTTTCTTTTGTATAAATAAGTGAGAGTCAACTCTGACGCATGACGATGATGCCTATGGGCTCATGGACTGAGGCTGAGCCCTTGATATCTTCTTTTGGTTAGCTAATAGGAAATCTCCAAGCATCTCAATTAATTGAATACCAGTACTAAAATTGACCGAACCGGCAAATGAACCTAAAGTGGAAAGCCCAAACCGGTGGGGCACCACCACAAAACCCTTTCTTGCGTTCCCATGATTGTTCTTTGTTCTCCGGGGTCGGTATTTGAGTGCTGGAACCAAAGTTCCGAAAGTTAGGCTTTGATATCTGAAAATATTTTTTGACCAGTGCACCATGTTCTTATAGAATCCCCACATCTAACAATAGAACTCGACGCAGGGTCGCGGCGTTGAACGTGCCAATAAGGATCTGGAACCTGAGTTCTATATTTACCCATTCTTGCAGAATATCTAGCTAGCTAACCGCCGCTGCAAAGTTTTTACGCCCCCACTGCTGGAGCATGTACTGCTCGTTAAAGTACTTGCCATGCATCTTCTGGCATAAATAATGACAATAGAACGTACACGCTCATGCAGGTACGATACATCATCGAGACCTTCTGGTAGAAGAATGTAACTTCTTAATCGATCTCTGAGGGAGCTAAAGTCGAGGCACACCTGAGTAAAGCGGTGATTGGAGCACAACTGCATAGCTAGAGATTGCGCACATGACCTGGTAGTACTTGTCCCTATAGAAGCACATCAGATATAGAGAAGGGAATAGCGGTAGATCGAGTATGAAGTTGCCCTAAATAATTATAAGATATAGTATACAAGGACGGGATCCTTATCACGATCCGTAAAAGCTTCATCCTTCAATGCTATTTTTATTAATTGTAACTGAATACTCTGCTTTGTAATGATGTGGTACGTTTGGGGATCCGGAGGATGTTGTTAGACATGTAGCTATGAACGGACGGCTCCCGATCTATTGAATTCAACGAGCACCTGCTTCCCCGGCCCTCGGGACTTGAGCATTAATTAGACGCAACACAGATTGGATATCAGATGTTGCGCCCCTGTTACATATATTTATCTACCCCGCAGCCATGCTAATATTTGAACAGCAATATTACAGCTATCATCACTTTCCAATACTACATGTAGGCATGCGCAGCTCCGATCTCTAATCTCGAACGTTACCTCGTGTGTGCGGTGGATGTAACGCTAGTGACGCTACGACTCGCAGGCGATAAGCTTTGCACGGACGTCGTCACAGCTAAATAACAAGCCTCATCAGCTTAATGCCCGTTGCATTGGATTGGTATCAACTAGCCAAGTCAAACTCACGATCAAGCTCAATCGTACCACCAGCATCCTCGCCACCATCACCTGTGTGCGGGTCCAAAAAATGGAAGAACAATGTTTTAAACGACCTCGTCCCTTCGCTAATGTCAGAAATCATCCATTTGGTTGACATACAAAAGACAGTTTGGGGTGTAGGGGAAACCTTTTTCCTGTTTCTTCCAATTCCTTCTCGCCTGGAGATAGATGTTTTTGAAGATTTGCAACAGAGTTCCTATACCCACAACAAACGGAATGAGCTGTCCTACAGAGTCGAGATCTCCGACGCCACTGACTTGGTTCCATCTCAGAGAGCACTCTACGGAGATGATGATTATACCAATTCCCCCAAACCCAAACAATGAGCCAGCAACATACCAGAACAGAATTTCTCCGGGAGAGAGACGCTTATTCTGCATATACTCTTGCCCGTTGATCGGTCCGCTATTGATCTGGGAGCCCGAAGTTACCGAGCCTGTTTGATTCTGAGTTTGCTGCATTTGGGCCCCACCTCTCGATCTCATCTCTATTAGAAAGTTACCATTCTTTGACCACTCTGGCTCTTTAAATGGCTCTAGCAATACATCGACCCAGTACAGCACGAAGTTCTCCTCCTTCTTCCGTGAAGAGAGTAGCTGCGACTCGGAAACCGCGATCATGGTAAACACTATGACCAGGGAGATACACCCCAGGATCAGTGCAGCCATCATCCATATATTAAAAACCTTATTGACCGTGCGGAACCAGCCAAACAAGTCAACTCTCGCCATAAAGAACCCGTACGTCGAGCACGGCCCCACCCCCATCCTATCCATTCCCCGCCACCAGAACCAGAGCGAATAGCTATGCAACCCTGCCAGCAGGATTATGAAGCATATCATCGTGAAGACCGCGCCGCCGAAAATCCCGTTTTCGTCATCGTCGCGTGAGATTGCGAGGTAGATGAAAAAGTACGAGAAGGTTGTGAATACAACGCCGGAGAGGAGTATCACCACGATGTAGCTCTCGGCTGCATAGAAGTCGGTGCCTTCCCGCGCGGCTTGGAAAATCAGCCCGACGAAGAGACTGAACTGGAACCAGAGGTTGACAGTCTGCGCGCCGCGCGTCTCGGAGGGGATGAACGTGTTGGCGAAGCAGGTAGCGACGAGTTGGCTGTAGAAGCCAATGCGAATGCCGAGGCCGTAGAGGTCGGGATTGCCGCTGAGACTGCAGGCGGTGTTGTCTTGGGCTGCGGCATAAGCGACAAGAGTTGCTAGTATTATTAACGTTGAGAGATGCTTCGGAGTAGGCATCCTTTGGGCTTATAAGCCTATTGAGATGACTTGGATCGATGTGGTTTCTTCATGGCACTTGTGTCTGGTGGGCATGACTAGTTACATCCATGTCAATAATACTCCCTGTAATTTCTGGGGTATGGATTTCTAGAGCGCCGCGCAGTCAAGTATATACCAATGGATCATGGAGAAGTAATTACGAGTCTTTAGGAAGGGCAACACTAAACCTTAGTAATAGCACTCAACACCGAATTTAATCAGTATATTACAAGATGGCTATGTATTGTTTTAATTTCAGCACAATTGATCAGAGAGCTAGAATTGACCGCCTCGACACCAACCACCACATTTTACCATATGTAGTCGTCTGGTCAAAGTTCTAAAATTGTACCGTCAACTCAGTGATCCAGTATGGCACAAAATTAACCGATCTCTAGCACCCTCATAGCAACCAAAACCGTCCTGCGAGGAAATCTCACATCGAGACATTAAAGGTCAGAAAGATAAGCCTGTTCCTGGCAAGCATCTAGCTCTATTTATGAGAGCAAAAATTACTCAATTGCCCTCCTAGTTATTGAGTTATTCTCACCTGAAGTTGAGTTCGACGTTCACGTTGTCGTTAATGATCGGTTAATTTTGTAACCCGACATGAATACCTTTGAGGTGACACGGTTAGATACCCCATAAATTTAGGAGTAGTATCCCCCCATAAGCATTATCTTTAGAAAGCAAACTGATAAAATCAACTTAAGGATATCGTTCTATCTATGTGTTTATCTCTTAGGCTGTGAATGGTGTAAACTAACCAAAAACAGAGGTTGTAACATCAAGAACTGAGGAGCCGGATAAAGCTGCTCACGGTCTGCCACTACGTAGTTCAAAAGACCTGATAAGAAAAATACATCCCTTCTTCTTTGGAGATTCCTATATTACAACTTCACTTCCTAGTTTACATGATTTATATATCGTGCCTGACAGCCTAAGGATGCTTATTTTCATTAAGGACCATGAGAATAGATATGGCATGATTTGCTCTTAGGAAGTATCTCGCATACGATCTACCCAGCTCAATGTTACACAGACCTCATGGGTTGACTTGATCAGGCTAATATATGTACTTACATAATCACTCGAGCAAGGTGCCAGCAGTAAGCAGCAAGGCTGGTCGAACCTCTATCTTTACTCCACATATTTACAGTTCCATTACGCACATCAACCAAGATTCAAGCTTACAAGACCACTATGAGTGCTAGAGAGCTTCCTACTCCCTCGCCAGGTAAGTTTCGTACCATTTTAATCCGTGAATATATCTACTGATGTCGGCAATCAATGCTGTTGCTCTAGGTGGATCTTCAGATCAAGCCTTAAACAAGCAAGTCAAAAAGAAACGGCCCTCATTCCTTAGGATTTTCCATCGATCACCAAAAAAGGGTGATGAAGTCTTACCTGTTGCAAATCAGGTTTCGGGCCATGCAATGGGCTCCAGTAGTTCTGTTGTGTCTGTTGGGGACCATATTACAGCCGGCAGTTCTGCAGCTGCTACACCCCAAAACCACACCGTAGCTTCGCCCAGAAGTACTGCAGGTAGTATTACTACAATGCCGACTAATACGGGCGCTGGCATTATAACAGCAAGTAGTGCTGTAGCTGTCACAGGAATACCACCTCTTAGCAGAAAAACCTCGGTTCATCCTGCTAAAAGTGCCCCGAGCATAGGAAACCCAGGTGTTAATAGTCAACATAAAAATGCCGGCAGGGAATAACCAAACAAATAATGAAGTTACGGGGAACGTTGCAGCGTTTATCCCCACCACTTTGAAGTAAGGTGACTATCTTGCTTTAGTATCCTCCTGTGGATAAAGCTCACAATACTAGTAAATCTGAATCAACATGGGGGGCAGCACTGGCAAAATTATCACCAGAAGAGCAAGAAGCGTTCGGTGTCGGTGGTACAGAAAAACTTGATATCTTGGAAGCTGTCCTGGCCGCGACGAGAGAGAAGAAAGATATCTGCCGACAGAAACAGTGGAAATATACCTGGAAAGGCGAGAGTATCATACTTCGTGATATTGCCGACAAGATTCTTGTGTGGGTCGACAAATTTAAATCTATTGGGGATGTAGTTGTATCTTTTGACCCAAATCATGCCGCACTCCCTTGGGGCGCATTTAGGTTTATTCTACAGTTATGTTCACTTTTTGATACGGTAAATCATGAGAAGTTTTAATCAAGGGCGCAGATGGCTATAAACGACAAGCAAAACATGGGTGCAGTACTTATTGGCCTCGAAATTGTTGCGAATCTTATAGGGAGGTGTGCGATATATGAAGCACTATATATTGGGAACGGCACCAGGTCGAAGAAGAAACAGTTAAAGTATACGCATATATCTTACTATTCCTGGTCCGGGCTAAGCAGTATTACTCAAAGAACACTGGAGGTACGTGTATTGCTGAGTTTTGAGACGCCGAGGCGCTGGATTGACACAGGATCCTAATATGTAATTGTCGTTACTATAGTTCGGATTGCATTCAGTACCTTTGAGACGGAGCTAGCTTCCCTGCTTGATGATGTCGCCACACAGGAGGCTAGCTTGCTCAAAGCGACTGACCTTGCAGAAGTAGAATGTAAGTCCTTGACCTGTTAACTCGATAATATAAATTCTAATCCTCATGTTTCTCATAGACCATAGAATAGCTTGCCATGAACTTCAGGAAACAAGTAAAGGTAGCTCCTGTATACTATGCCGACCAGTTAGATGAGTGCGAGCTAACATTACCACTTGATTCCGCCAGAAATATCCGATGGACTGAAAAGACTTGTCCAAGGATTTCAAATACCAATTATTAGAATTGAGTCCGATGTTAAAATACTTGTTAGTGCTCAAAATGGTATATATAAAAAACTAGCTTCCTCTAAACTATGATCCCCACATATCAATACTTGAAAATTTCAAATGAATATAGGCTGATAGTGGAATATGGTAACAGCCGAAGAGCGAGTAAATATCTTGAAATGGTTATCACAAGTTGAATATGAAAAGCATCATGTAAATGCTTGCATTGGCCATGTGGCTGGGACCGGTGAATGGTTGCTGAATAAAAGAGATTTTATTCAGTGGCAGAAGTCAAGTGCTTCAACAATTCTCTGGCTACGTGGAATCCGTAAGTCACCTAAAACACCAGATCTTGAAAGGAATATACCTTTCAACTCAAAAGGCCTACAACGATTTATAATCTGACATTGGTTTCGAGTTTCGTAGCTGGCGCCGGAAAAACAAAACTTACGTAAGCGCAACCGATACATACCGCCCAATAGCGGGTATTCATGTACTGATTTTTGTAGGTCGAGAGTAATCGATAACGCCATACAACAGCAGAAATCCGGAAGTGATGAGGCCCTTGCTTATTTCTATTGTAAGCGCGATGCATCTGGGCCGACCGATCTAGAAGTCATCATGAGCGCCATTGTTAAGCAACTATGCTGTCTACGACCATCGCTGCCGTTGCAGAAGGAGGTTGTCGCTGTTTACGAGGCTAGGAAGCGTTCTGGGTTCTCTTTAGGATCATTAGGGTTTCAAGAAAGCCTCGAACTCATCATCAAGCTAGTCAGTGTTTACCCACAGACCACCATTCTGGTTGATGAACTAGATGAGTATGATCAAGAGAAGCGAAAGAAATTTTTGATGTCCTTAAGGATCATTGTGGAATCTTCTACAAGCCTTGTGAAGATATTCGTTTCTAGCAGAAATGACGATATTGTACTCAAGCTAGAAAAATTACCAAACCTTTGGATCGAAGCAGCAGACAATGCAGGCGATATTGAGAGGTTCGTGCAGAAGGAGGTCATACGCTGTGAAGAGGATGGGGATTTGTTGCGTGGTAGCGTCACAGATGAGATGATAGAGAAAATTATTAGTAGCCTAACCACGCGGTCTCAAGGAATGTATGAATACAAATATTTCTTAATATACCACATGCACTACCTACCATAACATTCTTCTAACTGGTGGTTAAAGGTTTCTATGGGCCGACCTTCAAATTAAACACATATGCGCCATGGATACCTCGGCGGATATCGAGGCGGGACTAAACGCACTACCAGAATCTTTAGAAGAGACATATCTAGAGATTTATGATCATATACAATCCCAGAAAGGGAACAGCCCACAGATAGCTGAAGTTACTTTGAAGTGGGTACTGTGTTTGAAAATATCATTAACACCTGCAAAGCTCGTTACTCTAGTCTCGCGGTCCGTCAACATCGGTGATCGTGAGCTTAGCGTGGAAACGGTGTTGAAAATATGTTGCAATCCTCTCGTGCTTGACCGCCAATCCAACATTTTACGGCTTTCACACTTATCAGTACGCGAATTTCTTGAAAAAGATTTCGGAATCATCAATGCACACACCATGGCATCGAAGTTTTGTCTTTCTTATATGATGGATAATCCTGCTATCATGAGCCCCTCCCTCGCTCCTGATGCCAGGGCGGCATTTGTCAAGCGTTACGTCGTGATTTATTTGATACATCATGTCCGGTGCTCTAGATCTCTCCATCAACAGACAACCCCCGAGCTTTCTGAATTACTTTTGAAATTCTTAAAAAGCTCTGCTCTTGTGTCATGGGATATAGCACACCGGTCTTATGGGAATCCTGTTTATTACCCTCGGACAGGCTCATTGGCAACTCTTCCAGCCCGAATAGCATTATCGTTTGGGCTTTCTGAGGCTCGTAGCTTGTGGGATTCAGACTCAGGGGGTGTTTATGCAATGGAGAAGCAAGAAAAAATAGATTTGTTCGTGTTTATCGCAGCGCAGACACAGCACCGCTGGGGCCTGGAGCTACTTCTTGATAGTGGAGTAGATATCGACGGCACACAAACTCTGGGCTTCCTAAGGTTCAGGATAGGAGCAACCGCGCTACAGTCCACGGTTTTTAACGGAAACATAGACAATTTGAAGCTACTACTAGATAGAGGGGCGAATATAAACGTATACGGCCGCGGTCACTTCGGCAACGCGCTATACGCAGCGGTCGCAAGCCAAAAGGAGGCCTCTGTAGAGCTACTGCTAGGTAGAGGAGCAGACACCAATAGATCCGGCGGTAGCAACGGCAGTGCGCTAGAGGAAGCGCTCTGTGGTGGAAATGAGAACATTGTGAAGCTACTACTGGACAGAGGGGCAGCTTTCAACGCAAAGTGCCCTTTCTCGGGCAGCGCCCTACATATAGCGGCTGTCTATCAAAGGGAGAACATGGTCAGGCTGCTTCTAGACAGAGGGGCGGATATCAATGTACGCAGTGAGAGATACGGTGGCGTGCTACAGGCAGCAATGTTCGAAAGCTACAAGGAGACCGTTGCGAAGTTATTGCTGGATAGAGGCGCAGATGTCAACGCAAGCGATCGTAAAATTGGTAGTGCGCTACACTCAGCGGTCGGAGGCGGCGAGGAAGCGGATACTCTTGTGAAGCTATTGGTAGACAGAGGAGCAGATGTCAACATACATGGGGGTGATTGTAGCGTGATAGCGGAAGCGGTCGGTCGTGGAAGCGAGACCACTGTGAAGCTACTGCTGGAGAGAGGGGCAAATGTTAACGCTCATGGCGGTAAGTGGGGCAGCGTGCTACGGGCAGCCGCCGGGTCTGGAAACGAGAGCGTAGTGAAGTTAGTTCTTGAAAAGGGAGCAGAAGACAACACAACTAACGCCGGTTTTCACCGCACCGTTCTACAGGCAGCGGTTTCTAGAGGAAACATAAATATCGTGAAACTTGCGCTGGGCAGAGGAGTAGACGCCAACGATGTTAATAACGCACTAGACATAGCTGTTCGTGGAAATGAGGACGTCATTTTGCGGTTATTGCTGGATAAAGGTGCAGAAATGCATGTGGGTAGTCTTGGCGGTGGCATGATACACAGAGCGGTGATGAGGGATAGTGGAAACGAGAACATTGTGAGGTTACTGTTGGATAGAGGAGCAGATGTCAATGAAAACTTCCCTGGTCGGGGCAGCGTGCTAGAGGTAGCAGTTAGTAGCAGACGGGAAAACATTGTGAGGTTGCTGCTGGACAGAGGAGCAGATATCCACGCAGATATCCTCGGAACCGACGAACTTAACGGTAGACCAGGTGGACTCCTACCACTCGCGGTAGAGGTTGATCATCTAGACACTACGAAGCTACTTCTGGAAAGAGGAGCAGATATCAACGCATACTACGCGAACTACTACAGCAGTGCCCGTAGGGCGCTAGAAGTAGCGGTGCAAAGCTCCGGCAGCGCCGCCCCTGCAATTGTGAAGTTATTGCTGGATAGAGGAGCAGACATACAGGGTGGCGAGCTAGAGGAAGCGATACGCCGAGGAGAGGTGGAAATTGCGGACCTATTGGTTGACAGGGGAGCGGTCGTTCGGGGCAAAGCTGGTACATGAAGCAAAGGCAACGTGATAATACATGTGACTGATATATACGTATGTAATCATACTTTCGTTTTCTTTTATTGGGCTACAATTTTCTTATTAGGTAGTGTGGTTGAGTCTATGTATGTATGAAGTAGCTATGTAGGTACATGTATCTAAGAGAACATTTAGGAGCCGCCCGAAATTAATGGTGTTATGTAGCTGTAGCCTGAAGATTCGTTCTGGCGAAAATCCCGTTCTGAGAAATGAACTGCGTTTGGTAGCCTATTTTATGGGTCCAAAAAACAGCATTAACTCCATGAAACGTGAGGTTTTTAATAAGCAGCTTGGAGTTGACCTTTCCCCTTGAAACCTTGTTCCATATACCGCCCACGGGAGAGCCAAGAAAGGTGAAGCCCTGCACTGGTTGCTTGGAGAGGATGGTGCGCCGCCATAGCTTACGGGCTGCATGCGAGTATGAATTAAACAAAAAAAAAAAAAAAAAAAACGGGAGAGCCAAGATTTACGAAAATCAGGACATTCCTGTCATTACCCCTGATGACTAAACCTTGGGCGAGAACACCGCGGCCCTGTTGGGGCCTTGACTTTGATAAGGCGAGGCCTTTTAGAAAAAGTGTGAAGGAGGAGAGGGGAAGTCGGCTTGTGTTGTATTGCACAGAAGCTAGGATGCGTCATCACGTGGAATTGAGGCGACGAGTGATTGTTTATGAACCGGGCACTAGTTGGTCAATGCACGTGACCAGAAGAACGACCTGAGGTACGAGAGCTTTTGATCGATCTTTATTACAATGGGTACATATGCTATCAAGATGAAAGTACTCCGACGGCCAAGGGCTCAAGTAAGTTAAGACCAAGTAAAGCTATTTATTGCCATTTCCATCTACAAAACGTCCTATATATACCACAAAACCACAGAGAGAGAAAAGCCAAAACTGAGCACCAAATTCAGGAACAAAAAGCACAAAAGCCACCCACTTGACAGGATCCTCACAAAAGAAAAAAAGTAAAAAAGAATGAAAGTCACACACACTAATCAGTCAGTCAGCCAACAAAACCAACCACCTACAAATCAAACGGCCTCAATCTCCCCCCGCCACCGGCCGAATAAACACTGCACGGCGCCATTTCGTCCTCATCCAAGTACTCGTCATTCACGCCCCCATAATACTCATTGAAGTACTCCGACGTCCTGTACACGGGGTCTGAACGTTGCTTCGTCGCCGCCGACGCAGAAAGCATACTATGGGCGCTGCATTCCTCCGTCAGTGCCTGCGACGCTCGCATCTGCTGCTGCTGCTGCTGCGCCTGCTGCTGGAGGAGCTGGTTGTGCGTGGTGAGGGCGTGCGTGTAGGTATTGTGGTCGATGATGCCGTGGGCGAGTGCGATTTCGAGGTCGTTCTGGGAGGATGTGGAGCCGAGGTTGGATTGCAGGAGGTACTGGATGTAGGTGTTTTGTTCTGCGGTTGTGGTGATGGTTGTAGCTGGGCGCGGCTGCGGTTGCTGCTGTTGTTGCTGGGCGAGGAAGGGGGCGTAGGTGGGGTGGGTGTAGTGCTGGGAGACGGAGTAGTTAATTGTTGCCGGTGGGGACGTTGGGGGCGTCGCGGGTGGGTCGATGAGGGAGAGATTACGGGAGAAGAGGTTTGCGAGGTCGTCGCTGGTGGGGTCGGACCATTGTTGTTGGCCGGGTTGGGGTTTGGTTGGGGGCGTGGTGGGGACGAGGTTTGTGGTTGAAGCGCACTGTGGTTGGTGTTAGTCAGTTTGTACTGGAAATGATAGTAATAGCATGTACTCACCTGCGAACAGTATGGGATCTCGTCGTAGTCCATCCGGGGGAACTCGTCAATGTTGTTGCAGTTTAAGCAACGGACTGATACGTAGGGCATCATATTTTCAGCTAGTGAGGGGGAGGGTTAGCGGAAGGATTTTGCTATTAATTCTTGACATATGTTTCAGTTGCATGATCCAAGAGATGACAGGAGTGAGTATATATGTATGTGAAGTGCACTTTTTGGATAGAATGAGTGAGACGAATATTTCTTTCTTTCTTTCTAGTATATTATTTCTTTGATACGCTTTGTTTCTCACTACTGCGAATGAAAATAAAGGAAATGAGAAAAAGAAATGAAATCGAATACCAGAGAAGAAAAACAAAAATTTCAAATGATAATCTTTTTATCTGAAACTGAAGAAAATAACTCAAGGTGTGAGGGTGTGAGAGGGGTAGAGAATCGGCGGGGGGGGCAAAAAATGGAACTGGAGAATGGGTGTGGGGTAGATCTTGTAAGCTTGAATCGCGGGCGTCACTTGATTCTCGGCAAACAACGACAACGCAGGGGAAGATAGTAGGAATGCTGTAGAGTAGTGAATAGTGTGATACCGACGAGATTTAGAAGGTTTGTTTCTGGCGACAGAAGAGAGACTGGAAGCGATGAATATAATCGAGGGTAGAGAAGGAGGAGGAGGAGGAGAATGGCAGGTGGTGGGTATATGTACTCAACAGTTTGCTAAGGGCAGGGCAGGGCACATGATTGCATCGAGGGGTTCAAAACAACCAACAACAACCACCAGCTACCCCACCACACCACATCCTAGACTCATCCCTCTCCCCGGCACCGCAGCCAATCCCGCCGTGACAGCACAGGAAGCTTCGGGCCAACGGTAGTAAAAGCCGCACTGAATTTGCATACCAACGGGATAGCTAAAGTTTAAAGTGGACTGGTGTGAGGGGGGGTGGAGTGACCTGGAGTGACCTTGCCGCCGACAGAGATCTTATCATATCTTATCTTATCTTAGTGGCGTGACAACCAAGATCTGGAACAACCAACCAACGACAACACATCCATCAAGATCATGTCGAAAGTCCTCCCCCGCCTGCCAATCCACATAACATTCTTCTCCCGCTCCAGCTGTGCCTTGTGCACCAACGCGCGACAAAACCTCGCCGACGCGTGGAAGCTACGGCCCTTTGAGTTTGCCGAGATCGACGTGATGGAGCCAGGACAGCAGAAGTGGAAGGACGTTTACGTAGGTTCCATCAGTCGGGGCAGGGTAGGTTAACAGATTAACGGAAATCTATAGGAATTCGATGTACCAGTTATCCATGTCTCGAAAACGGGCAAGGGCGGGGTTGTGGAGGAGGTGAAGAAGAAACTGATGCATAGGTTTACCCCGGAAGAGATTGTGAAGGCTTGGGATGAGGTCAGGGAACAGGGGCCGGTAAATGAAGAGAAATGACGATTTTTTGTATGTAGCTGTGTAGGTACAGCAAATCCTCAGCCTTTCGGAGGGCGAAATTGAGGTCCGGATCCCCCAAATGATGCTACCCTGGTTATGGGCCTTCAACCCTAGAATACAATCTCCCTTCATTTTGCCACACTATGTATGCACTACTACGCGTGTAGGCGTAAGTCTGTAGATAGTGAGAGTTGTTGCAACCACGGCCACTGTCTATAGATTTACCCCTACGCGCGTAGTACATACATATCGAACCATTGCTTTTAAAACAAGATGTAAAACTTGCACTTTTACACGTGGGATCAGCAGAGTGCACTTTCAGTTATTCATGCGTCATCACTCGGCACGCCACTCCGCTAAGGCTTGCGTCCTATTAATTACATGCAGCCTTCCAAATAACGCTTCATCCATCTATGTACCTCTATGCCTGCGTCCATACCCAAGATCCAAAATTCAGTGCACTCCTACGTCAGTGACCCATTTTTATCACTAGTGCCCTCTGTCTTGATCCCATTAAACACTTTCCACGCACTCCGCCTTCGTGAGCTGCTTCCTTGAGCTTATCTTGCCGATACACATGAAATCCGGGAGTACCTACATAACCACGCCCAGAACACACACACAACCAACATAAAATACAGCCATTGCCAAGCTAGCTCACAATACAATTGCAGTACAACTCGCGGTCGCGATGTGGGCCACTACTAAGTAGTGCAGAGTACAAGAAACAAAAAAACGATCAATTCCAAACCCCAAACTCCAGAGAGTACAAAGAGTACAAAAACAAAAACAAAAACTAGTGACCCAAGATAAGTTTATAAGCCTTTACATCTTACATAACCCTCCTGCCCAGGAAGGAAGCCGAACCGGGGTCACCCGGTTAAACTACCTCGGGAACCGTACCCCAATACCGCTAGGCCATTGGGAGGTCCATAGTTTTCAACTGTAGCAATTTAATGAGCCAAACCTTTAACTTTGGACAGCCTTGGCACTCCCAGATACCCACACCTTGAGCAAAGGGCATGCACGGTACTAGTAATACATGCATCATGACTGCTAGTTAGGCTACGCATATCAAGATCACGGTCACTCAAGTCATCACCACCGGACCCCCCCCCGCCCCCTGCCCCCTTCCAAGTACCACCAAGCTCCCTTTTTGGAAAAAGTGGGGTTTATTAATTAAAAGTGGCCTATGGTCACTACTAAATAATTAAATATGATAAAATAGCTACCTTTTTTATGCTGGCGGCGCGGATTTTGTAGTTTTTATGACCAGCACTTCAAAGCTTTTATATTCGTAGTTGCAAAATAACGTATTCGGCCGGCCCTCAACCCACATGGTAAGGAGGATTATCAAGCTCGAAGAAGAATGAAACTCTGTGCGGTTCGATGCGGTATACTCGATAATAGATTGTAGTTCTCGACGTCCGTCTTAGGTCTATCAAAATGCTTCCATACATTGCAGGAAAAGTAATTCGAAATGCGAGTGAGAAACTATGATTACCACAGCTCCCATTTCTTTTTTCTTTTTTCTTTCTTTTTTTTTGTTTAATTCATTAATTGTATGAAGCCTTACGGCTACAGCTCCTATTTGCAGGTACTCATAATTACCTACTTAAATATAAACCTCAACCAGAGATTACACCAAGGTTATTGCGCAGCATCCAAAGTATGTTATGGGCCTATCTACAGAGGTATTTGTGAATTTCAATAGACCAGCGGGCATGGCGGGTGTGGTTGGTTGCGGGTGCGGGCTTGATTGAAACAGAAAATCATTTGATCTTCTCCTTCACTTTGAGAATCTCTAACTACATTTTTCCCTTTGTACTTATCTGGCTGTTGATATCACCATTCGAGATTAACGTCAAGATTAACGGAGTGCCAATAAAGGTTACTTCAATTAATGCGTATGTATTATCTATACGTAGCGCCGTCGCTTTCGTTACTAGACTCGAGAACACCTATCATGCTGCGTCAACATAAGCTCGTCTACATCACACCCCCCACTGAACTACACGTAAGTACAAGTAGCCACGAAATCAGGAGACACTCCGACCGCACAAAAGAAAAATACAATCAACCGCGTGAGGGTAAACCCTTAGGCCCCTTCCGCTTCCAGCGTTTTCTCTAGTTCTCGCCGTCTCATATCATTCTCTATTCTAGCCCTCTCCCGCTCTAATATGACCCATCGTATCTCCTCATCCTCTTTCTCCAATCCTTTCCCCAGATACCTGAAATCTAATCTAGCTCCAGTCGGCACTGTTAGATCTCCTCCTCCCCACTTCTCCATATCCCCAGTTTCTGGGGGTGAATCCCAGCCTTTATAGCACCGGTCTACACCCCATTGGCCGGTCTCTTCCGCATCTAGCCTGGCCTGAACATTTGCCACCGCTTGTCGTTGCCGCCGTAGCCGCCGCAGATATAAGAGCCCAATAATCAGGGACATCATTAAGAGCGGGACAAGGAGCGCAAGTGTTATTTTCCCAGCTGAGGATGGGGAGTGTGGGGTAGGATCAATATCGGTGTACGTGTGATCTGCAGAATAATTCCATGTTAGTGAGAGATTGGGGTCTGAGTGATGCACCATGACTTACTCCTCCTCAGCAACCGTCTTGCAAATCCGGTCTTCGACATCGCTGCTGGTATGGCCATTTGGAATCGACAATTAATGTTATCGACCTACAAACACCCTCGCTTGGCGGCTGTAGTCCTTTATATAAAGCCACGAGCACTTGTGATCAGACTTGCATCTGGAAATAGATGTTGTCAAGAGCCTCTCTCAGATGACCATCTTCCGAGACATGTGGTCGCCTAGCTTGGCCTGTTGAGGCTTGTGTTCCGATTGCCAAGACGAGTGATACAGGGTGTATCTCGGTAGCTCCCGTCAGCGCGTTGATGACATCGGGATTTGGGTGTGGATGTTTCCCCTTCTGGGACTCTCCTTGGTGGAGGAATCTGGGGACTGCAGAGTAAGACACGCGGTGCCGGGTTACCGGGGCTACTGTTGTTCCGGGTGTGGTGGGAGTGCATGTGATGTGGGTGGCTACATGATCGAGGGAGCACCATGTACCAGCTAGTACACACAAGAAGGGCGTTTACTGGCATCAAGAGCATAAAAAGTTACATAATATACATTGGTGATGGTGCGTTATGTGATCATGCGGGTCTAAGTTAACTGAGAGGCCAGGGAACAGATTTCGTAAAGTGTAAACCCCTTCCCCGGGATCCTTTTTCCCACTCCCATTCTACCACCGCCATGCTCAACTACATGTATCTAGAGGGTGCAGATTAAACAGTTTCATCAGACCCAGATACTATGCAATTCTCAGGCCTCGTCAAAAAATCGTTCCACATCTTATTGGATTACTGTTTGATCAGTTGGAGAACCGAATTCTAGAAATCGAGTCATGTCTCAGGAGGGTCGTAATATTCTTGCTTGGAAAACGGTCGGATTCTCCCCTCCTATGTACCTATAGTGGTGCCATTGTCAGAAAGCACCCCACTGACCCGATAGCTGTCGATGACGTGCAGGTATCTCTCCTCTACTCTATTTCTAAATACTGCATGTACCTACACAGATGTGGAGTAACTACATGTATGTAGCCTCCCCACCGCAAATGGAAAGTCCATGTATCTACCCTAGTAGGGCTTGCTGGAGGAAGTTGGTTGACAAAATTAGCTACATACATCGACCTGTTAAAGAACAAACTTCACGAATCTCTGATTTAATTATTTAATTGATACATACATGTAGCTACCTCACGCGGGTAAGAGCACCCGTCTACGGGTAGTCCATAGGTGAGTTTTCGTTATTTGTCGATAAATATCTACATACTATTATAATTACGTATGTTTAGTGGTAATGGTCTAGGCTCGATCGTCGCCAGGAGGTTGATACCATAGCCAGTGGGCAAGTAATCGCCGTCCTGGTGAGGAGATCTGTGTCCGACGTCATAGGATCAAGATCCCTGATAGTAACGGGTATGATTGATCATGGAGCTGGTAGCTGCTGGTATCCCAGAGACAGTCTCAACGCCTTAGGGAACAAGGAACTACTAAAGAAATCTTATTTGACATGGATCTGGGGTCTCATGGGTGTATTGATGCATGGGAACTCGTGAAAGTTCTAATGCCGTAAGGTAGCAAGAAAGGAGGACGCATTGTAGGTATTTACATATACGTCATATGGAGGTTTTAGGATCCAATCCCCAAAGGCGTTTTGACAATGGACCACAAGCCGTGGCCGAGGCGCAACCGAAAGGACAGATCAGTTCAAATATTTGAATTACTGACCTCTTTAAATAGTACTTAGTCTAAATCCCAGATTCCTGCTGAGTTGGACAACATGGAATCTCAGGACTCATAACTACCTCCTGCGGCCACCCCCACAACATTAAATAATTTATACAACCTAAAGAAGTTTTACATCAGAAACGAATATAACCGAGCCGATCAGATCACACCAGTTGATTCCGGCTCCTAATTTTCCCCGGATGACCCCTTCTTGACCGTAAACAGGATGGAGCTAGGAATCTCGACCTCTGTAATCTGCGGCGCGTCATTTCCTTCCAACTCCAGTCTCTTCTTATCTACCTCACTGGCATCTAGAGGAGCCTCGAGTTCCGCAATAAACGCGTTATTGTTTACGCCCGTGGCTACACCCGCGCCAACACCAAAACCCGTATTCGAACCTGCACTCGCACCAGTACCCGCACCAGCACCCGCAAATCCGTTACCCCTCATGCTCGAAGTTGTTTCCGCACCCGCTCTCACACCCGAAACCGCAGAGAACTGACTGTTTCTCATGCTCGCGTTGAAACCAGCACCCGAAACAAACAAGTTACTTTTTATCCCCGCACCTGGACTCATAGACATAACCGGGCTCGAGTCTAATTCCATACACCCCACCATCGATGACCCATCAAGCTCAGCAATGAACACTTTCCCCATTCCTCCCGGTCCTGGGTCCAATTCCGAAACCGCCGTGTCTAATCGCACATCTCCATACCCCTTCTCGGCATCCGACTCATTCTTTTCGATTGGGAAAGGAGGCTCCAATGGCGGGGCGGCGGCGGCGGCGGCGGCGGCAGCAGCAGCACGGCGTCGCCGTCTCCAGTAGAATATGCAGGCCCCTATTATGATTATAACGGTGGGGATTGCGACACCTATAAGAATATAGCCGACGGAGCTGGTCATGGGATGGGGCGCGGGAGGGAGCGTGGGCTCTGTGGTTGCGGTCGAGGACTCGATTGTTGTGGATAGGGGGGTCGAACTACGTAACGTATGTTAGGCCCCACATACCAACAGATAAAGTGAAGAGGAAATGCAGACTTACCTCCCTGAAGATGAGGTTGAAACCGGACATGGCGTTGGATTGACATCGGTTCCACAGCTGGCCCAGATATCTGTTGTAGTGGTTGTTGCGAATAGTGCCATTATTAATTAATTATGAATATACCGTACCCTGAGTGAGTGAAGGGATGCGGTTGGAGGGGGCGTGTTGGAGGGAGAGGAAGAGTAATGTCTAAATATTGCCAACGTCCCCCCTTTTGACTTAAAAGGAATGCTGATGTCTCATATAAGCATATCGGGCCGGTAGTCTAAAGTAGGGGTGGAAATGAGGTTTGATGTCTCGGATATTTGGTAAGTGACAACTAGGGTACCAACGACGTCCGTGTGTTTTCTCGGGGGCGTGATTCATCATGTCTCACTCGTATTCGGGCTTAACTACTATTGTGCACAAATAATCTTAGGATCTGCACTAATGAACTCGGGGATTATATTAGGATCTGCAGGTGGATGGGTATATACAGACCTAGAGTAAATATTTACCGAAAGCTTGCCGCTGAATATATTCGCTATCTGAGCGCAGCTCGCATAGGAACTCTTGCGAATTGGCGATAGAGCTTGTATCCCGCACCTCGCTTGAAAAGCGCCCCAAAACAATATTGAGTAAATTGAAGCAAAAGTCCACAGCGCGATCACATCACCGCGGCGACACTGATCTACATATGAAAGGCGCACACAGGTTACGATAGCACACACGTAAGTGCACGATGGACCAGTCACATCTCAACCTTTATCGCATGGATTTCCGCCATCTATTTTATACACGTAGATACATGCAGTTAGTAAACATGAGCCTACAAGGAAAACTTTCCAGATTGCCAGGGTCTCTTGCAGACTCGGGGGACATGGTGGGGTATTTTGTGGTTAGCGCCGGCGGTCTAACCGCTTTGGGATGGAACGATTAGGGGAATTGCGGGCTAGCGACATGTACTCTAGTGAGTACATGTAGGGACAGCAATTCGGAGGTTTTAGGCAGCTAGCCATTCTGGGTCGTCGAGTGCGGAAACCGTTGTTTGTATAGCGTACGTATAAATTAAGGCGTAAAAGGTTTTCCTGGTTCATACGTCAGCGCGATATAAAGTATGATGATTAATACGAGCGGTGCAAAAAGTCATATCTTTTGCCTACCGTTCTAGAAGTTGAATGATTAGTTGAACCTTGGGAACAAAAAAACCATTTTTGGAGTTCCGGATAAGTGACAAAAATCAAGACATTCGCACTTGGCTGTAGCCATTCGATATAGGTCACTTAACCACAAAAGCTTAGGGACGATTCAACTTTGAGAAGCTCCTTAGTTCTCGCTGAATGTTTTCAGTAGTACAAGTCGTTGCCCCTTGCCTTGAGCCGGAACATCAGCACAGTCTCTGGGGTCTTCGAGACCATGCAGATCGATGTGAAGGCTTTCTGGCGCCGACGCCTAGTTGGATCATTTCCACCCCACCTTCTCTACTTATTTTTGGGCCAATTCTTCCACCAATATATAATACCTAGCTAGGCGCCCCCTATAGCTACTTGCGACATTTCTCCTGCTACCTGCGGGTCCTCCGAATCGTTCCGCCCCGCCGGACTGGAATTTTCTTCCCTAGGTACTTGTGATACTTGTACCTGAGGGGCTGCCTGCAGGTTCATTTAGTATCACGAACTTGGAACCCATGGCCCCATTTCTCTCCCATGGACCTATTTTCCACCTCGATAGGCTCACAGGGCCAGTCCCGCCATGCGCAAGCTGCTTCCCGGCTCGTACAGCGGTGGGTAATAAGTCATCGGACGACCTAACCACAATTTTGCCTGCAAACGCGTATTTTGGTGGCGTTCCGTCTGATGACTTATTACCCACCGCTGTAACTTTCCTCCTCTAGTGGCATCACCTTCTCCCCTCTATAGAGCCACAACACCGCTCACAGCACTACAGGTACTTCTGGTAGATGTCCCTCGCCTAGAATATCTCCTTCCCCTTCTTGAGCTTCCAGATGGGCCTGTTAAGTGGCCTTCGAATCTCGATTGTATGGAACACCACCGGAATATTCTAGTCGATCTATTTGCTACCAACTCGATTCCAGAGAGTGGTGTTCAGTTGATGCTAGTTTTAACTAATAGGAAGCCAGACAATAAGATGGAAGAACGTTCAACTAGAAAGTGGTGATTCAGAAGAATGGATAGACATCTGGGATATTTGGCCTTATCCCTTAGAGAGATATGGACCCGTGCGATATATACTAACTCTTACCTGGCCTTATCGCGTAAGCCGGAATATTTAATCCTCGTATACGTTATAAGGCTATCTTTCAAGGCCTTTATCGGAAGAAAGCTCTTTATGACTCCGAACTATATCCTCCTGATTGCTAATCCGAAACTCTATATATGAAACTCGAAAGACCGAGACCGAGTGATATTCCATGATTAACACATTGATGTATGTAGGTCGAGTGATATTCTCTGATCGGGTCTCGAGTGATACAATGTGTCGGACCACTGGGAGCCTCCTATTTCTAGGAGACCCCCATTGGGCATGAGAATGGGAAACTAATGCTGAGCTAGAGATCCTGGTACAAATGGGTTCCACACAATGCCTATACTCAATTGCATGTTGATATTCTAAAATAAAACCATGAGTTCGCGCCATCTCAACAGCAAAGAAAATAAAAATAAAAATAAAAGTAAAAGTAAAGAAAAGTAACTATTTAGAACGAACAATTTGGACTCTGTCTCTCCTTCCGTCCTCCTTTCTAGGCCCAAGATTAAATCCATCATATCCTGAATATCTGTCTAGTCCCCTATAAATGTACCATAGGATCTCAATGGTGCCTGTTCTGCCGTTTATTATCTTGAGGGTTATATAATTCAGAAATAAAAAAAAAGGTTCAGATAGGATTTGATGTACTCAGACATTGATATGCGCTCATCACTAAACTTAGAAAATACAGAAAAGAAAGGAAATGACATAACCGATCATTACATGTATACTAATTCGTATACTTACTTGTATAATCTCGAAAATATACCGTCAAATCGCAACGCCCTAGTATTTCCGACCACACTTTGCACATTCCACACCTACTTCTGGCCCCGCACCACTAGCCGATGGTGGATTAGGAGGATATACAGTCAACATGTACGGGTGTTTGTCATGTTTCGGGACTGTGATACCCTCCTTCGGCTCCTTCGGCTCCAAGCGAACACGCAATGGCGTATTAATACCAAGTGAATTCTGCAAATCTTCCGGTGGTCCCGGCGGGTTTTTGGTCCTCGCAATCCTCGCTCTCTTCCTCTCACGTTTCGCCGCAAATACCTCCGTCGTGTCTAGTAGCAAGGCATCCGCTGCAAAGCTCTGTTCCCGAACACCCTCACTTCTAACTTTCCAGTGGGACTCAAAACACCGCAAAAGAATTCCCGAAACCGTTACGAGCAACTGGAGTACCACCCACATCCACACCCTCCAGTAGGTCACCACTCCCTGTAGTAGATCGATTCTCTGCGTCGCACCGGCACCTAGAAGATCGTTCCGTGCTCTCGTTCCGCTGTTGTCTCCAAAGTTGTATTGCAAGGAATTCCAGCATGACACATACGCCCGCTGCATGGCTAGAATTAAGGCCTCTGTGTGATTTGATACGTTTTGATCAGGATCACCCAAGGCCATGCTATGCATCACGTCATTCATCAAGAATATTGCTTCTTTGGTAAACTCGTTCGCAACGATATTGGCATGATAACTGCCTTGCATGACCCCCGGAGAAATGACTTTCGCCTGCGATAAGGTTGTTCCCGCAGTGAAGCTGACTCTGGCAAAGGTATAGCAACTGTTTTTTACTATTCCGTTCCGCTGGAAGACAGCGCTTTTGGTTCTGGTTTGTGGTTCAACGTACATCGTTGGGCAGGTCTGGTTGGTGGGCACAGTTGCATAGAGAAAAGCAACTAGACGTGGTTCGTTGAAAATCGTAGGGGTTGGGTAGGAGCCCTGATACGTTGCATTCCCATCCCACTGGGGAAGATCCAGCATTCCAACATTACCGGTAGTTGCATGAGTAATGGGATTCTCCTTTGGCTCTGGAAGGGCCCCACGGTAAGGATTCGCGAATGTGCTCATAATTTGCTCGGATGGAGGGTTCTGCTCCCACGCTATCGAATCGAATCGCAAACAAGGTATCGTGATATTATTCACCGTCGAACTGTCACTCAACGTTTTATCTGAGATGTGTCTCCGGCATGCATTGTTTTCATTGATTAGGGTTTCATGATACAGTGACCACGAGAAGGATAGTGCCTCGCTCATGACCTCCTCGCGTGTGTCTGCGTCTTCAATATATTCCCTCCAGATTATTGGGTCCCCTCCCGAGGATGGAAACACCTGGAGAACACTGGGTGAATGAATGAAACCGATAGATTGCTTCCAACTGATAGAACCAGAAACCAAGGGACCAGAGAGCTGAGCAGGTACTAGAAGCAACAGTATGATGAGCGTCGTACAAGAGTATTTTTCGCGCGGAAAAATTCCCATTTTATAGGATACTATGAATTTGATCTCTGCGAAGGTAAGAGACTGCTTTTCGAGCATAATGCAGGCACACCGCCAGGCTGCGACTCCTGCCCACGATCCCGTTGCGAGCTTGATGAAAACAAGGCCTGTTGAGACGATGGTCGTGATGTCACCGGGGAGGATCCAGTCTTTAACGTTAAAGGTGGCCAGTACTTTAGTGTTGATCTCATCCCCGAAGATATACACCTGCCGACTTGTTGTTGAACGGTTATTGCCTGCATTCACCCGCAGGCCTGAAACCCAAACAAGAATGCAGGTTGCGAGAAGAGAAACGAAGATCAAGTGGATTATGAGAATACCCCACGATTGGAGGAAGTCTGTCAACGGTTTGAAACTTTTGAGGAAGGTCGTGGCAATGGAGTTCCTTCCCAGGACAAGCCCTACCAAGCCGCCTTTCCTCGCATTTTGTGGAATTTCCTGCGTGCGTTCGCTCTCCGGTTCCAGTGTGGTAATCTGCGGTTTTTTGCCCGCGGCGGGGGTAGCCATCTGGATCGATTTCTCTCTTCTTGTGGCTCTATAATTGATGAAATGGTTTGTGGGTCGGGTGTTGTGGGGCATACGGGGTGTCATGAGAAACGCGACTTGCGTTCGTTATATATTGCGCAAGAAGTATATATGAGAAGGCGATCACAGCCAGCGCTACAGCGTGAGTGCCTAAGGAAAAGGGGGAACACTACAAACACTTATCGAATGGGGTTACAGATTCAAACACTCACCTATCCTGCAGAGCTGTCTAACGGTCGTATTTGCAATATTTAAACTTGGCGCCTTAAATTCGACATCTAGGATAGTAGTATTGGCTTTAAATGCCGTGGAACTACTCATATCTTCCTGACGTGGAACCCTTATTGTATACCATACTAAATTGTGGACTTGGCGAGTATTTGTATGGTATGCAATAGTGGTTCCTTTTACAAACGTCAGGAAAATACGAGTAGAGTATTCACGACTCACACACTGCGCATACATCATGCGCAGCCAGCACAATTCGAGCTGAAGATCAACCATCTGTCGATGCTCTGCAGCTGCCACCCAATCAGAAACAAAGGCAGAATCTCAGACCTGGTGCTAAAGCGGGCCATGGATCAAGAAAGGGATATCGGTATCTTCATTGGTGTTTAGATGGTAGTAACTGTGATATGCTAGCGCTGGCATCGCCGGAGCCTATCACCTCATGTTATGAGACGGTCCATGCCTACTCTGTCTGACAGGGGATTTCATTTTAACATTTGGTATTTGACTGAAGCCCAGATCACCAGTTGCCAACATCACTGACGTCGAAATAAGGTATATAGCACTAGTAGCTAAATCTCAAAACGCGTACGTTCTCTACTCTATATACGTTGCGTCCCTACTTGTAGCTTTCTCAAGAAATTAGCTATGCACGCAAGATCAAAATTACATTTGCTATTTACTAACGGAAACTTCCGATGCTGATCGTGGAACTTTAACCGATCGTTAAAAGGTGATTTCTGATTGGATATGTCAAAATTTTGAAGTTGGACAGATATCTACCGTGAATAAGTGTAGGCGCTCTTGAATTCATGAAGCTAGTGTCACAGTCGGAAATATTATACCATACCCCGCCTTCCCCAGCTTTCCCACCCTCCCCAGTCGTAATTGAAAATATTGTGGCCCTTAATATCGGGTGCTCAAGGGCTTAATGCTCTGTGTGTTTATCAACCTATAGCTAGCTAGGCACTCTTTAATAGGAGGAGTCTAGGGTCAAAATGACCGCATTTACTTTATCGATTGAGCATAGCCTAATAGCGGGATTATCACTAATCTGAGAAACCCAGTTGCGGCATGTTCTCCATCCCGCTAATTAGCCACTCAGCTACGTCCTAGTTCTGTTAAGATTGAGTGAATCATGGACCACGTGTGGAGTTTTATACCATGTCACGAAAATCTTGGAGGACGATAATTACCGATTGGGCCCTGCATATGCGCCAACATTTAAGCTTATTTGCTCCGCCGCCAAATATTCCCGAGTGTGGTCGATGTAAGGCTCGGTCAAACGAGACTCAATATGATTTAGCTCCATTACACAACATTAAATATGATTGGCTTTAACATTGGTTACTATCGCAATCACCACAACCAGGCCTGGTTGCTTGGAACGCCAGATAACCGAAAATCATTTTTTTCTTTCTTTTAGGAATATATGATTGCCCAGGATTCTGTTCGTCATATAGATCGATAGTATCTTCGGCCAGCCTCTTCAGCTCGAAAGAGCAGGTGTTGAAATCTGTACATATGAGGTTTAAAATAAGCTTGATCAATTTACCGCCAGGTCTTCGACAAGAACTACCATCTCGCTACTGCCAATCGCTCTATACTTTTGCTTTCCACCCGGGTTCTTGTTTCGAGATTTGACGGTTGAGGTATCAGAGCCTTTCATAAAGTGTTTTAGAACACCCTTTCATGGGTGGTCCCAGCTAAAATTTCTGAGTCTACCTAGAGGAACATGACTAATTTAATCAATCATCGTTGAAAACTCGCTCTATTTTGTAGTGGAAAGATTTTCTGGTTTGGCACTTTCCATACCTTATTCGGAAGGAATCACTCGGGTAGTTATTGAGTCCACTGAAACATAGGAAATATGAGGCAATTCCATCATTACCAATTCACTAATATCGAATGGTATCTACTCAGCTCACCATGCACCCCTTCTCTATTCTACCTACCTATCATCCAGGGTTTTCTAACCAAGATATTTCTTACTGCAGAAGCATGGCCTCCTCATAACATATCGTTTGGGACCCGAGTGATGTCTTGTGACGAAGTGTTTCGGTTGGAGTTGCAGTATTTGCAATGGTACATATCTTTTTGCCGAGAGACACTAGAGTGTCACGGCCGAGCTTACTGTATCTGCGGGTAATCAACTCACTCGGCCTAATACTATCGTGAAACGAGTGTGTGGCAGTTGATAGGAACCGTTCATATCGCGATGCTTCGTTCGTTAGAATAACGATCGTCACGCAGGAAAAGAGTAGAAAGCAATTTATCGATTATTGGATAGCATGAGATGGGGAAATTGCCCCATTCCATAGAAGTTTCGACAAGCCACGTCAAACCCAACGTTAACTACAAGTTGTATTGGCGGTAGTATTGCAAAATGCATAATCCTTCTCTACCAAGCACGGAGCTTTACGTGTCAGAGATTATTATTTAGGGCATTGCTTGAGTCGACTGGGCTAAACGACGTTGGTCGGGAATTCCGTTTTATTGGCACGGAGGTGTCTCCTTTCGGGGTTATGATCGCGAGGAGTTACATATGTATCTGAATCTCTTTGCATTTGGTTTGACTTCCAACCGGATTGATAGCGAGGATATTAGTCATTCAGGACCGCTATGCAAGCAAAGAAAATATGACACGTATCAGTAATGGCGATGTTTTTTTTCTTCCATCCCTTCGTCTGTATTCAGGACCGGGCGCTATGTGGCTAAACCGGTCAAGCAAAATCTCTTGTAAATCCTCTGCTAATAGACCTAACCCTCACTCCGTGAGCCTCTTTAGTGTGAATGTAACGCTCGCCACCCTTCCTTCAGCAGATCTTTCGATTTTTGAACGAGTTTTATTCTCTTTTGGCAGCGTTACAATCCAATCACAGCTAGCATATCGAATATCAGGACGCTGCCTTGAGGCTAAGAAGTTGTGAACTGCGGGAACAGACGAAGGGATAGCAGGTTCAGTACGGAAATTAAACAATCTATGGAACTGTTGGGAATGTGGGAATGTGATAAATGCGATAGGTGGAAAAGTCAAAACTTATTTCCCCTGCCAACGGTGGGCAAGTTAGCAATATGATGTATATCTTGCCTACTCTACATGTAGTTCTTTCCCGGGTAGGCGATAAAATCTAGGTGTCCTCTATATCTGCTAAATGATCTCGCCACTAGATATATATGCTTATGTGAATGTGATATGATTTTACTCAAGCGTCTGCGCACATGCCAGTACATTCAACCCATTGATATTCGTATACCCAGAGTAGGTATTTGAATGTAAGACACTCCATGGCCTAGAGACATGATTCCCCAGAAAGTAATTCAAGCGGGACCCCTAAATTGATCACAGCTATTGGGAGGGTTTTAATTTTACGTAATATGAAAGCCGGAATAGTGATATAGGATGTCACTCTAAATAATAACAAGCTAGGCCTAGAACTTCTCTTTTCCTGGTTATTACCTGAAAAGGTAGACTCACCGTCCTTACCACAACACTAATATTGCTTTATGGGAAGACCTGATGAATTTTTTCCGGCCTCGACTAGGCTTTTATGGGGGTGGGGGCGGATCACGGCTACACTCTTGCGCCAACACGTACACTGCTTGAGTTACAGTGTTTCCCTATGGGGCGAGCACCACTAATTGAGCATTCGTATACAAATATTTCTTTGCTACAAGTCTGACGGCCAGATTTTGCGTGGTGGAGTCCACTCTGCTCAGTCACACAAATGCGCATGCTCGAGCTCGCGAAGTAGGGAAACGCCGTATGTCCATGCATGCCGTGGATCAAAACAATGACTACTCTACGTTAAGCTAGATATATTAAGGTCAGGACTTATTGAGCGGACAACTCAATCGATAGCCTACGGTTTACGCTGGAGGTAATTCGATAGACAAGGCAGAGATAACTAGCCTGAGGAATTAGAAAGTACGCTAATGGTGTATGGCTCATGATCAAAAGGGTAAACTCAACCAGTTAAAGGCTGATAGTAACCTTTTAATTTATATGGACTCTAACTGGTGGACGAGTAGGGGAACTAATTATATTTAACCTGCTCATTCCTACCTTTAATTGCGGTTTGGCATAAGCGTCATGAAACCAGCGGGCATTAAACGTACTTCGATCTGGCTTGTCAGATTTTAAAATTATTGTCGGTTTTGCCTTGTCTATCTCGTAAAATTGAGATTCCCCAGTAGACCTTCTCAAGACGAGATGAAAGACATCTTCCAATGAAATTCTGTGAAAACAACTAATAAAAGGAAGTATACAATAAACCATATATATATCTCTTAGTTAGGTCTATGTCCCCCAGAAAACTCACCAAAGGCCGGCCATCGACGAATATTCCCAACTCCACCCCTACAAAATATCCATCGTAACAGCATCGACTCTTATACTCCCCCCGACCCCGGTCAAAGTACACTCCGCGTACATCTTGATAACAGTGCTCGTAACACCCGGAGGAGCGACATAAACGTCTATATATGCAGCAAATGCTTGCGTATCGGCGGTAAAAGTGCTTGACCCAGTTCGGTCTCCAATGAGGTAGGTAACTCTACAAACGCCTCTGTTGGCTGCAGTCCATGCTTTGAAGCGATATTTAACACCGGGACAAACTGTAATGGTTTGGAGAAGAGAAACATTCCAGTTGGGTAGAATGCCTTCGGCGCAACAAATGTTTTCTCGATATGTACCACAAGGCCGCGGTATATACCGGAAAAAAGGTGTTGGTTTGTACTCTATGACAGGCGTCCCTGAATCTACGACGATGTGGTGCTGTCTATGTCAGCTCAAATAATGTGGTTATAATTTATTTGAAGTTACTTCTTCTAACTTTGTCCCAAAGTCCTGCCGTGTCCCAAAAGATCATATATGTGCGTATTCAAACCTGAGTTGTACTGATCAAACCCTGCACCCCACTGAGCTATTGATATCGAACGTAGTAGCATATGTGCAGCTAGAACGTTTGAGCAGTGCAATTCTCTCTCATGAATGTAAATGCAATATATCACTCGATGATATTGTAGACATGACTCGTGCCTAGCTAGAAGTCAACATAATTTTGGGAGGTGATGGTCGCACCAGATGTTGAGGAGGATCGAGTGATCGATAAGATAAGCGGCATGAACCGCGTTAACTAGTCTTAATTAATAGTGCCTGGTGTGGCGGGTTTGGGTGGAAATGATATTACGACAGCCGGAAAGCACCGTTGTTTCTCTCTGGCCGCCACCAACTGCAGCTGCCAGTAAGCCGTTCAGCCCTATCCTTATTAACTCACTCATGGCTCTAGAGTGGATTTTGCAAATGAATCTGACTGGCTTTTCCCTCGCAGGGTTTTAGCCTCACTCCGGGGCTTTCACCCCGTTGGAATTTATATGCATCTTGCTCGCCCTATGTGCGGCACACGATATGAGTTGTGGTCTTCCACCGCTGTGTAAATAATTCTTCGCCACTGCTTTTAGAGTTATGTATTTACCAAATATCAGCTCCTCTGAAGATTCTCTGAGATGCTATAACACGTCCAAAAGTCAGTCATATCCATTAAAGAAGAACGCGGCTGAACAGACTTCGCTGAAGCTCATGAAGGGTGTTTTCTGGCGTATGTACTCCTGGCCAATAATATCCAACCCATAGCATACCTAGGTATGTACCTGATAAAGTGTGCTTACTGCCAAGGTAGGGTGTGTCGATCCCTTGGTATTCGGCGCCACGCGGGTTTCTGGATAGCGCTGGCGCTGCCGAATTCGTTTTTCGGTGGTGTGGGGGCGTGAGGGTGAAATATTTACTTAATATTGCCCTATGTACTCTAGTCTTCTATATCTTGTGATTGTATAGACATAATGATACTGGCGAAGTGCACCTATAGGCTCGATGAAGCCCGAGAAGTCATCTTTTAAACCGGCGTATCAGGCTTCGATATACTTGAATTGGATCTTACTCTAGGAGTACCTAGCTGTGATGGAGTCGAAGCTTCCCAATGGGCATATGCGTATAGGGCACAGATGTTCACCTGTAGAAAAGTAGTCATACACCCATTACTTATACACCCATCAGAAAGAGCCTCTAGAGCTTAATCCTATAGCAAGCGATTACACTCATGATACCTTGCTGTACACGACGGAAAGATAAAAGACACGTTTATTGTGACATCGGCGTTTCCGAACACCACGGAGTCTGTGTACAGGCCAAATCCAGCGAAGACAAAGGATACAAGTGCGGTCAGAACATGCAGGTTGGTTCAAAGGATCCAGTCCGATCGAGTTCTATAATGTAATGTCCTCCACTGCTTAGCTAGGGGGGAGGGAGAAGGGGAGGGTAGGCTCGACATGGTCTCTTAACGGAGTCCTTACATGAGGCTACATATAGTTTACATTTCATTAGCGTCAAAGCTTATTTATATACGTAATGAAACAACGCTACGTTACAAAGATATCGGGAAAAGCGTGACATTTGCTAGAGCTTGGCTGCCTGCATGTCACGCGTGACGTCGCTACTTACTTGAGAACCAGAACTAATAATCGCAACTATTATATTCCATCTATCGATCCTTAATCAATATCGCCGTCCACACACATTGAACTCGCCCCACATAACCCACAGACATGTTCCTCTAAACTGTTGAAAACGACGATCGATGATAAGTTTTTATTTGTCAATAAACGTTCTTGAAAACAGGTGGCAAAGAGGCCTTTGACCACGGCCTTGGTAAGTACGGCTCACTTATCCTCTTCCTTGGCCGTCCTCCTCTAGTTGTCCTCCCCGTACCTCAGACTAACAGGCAGCATAGGACACTCGATTTCGATATCAACCAAACCAGACCAAGAAAATCAGCGAAAACGATCCACAGCCAGTCCTCCTAAGTTCAGATCTTTCGAGTGAATCCGCTCAGGGCTCTCGTTTATTTATTGCTAGTTCTAGAAAGCGGCGAGTACAGCGTATCACCAGAACCTCAAAAGTAAATTGAGAAGGCCTAACTATAATGAGGCAGAACACCCTCCGCACGAAATATGATCCCATACTAAATTAGACGTTCCTGGCACGTAGCCTTGTGCTTAGTGGGAGGAAAGATAGCTAAAATACCAAATGACATTCTCGAAACGAACAATGGTACAAGCCACATCATATTCTCTTCTGATAAACACCTACCCGACCACAGGCAAATCTCCAGAGCGACTTGTATTGACAGCCACTGTTGGGATATTTGCGGCGACGTTAAGGCAAGATACGATGTGTTGTTCGGGGAATGATATGCTAATCATGATGTATCACTCGGATATCAGGGATGGTTAAATTTCGGAGTACTACGATAGTTAGCTGTAGCCAAACATCGGCATGGAAGAAGTTCCACAATTGGGTGATAAGCTGTGGAGAGACTCTAGGTAATTAAACGTATTGGCCTCATTGCATGTGGGTAGTATATTTGTCGAAAGATACACTTAAAATCGCTAGCTGTCTGTAAGTTACCCTCGGTGGATTGGGTCTATAGAAACGCTGTTCCAAGTTCACAATCTTTGAGTTGTAGTACGCCTGATACAGTTTCGTGAGATGGGCAACGTCGCAATAAGCTTCGAGAAAAAGTAGGAAACTACATGTAGCGTGGCAACAAATATATGAGAAGTGGCTTCAAAGACTATGTATAAAGAGTGGATTTTTATTCTCTAAATCAAAATTAAGACTTTTATAGCCCACATGGGACATCTATTAACTATGGTCCATGCAATCCAACAATCCCAGGAACCTTCATGGCTCCAAAAGCAATCCATACTTTTAGTAAAAACACATCGCTAAAACACACACCAAACATGCCAAAAGAAATAACCAGAAAAATAACCAAAAACTAACCAAAGCATTACTGCCGCTAGCTCGCCAGCTCCAAGTCCTCCTCCTTCTGCCTCCTCTTATTCTGAACACTCTTCCTATACATCAGCGTCTTCACAAAATGCCACCAAAACAGCACAAAAAACAGCGCCAACGCCGTCCCCGTCCCCACCACCGGAATAATAATCGACACCACCCCAAACACATAGCTAACCTCCTCAAACAGCCCATTGCCCGCCGCCTGTCCCTGCCCCGTCGCCAGCACCACCTGCATCCCCGTCAAGATGATCGTCAAAAACGCAAACAGACCCACCATCCACCCGAAATTCCGGGTGAAGAAGCTGTTGTACCCGCGGTCAAGACTGTAGAAACCCCGCACCTGCCCCCTGCAGAACCGATACACGTGGTTGAGGCGCTTGAGCCGCAGCTCGCCGTAGCGGTAGCGCTTGTTGATCATGCTGAAGTCCACGCCCTCGCGGATCTCCTTCGAGAACCGGCACCACTGCACCCAGCCCATATACTCTGGCAACAGGCCCTCCTCTATGGCGATGCGGTGGTCGCTGCGGTGCACGATGAGGCGTGAATAACTATACAGAAACCCACACGCCAGCTTATACAGCTCGGGGTCCGGGCAGATCTTCTTCTCGAACCACGCCCGGTCGAGCAGGTACTCGGGCAGCGGCTTCAGGAAGATGCTGTTCTCGAACCACACCATGTGCAGGTATGCCCGCTCCGTGACGACAATCTCGCGGAACATGGCCTTCTGGTGGTGCAGCGGGCGGATGTTGCCCTGGCGCCCTACCCACCACAGGTGCACGTGCACGTCGTTGACCTTCTTTTGGCAGAGGTCGGCGCGGAGGTAGTCGGTGTCGACGTCGTCGCCATGGTTGTAGTGCGAGTCCCCGCGGGCGTAGTGCAGGTCGACGTCGTGCCGTGTGGGCTTGATCCAGTGCCAGCTCGGCCTGGTGGATTGCTTTGCGGTGCGTGCTCGGGAGGCGATCGAGTCTGGGGCTGGAGAAGGTGGTTAGTGGGGGGTGTAATTATGGCAATTGCATTGTGGGGTGGGGACATACTAGCTACAGGCGTCCGCCCCCCGTAGAGGTCGGCGCTGAGGTTATCGGTTTGTCGGTCATGCTGCTGGTGCTGGGGGAGGGCTGGGGACGTTGGGGTCGGTGGCACATCGTCGAGTCGGCCTTCGTCGACGTAGGTGTCGGTGTAGGGCGGTACTTTTAAATTTGGTCTTGCCTGCATCCTATACGAGTCTATTATACGTATGTATTCTGCTCTAGGTGCCCACTGTAAATATATACACACTCACACACAGGAACACAGGAACACTGGGGGAGAGAGGTTCGAGGAGGAGGAGATCGAGGCTGGAGGTTTGGTCATTCTCAACGTACGGGGGGTGGGGGGGAGCCATACTGATATTATAACGATTGTGGGATGTCGTCGTGTCGGCTGAGGGGTGCGCGGATAGATTGTGTAACCACCACATGCACAACCGATCAGCTCGCATGCTCTGGCCAGTCTGGTCAGGCAGACGTGCAGGGAAGGGATTGGCGCCTGTGGTGCCACCCAATGGGTAGACGCGCGCATGTTTGGGGGGGGGGGTCTATCTGCAGTGGTTGTGGACTGCCCAGAGAAGTAAGTAGCTAGTAGGTACTCGAAAACACAGCATGTGCAGAGGAGGTTTCGTGGCAGCCGTCAGTAGGAGTGGTGGAGGTTATGAAACCTGCGAGCGGTGATTGTGGGAAGGAGGGGGGAGGCGCAATTGAAAGCAGGGCTTACTGCAGCGTCTTGATGGCCAATTGTTGTTCGCCTAAGCTAGGGTGTTTCGAGCGTTGAGGTCCTGCAACTACATGTAGTTAGTATATATATACTAGCAAACAATTGTTTGATCAATTAAGTTTAGATTATTAGGATTACTAGGAAAAATAGATTCTCCGTAAGTCCTTAATTTGGCTTTGAGCTCTCGGCTTGGCGGTATTGTAGTACTGTAGGTAAATCCCTAGAGCCCTGGCTGTGGATTCCCGCTCCACGTTTAAATCAGGCTGTTGACTCGAGATCTCTCGATCAATCCAGGGTCTGAAGGCTAGCTCTAGTGCTCTAACTGCTCGGATGCAGAAATATGAGAGTGATGATTTGTATCGTGTTAAAACACCTATTCAAACAACGGTTGGCTGCTGCACAGAGGACCCGTTTCTCGGAAGTAAAAGCGGGAGGGCGTGTGAAGGGTTTGCACGTTTGAGAGAAAGCTTAAGAGCCTCAAGTTGACACCTAAACAAGCTTAAGCTCTCGTTCGTCTACTCCCGTCCAGCTGCAGGCCTATTCGCACATGATATTCCAGCTTTCAGAGCTGTAAAGTAGAAGCACTTCTACACGCGAATATCTCAACACAAACGGTGCATCGTTATCTATCATCATCTACACCTCGTCCTCCGTTTCATATCAGAGTACAGGCAGAGGCTTTCGAAATTTCCTGCACCCCGCAGTTTAGGCATTCCACTCTACTCTACGTCTCAAGGCACTCCACTCTATTCTCTGAACGATTAGTAGCATACGTAGTCCGCACGTATCCCGCTCAATTATGTACTCAGCCAATAGATCACCAAAGAGGCAGATCTGCAGGAGGCTTGGATCCTGCATATCGCCACTTTGAAGACGAAATAGGCAACCGAATCCCTCGCCGTAGAATGGAGACCGCACAGAGTAGAGACAGAGAACCCGCTTTGGGCACCACTGCTTTAAATCTGCTCACTGATGACGCGACTTCAGTGCTGCCTAGCCAGCAAGCCTTCTTTTTTTCATCTATTTGGCCAGCCATGTCTTGGAGAGGCCGAAAACCAAAATAGAGTACAAAATTTTACAGCCTTACGGATCAACCCTGGCGGCGGTACTCTAAAGGGCCGGGAAGGTGCATATTGGATCCTTGGCGGTCTTGGTAGGGTTAGGGGTGCGTTGGTTGTGTTTGACAGTCGAGTTGGAAAGGCAGACTTGATATCACGGCTTCACATAGGTACGACTATCTTGATGTGATTGATGTTCCAAAAATCTGTAAAATTACCACCCCATAAACCACTCCCCCACAAAGTAACTAACTAACTAATAATACACAGACACACACGCCTAGAACAGCTCTATCGAATCATAGATAAAGTTGGGGTTCAAGTACGTATCCCCCGAGCTTCCACTCGCGCAGCTGATCTTGATAGTATTGACACCCGCAATCAAGTTCGACGTCGCAATCGGGAACTCATACACCTCTCCATACCCTCTGTACGCACCGCGCGTGAAACCACGGCTATCAATCTTTGTCGGGGCCGCCGGCGTTGCCGCCGTGTAGCTGTTGAACACCACGCTGGGTCTGCCGCCCGCGAACGAAAGAGTGGTGTAGATCTTGAGTGTCCTTGCTGCGGTGATTTGGGCGGCGGTGAGCGTGACGGTGATGGTGGTGGGGTCGTTGACGGTCTTGATCTGCGCCATAGGGAAGTCGGCGGTGGAGCTGGTACCCCAGGCAAAGGTGACGGCCGACCACGAGGACATGCGCGAGTCAGACGGGTGCATGACGAGCTGGTTAGCCGCGTTCTTGAAGCCCGTGGGACGGCCATCGACGGCGCCGATGCGGAAGATGACGGATGCGGTGCCGGCGGTGGCGGTGATGGACTTGCTAGTGGTTGACCCAGCGGTGACTGTAACAGTGGTAGACGCAACCTGGTATTCGCCGCTGTACAAGATCATGTCATAGGTACCTGGCTTCATGGCGGGCGAGGTGAATGAGCCGGTGCTGGACACCCAGTATTGCGCAGCAGAGTTCTTCCAGTGGACAACGCCGTCGGAGGTGACGCCGGAGACGGTGCCGGAGACGTAACCGCGGCTGCTGGCGGCAACGAAGCCGGTGACGGAGAGAGAGCTGAAGAAGCTGAAGTCGAGGGTGGACGAGGCTGTAGCACCGGTCGTGAAGACAAGCCCGTATGGGCCGTGCAGGCCCATGCGGTACGCCTCAGTCTGGACGTGGCCGGAGTTCATGTAGAAGTAGAGTTCCTGCTGGGACGATCCCTGGTTGTCGATGTCGCGGAAGAAGGGGCCGCCGGACGAGCTCTCGTACGAGTTTCCGGGGATGACCATGCAGGCGGCGATGCTGGAGCCAGTGACACAGTGGACTTGGTCCTCAATGAAGCGCTTGCTGGAGTAGAATTTGGAGCGGGTCTGGCCGTCGACGAGGAAGACGTCGGAGCCCTCGACGACGGTGCCGCCCTCGACATCGGAGGCGGTGACGCCGTTGGGGAGAGCGGACTTCTTGAGGCGCGCAATGAAGCGGAGTTCGCCGACGGTGGGTTCGGCGGTGATGTAGGTGGCCATGTAGACGATTGGGTCGCCGGACTGGGTGGGGAATGTTAGCTGTGTGTCTATATGATCACTGTCAACGATTTCCAGAGAAAGCATACCTTGGCAATGTAGTAGTGGATCAAGGTGTCAGTGGTGACAGTAATCTTGATGTAGCTCCCCGAAGTGGTGGCCACGACATTATCGCTGCCCAGACCAGAGCTGATGTGCGAGAACTTTGACGAGTCCTGGCACTCGACGCCGTTGTAGACGAGCGAGATGATGTCACCCGTGCTCTTGTTGACCTTGAACACAAGCCCGCCGTTGGTGTCGACGGTGAGCTGTGTGCCTGAGTCTGTCACGCCAAAGGCCGCAAGGGCGGACGTGCAGAAGAGCGCTGCGGCGCCGAAGAGCGATTTGAGGAGCATGGTGCTGCTGTACTAGCTAGTGAGTGAATGAATGAATGGAGGGCGCTGTGGTGGCGCGGAGGTCGGTGTGGTGCAGTCGAGGCAATGGGGGATCAGAGTGGGGGGAGGTTTCATGGTGTTTTTATACACGGCTGTAATAGCAGTGTAGTGTATGCTGGTGATGTTCGTCTAGATGCCAGCTCGGAAGACATGGTGCGAGATGGTGCGTGTCGGGGGTTGATGAAGGGCCGTCAGTCCAATTCCTCCCCTGATCCTGGGTGCGCCGTGATATATCCTCAACAGGCCAAGAGAAGCACTATGTGCAGTACCAGTCGGTGGCTAGTAGCTGTTCGCATATAGTAGAGTACCAAGGGTACGCTGCGAGCGGAAACATCTGCAGGAACAATTACACAAGCCAGTGGAAAGGAACCCGGTCCCTCCACCCCCCTCGGTGCCAATTGAGCCTGCAGTGGGCGGCACTGCTTACCGTGTTCCGAGACTGCGGGGAGTGCAGGGGGGGTAGGTCGGTGGCGTTTGTGGAGAGTTATCACGGTTTCGGTATTGCCGGTGTTTGCACGAGAGAGTTCATTATTCCTCAGGGCGCGGAGAGTGAGTTGTTGATAGATGAAGGAGCATTGGCAAACAATCGATCGTGTCTGTGAGTGTACGGCGTTGAGGCCGTTGAGAAAGAAAGGTCTTGGGAGTATCACCTATAGTGCACCCCTAACCCTCAGCTAGTTACAATTGTGCTCGGACAGACAACAAAGGCTATGTCAACTAAGCTTACAATTAGCTCAACTCTACCTCTGACATGGCCGAGCTCAAGAGCCCTGCAATTAATCTCACTCTTCTTCGTTCCCCCTTCCCCTCCCCTATTTCTCTTTCTATGCACCACCCCGCCGGTTCTAAATACTCCGAGGCACAGCCTTCGCGACTCGCCAAGATTCCGCCCGAACGCACGGCTGCAGCTTCCGGGGCGGGGGTGAGTGCGTGGGTGCTGGGATCCATGGTAAAAGTGGTAAAGGAAGTGGAATTGTTCCTGGCGAGCTGCTGAGCCCCTGACTGGCGGATGGATGGTGCGGATTGGAAAGCTTGGTAGGAGAGATGCTGTGGGGATGCGAACCCTAGCCCACTGGGAGGGAACTCTGCCTAAATATGTGAAATTCGGTTGCAACAGGACGCAGCGGGATAATACTTAGAGAATATACAAGTATAGCTATAGCTGCCTCCTAGGCGAATTAATCATAGGGTGGAATAGTTATTAGAGCCGACATATTGCTCCTGGGAAGGTCCCCTCGGGCAGCTTCATAGATTGTCACTCGGCATTGTTTTCACAGCTGTAGTGGATTAGCCCGACTCGTTTAGGATTACACAACTAGATATATTATCGAGAATGCTACTATCGGGACTCCACTGTAGACGGAACCGCAGTATCTCCATCACTCCCTCGAGCCCAGGTGAAGTCATAGCGTTCCAACTAGACTCTGTCCGGGGATATGTACTACAGATAGCCCCACCCATCAGCGAGCGTCCACCCAAAATTTGGTGGGTAGCAACCGTTGAATCCTCGTGGTAGCGGGGCAACGCTCGCTGAGGAGCCGCGCTCGCTGATGGGCGGACTGGACTACCAAAGAGAAAACGAGATAATCATAGTGTCCCGGGTACCACCCTCGAGATGTAGTAATGGGAGTTGGCCAATTTGGGCAGTTCTTGCTTATTGGCCGTTCGGTAATACACGGCCCCGTTTGGTAGTATACGTATACGTTCACAAGGACCGTGGATATGAGACGACTGTCTAAATTGGGGGATTTCGTCAGTTGCGTCTCCCGGCTCGCCGTTGGCGCCGCCAGGAGCGGTGATTGCTACGTCGCGATGGAACATGTTCATAAGAAGTAGCCCGCTGGTACTTAGGCCCGTTGTCTGCGGCATAGCGGCGGGGTAGTAGCAGCGATAACTCGTAGCCAAGCGGATACTCCTGGTTTGCTGTCGGCGAGCGTAATTGAGCAGCGGTGATAGAGCATTCACGAAAAGGTTACACATATCGAGTTGTTGAAATGATATAAATTATATTTGTATGACTTGCAGACATCTCCTTATTGAAATAATACTAAACCGGAAAAAACAAAAAAATAAACACTTGCAGTAACAGAGCTAGCAACCAACAAAGCTAAGGCTAACTTGAGATAACATGGCAACAATACTTGTGACAACAAAGACAAACATTCCCCCCTTCAACCAATGTTCTAATAATATTAAACTTTTCCACACCCCACTAATGAATCTCTCATTCAAATATTAGGCCATTTCTTCGATAGCATCTGCATAGGTGGTATTGATATCATCGCTAATTCCGGTAGAAGTGTTATTGAAGTTATTGTTAATTTGAGTGAGATGATAGGTACTGTTGTTTGGAGTAGGAGTCTGATGCTTGTTAATTTTGTTTCTTTAGAAAGCAAAAAACGAGGTTGAGAACAGATGGAAGAAATATTACTTACAGCCGTATTTTGGGTGCAATGTTTGTAGATTTGGGCGAGGATAGTAAGAAGTGCCAGTAGAACTCCAACCCATGTACCAATAACTGATAGCAAGTCAATACTAGAGGGTTTGGTACTCTGTATTTCCAAAAGATTTGAAGAGGAGTTGAAAAGCGGAGATTCTGAGGGAGACATTATGGATTTGATATCAGATAGCGCTTTTAGAGTTGAAGATATGTATGTTTGGATGAAAACAATCAGAATTTGCGGTATTACAGATAGATAGGGGATGAAAAAGTGTACAAAAAGCTATCAACATGCGGGGGTATCAGTCGGAATATATAGTGTGGTAAACAGTAAGAAAAAAGGAGGAAAAACACGTGATTCCAATGCATTTAGTAATCATACTATTGCGCTAGATCCTCGTTGTGAGTGATGTGAAACACTAAATGTATTATGCAATAGCGGTTATTATGTTGCAATCAATAATACAAATTCCAACGGAATCCTTGTCAGTTTGACTCATTGAAAAAGCAAAATATGCCGGGTTTATCTCGTATTAATTTAAAGATGGATAGAACAACCGAATATAGTAATATGGATAAATTATAATTAAATCGTACAAAAAAGTCTATAAACCATTAATGGAAATAATGAAACATTTATTTTCAGAATATTTTTGTTTTAGCCAAAACATTAAGTCAGATCGATAGCCGCTTATGTTTGTGATATAACATATTTCACACTATGTAATATATTATGCAATAGTTGTATTTTAAGTATTTAAATTATAACGGTGGTCTCTTCTAAGAGAAATAGAATAGGATAGAATAGAGATGGCTATGCAAGATAGACAATCAGGTTGCAGATTGTTTAAAAATACTATTGCTAGAACTCAATAATCTTTAAGGGCTCTGCTAACTATAATAACTTCGTTTTTCTTTCTGATGAATACTGAGGAGAATCAGGACTGAAGTGTGAGAAGGAGCTTGAGTACTACTTATACTAAAAAGACTTCTATTCTATACTCCTAACTCCTTAATTAGTTCCAGTGAAGCCTTTCCTCGGTTTGGGAAACAATACCACTGCTACCCCGCTTTTCTCTAAAGCGCCAGTAGGTGTTTCTGATACCCAAGGCAACCACTCTTAGTCAAAGCCTTTGTAACACCTGCGGCCTTGGTTGCCACACAACTGGGGTCTGCATGAATGAGCTCTCGCTTATGTGTAAGCTTAATCATTGCTATAGAGCTTTCGCTTATTGTAGACTTCCCTGACGTAGTCTCTGCCACCATCAGCAGACCTGCAATGCGTAGAGAATACAAGAATCACTGGGCAATCAGCGCTTCACTCTGGCCGATCTCCTAGTCACTAGCGAGGCATAGACTCGTCAGTTATTACCCCTATGAATAGATCTCCTTCCTAGTACTCAGCATGTAGTTACTCTAATAGCTGGTAGCTAACCACACTGCCGGTCCTTGCATATCACTGTGAAACTGCCTTCTAACAATAACTCTCAGCATATAACCAGGCCCTGTGTATACTCATACACCAGATAGTTGAAATTGCTCCGTTATATAAATTTAGTAATGAAAAAAACTTAATCTTACCACTGGTTCGATCTGAGATGATAATTCCTTCATTTGTTCCTGAGAATAACAACTTATTAGATTAGAAATGAAATCATGATAGACCAAAAATCGAACAACAATTGTTTACAGTACTAATCAATTGAGAATTTTTACGTTATGAGTGGAGACAATTCTTCGCCCCGGATAGCTGCTTCTAGCTAATATGTGAATTTTGTGTGATTAGCTACAGATTGCTACAAGTCTTGAAATAAATCAATGGATAATAGGTAGGTCCGATTTCTTCCTTACTAACAGGATTAGTAATACTCACAATGTCAAATAAAACTCCTGCTCCCATCTAAAGATGATTTCTCACACCTATGGATCATTAATAAAGTTCATATATATCATGAATATTTCTTATCGAATTCTCATTATATCTGGAAAGCTATCAACTGGATTTCAAAAGAAAGTTTTTGTATAGAGATTTATAGAGCAACAGAATTTTTTTCTTTCCGCATCCCAACTCATCATAGGTAGCACGCGGGTCTATGTGAAAGCTATATGTACCAGCTAAGTGAGGCATGTAGGTAGGCCCGCCAGCCTCATAGAGAGACATCTTGAATTTCATTAAACTACTTTACACGTTGAAAACGACCCTGAATTCTCTCCTTACTCAAACACTTTGCCCACCTGCCCTATACTTTCCCGAGCTCGCGCGTCTGAGCCTGGCATACAGGATATCTATTGCGTCTTACTTGATAATGCGGGGGATTGGTGGATGTGGCTTGGATATAATGCGTTAATGCGGTGCATTATATCCCAAGAGACAAAAGAGATGCATGTATTTCTACATCTAGACGTTGAACTCCGGGTCCCCGTGATTAACGATTCGATCCCACCCCTCGACGTATTTCTACTGTCGTTCACGGGGTATTGACGGACACTGGGTGTTGACGGACAAGCCAAAAGAGAGATAGCCAAGCTCTGCTTATTGGTCAAAAAGCCACCTGACCGCCAACACCCAGTGTCCGTCAATACCCCGTGAACGACAGTAGAAATGTCTCAATTATGACACCGCCCTGCACTGCCCCCCATCTATTGCTCACTGCCCCACTCGTCATTCATCGCCGCATGACACACCCCCCCCAAACTAACAAGGCAACGTTAGCCATCATCTAGCACCCCGTGACGTCCGCCTAATTCGCTCGCTGGCTCGAAACTCGGCATGGGTTAGGGTTATCCACCGAGTGATAATCTATGCTCAAAATATTCACGTTACTGCTGGACTGAGTTGGAGGATGCGTCATGGCCGTGAATCTTTTGGTATGTAGAATACTAATTACAGTCGCCTCATCAAGTCATATACCCCCACGCTCTTCCCCTCTACCTCACCCCGCTGTCCCGAAACCAACCCGAACCAGACCCAAACCAAACAAAAAGAACAAGAGAAGAGAAGAGATCTACCCGGAAGAAAAGTCTACACCATTAACTCCACCGCCCCCCCTGCCCCCCGCCCTGCCCTCCTCCGCCCTGCCCCCCCACCCCGCCAGCACCTAATACATCCCCCAGCCACTGCTCCAGCACGGTATTTAGCCCTCTTCGCCCCGCCGCCGCGCCCATCTCGTTCTCGTCCGGGTGGCTGTAGGTTGCGTCGGTGTCTTGCCGCAGGCCGAGGATTTGGAGGGGTGCTTGGGACTCGGGAGGGAGCTGGAAGGCGGAGGGCGAGAAGCCGCCGACGTAGCCGAGGTTTTGGATGAACTCGGGGATGCCGGCTTGCGTCCTGGGGGGTTGTTAGTAGTTGGAAGGAGAGAGGGGGGGTGGGAGGTGTGGTTGGCAGTGGCATGGTGAGATTTGGGGGGGACTGGGAGTGCCCGGTGATCAATCATATTCTGGTCCAGTACAAGGCTGAGTAGCCAATAACCCGGCCAGATAATAGTTGATCATTCGGCGTTCCCAACAGTCCATGTCCATGCCGGCAGTAATATTACCACCACCAATGTCCAACTCACACACCCAAAACAGGAGAAAGAACTCACCAAGGCAAGCACTCCAGCATCCCCATCTCCTCATCGAACCCGTCCGGACTCGGCTGACTAAAGCTCAGACTCGCCGCCTGGCTTCCCCCGCCACCACCATACTCCTCCTCCTGCCCACCACCGCCCCTCGGCGACAGCAACGACCCAACGCCCACTGGCTGCTGCTGCTGCGGCTGTGGCTGCGGCTGCGGCTGCGGCGGTGGAGGAGGAGGAGGAGGAGGCGTAAAGTTAAACACCCTACTGGGCTCCACAAACTCCTCCTGCCGTCTCGGCGGCGCTCCTCGTCCCGCCGCAACAACCCCCTTCCTCCCCGGCGCCGGCGCCTTCAATATCCCCGCCCCCGTCAGCACGCCCGACACCCCCAACCGCCCCGCCCACGCCGCATCCGCGCGTTTCGCGACGCCGACAAACAGCGGCGGGGCGACAGCGAGACTCCGTGTCTCGGCGAACGCCTCGAGGATGGCGGCTATTGAGGCGGTGGCCGCGGCGTTGTCGTGCAGGGCGAGGATGGCGTGCGCGTAGAAGAGGTGCAGGTGCGAGACGTGCGGCGTGCTCGGCACCAGCGCGGGCAGCTCGACCTCCAGCGGGTTGAGGACGTCGAAGCTGCAGTGGGGCGGGAGGTCGCGGCACCAGTTGTGGAGGTCCGGGAGTGTGTGGGTGGCGCGGGAGACGATGCGGGCGAGGTTTGCGAGGGCGTTGAAGGTGGTGAGGATGTGCGCGGGGTCCTCGCTGTCTCTTGATATTGCTGTCGGTGGTGCGGGGGCGACGGCCGCGGGGTGCTCCTTCCAGCTGTCCCACTCCTCCCAGCCGTCCTCGTCGATGATGCCGATCCAGAAGGTGCTGTAGATGTGTGCGGGGTAGCTGGTGAGGGTGCTGATGAGCGTCTCGAGGACCAGGTAGCCGGTCCAGGCGCGGATGCCGAAGCGGCCGAGCGCGGCGGGGAGGCCTATCGTTGTGGCCAGCCGCCCTGCGTGCCCGATGAGCAGGTAGGCCGAGTGGTTGTGGCTGTGCGAGAGGTTGATGAGCGCCAGCAGGAGCAGCGCCTGGATGTGCTCGATGGTCGTGTCCGCGTCCGCGTCGGCGTCGGGGGTGAACAGGATGGCCTGCGCGGCGGTGTAGAGCGTGGCCGCACTCGGGGGGGCCGTGGTGGGGGCATAGGCATACCCGTACGTGCTACTACTACTGCCGCCGTCGGCGAGGGCGTCGTGCTGCAGGCTGGCGAGTGAGAGCACGGCGTAGAGGAGGGCGCGCTTTCCGGGCGGGATGTCGGCTTTGGGCGGCGGGCTGGCTTTGCGCTTGGTCGAGGTGGCGGTGGCGGTGGCGGTGCTGACGATGTGGAAGAAGCGGACGAGGTCGTACTTGTCGAGGATGGGGAACCAGACGTGCGTGTAGGCAAAGTAGAGGTCGAGGAGGAGCCGGGAGTTGTGCGGCAGCGGGGGGTGCTCCGGTGCTGTGGCTGTGCTTGTGCCGGTGAGGTTCTCGCGGAGGGGGCTCTCGGGCGGGTAGGAGCGCGGGCGGAAGGAGGAGCCGTGTGTGCCGTGTGTGGGTGTGGGGAGGATGCTGTCGTGGCCGGCGGAGGAGAAGTGGTGGTGGTGGTGGTCGTCGGCGGAGTCGGCGGTGTCGGCGGCGTCGAGGGGCGTGTAGAGCGGGGGCGTCACGACGGGGGGCGGCCGCATGCGGGTGGGATACGAGGACGCGGTCGACGAGCCGTGGTCGGTGCCGGGCGTGTGCTGCAGCAGCGGCATGGGCGGGTCCCGGGGCTTGTCTCGCCCGCGCTCGACGCCGGGGTCCTGCTGCAGGCTCTGGGACTCCTTCGCCCAGTCCATCTCGGTGGTGGTGGTGGCGGTGGCATCGCCGTTCGTTGTCGTCGCCGCCGTCGCCGCCATCGATGCCCGCCGGGGTGCGTCCTTGCTCCTCTGCGCCTCGGCCATGGCCCGTATCGTGTCCCGGAAGGCGTCGTGCTCGCCCCCCACCAATTGTAGCTGTACCTCCCCCTGTGGCCCGCGATCCTGCGCATCCGGGGACCTCTCGCCGACGCTCCCCGTGCCCGTCGTGCCCGTTCCTGTGCCCGCCCCAGCCCCCGTAGCCGTCCCCGTCACACTCTCCCTGACCCTCTCCAGCTCCTTCAGCACCGCGCCCTCCTTCCACAGCCCCACCAGCCGCCGGCCCTCCTCGCCCTCATCAAACAGCGTGGCGCCCCTCCCCTTGACCAGCGCCAGCAGGGCGCCCTCCCCGCCGTCCACACTGTCCATCAGCATCCCCAGCACCCGCTGCAGCAGCTTCACCGTGCGCTCGAGCGCCGACACGCTCCCGGGGGGCAGCCCGCGCTTGCGCGGCTGCGCGCCGTACGTGCAGGTCTGCGAGAGCGTCACGCAGGGGGAGCAGCCGGGCGTCTTGCCGTCGCATTTGGCCTTGCGCGACCGGCACTGCTCGCAGGCGCGGGAGACGCGCATGCGTTTGGGCGCGGGGTGGTCGGGCGTGGCGGTGGCTGTGGCGGTGGGGGTGGGGGTGGTCGGCGGCGCGCTCATGTTGGGGGGTGTGCGGGCGGGGGGGGCATAGACGGGGTGGGGATTGGGGTGCTCTGCTGCTGGTGTGGGCGTGGTGGTGGTGTTTATAGTGTAGATGTTGTACTGTGCTGCTTCACGAATGTGTTATTGTAGTTCCAAGATCCTCTTCTCTGCCTCTCTCTATGCCCGGCCAATGGGTGGGCAGCGGTGTGGTGGTGGATGGGCAGTGTGTAGACAGACAAATAGACAGACAGACAGACAGAGAGAGTGCCCGGAATTGAAGATGTGATGTTGGTTGGGGTGGGTAGATGTGGATGTGGATGTGGATGTGGATGGATGATACCTGTTCTAACGCTTTGCAGGGCAGGCCAGTTTTTGCGGGGAAGTTGTGGGGAAGGCTTGGAACATTACGCTTAGAGTGTTACGGGGGGGGGGGAAGAAGACTGGGGGGATCGGATTGGAGCGTGGTTGGTGGTTTGGGGGGGGGGGGAATAATGGGAGAGGATTGTGGGATGGGAGCAGGATTATTGGGTATGTACGTCGGAGTGAGACATGGAGAGAGAGAGAGGAGGAGGAGGAGGAGGAGGAGGAGGGTACACTTCACGAGGCTCTCACTCTCACTCCCGCTCACACCCCACACTCTACGTCTTTGTGATCTTGGATAGCAGTCAGTGGCTGTCTCGCCCACTCTTGGATTCTTGGAACTTGCACTGCGTCGGTATCACGATTAAGCACTCCTCACCCGATCGAATGTAGGTACAACATCTCTACTCTACATTCTCTAGATCAGTACTCTACTCTAAGTAACGTATCTACCGCAAGACAGGCAAGGTAAGGATAGAACGCCGGGGAAGGGCTCAGATGCCGTAGCAACCACGGTCTGAGCTTGCCGAGTCGTGCATTGTCTGGAGTACTAGTGACGGTAGATGGAGGCATGTACGCGATCTACGGCATGTAGTTTTGTAATTGTAATTGCTCGGTAGATGATCAACTGCGGTTTATTCACACTGTGGAGTATATGTGCCTACATTTGGGGTTCTGCACAGAACTGGAGGGGTATGGGGTATGAGGGTAGTGGGTGATGAAGGCACTGGTGCGTGAGAAGTGGACAGGAAGAGGACGTGGTTATATGATTGTGAGCGGTGAGCAAGAACTGGTAATCAAGATACCGTTATACGTACCTCCTTCCTGTCAGAGAGACGACATACCCACGCCAGACAGCCCGCCAGACAGACAAAGCCAAACCCACTCACACGAGAAGGACAGAAAGAGTACAGAGCTCCATGACCAAGTGTTGACTCCCCCCCTGACCTTCCTGACCGCAACCGAGACACAGACCTGCATGCGGACTAGCTGCTTGTGGGGTGGGCTAGTTTCGGTGAAGCGCGGCTTGGCGGCTTGGCTATCCGGGAGTGCTGAACTGTGCTGGGTGCTGGGTGCTGGGTGCTGGGTGCTGGGTGCTGGCTGGGCTGGGCTCGGCTCGGGTGTTGCTGTGCGGTCGCCGGGTAAAGATTTACGCGCAGCATTTCTTTTTTGTGACCACCACAGACAGAGGAGGGATGGCCAATTGCAATTGACAGCATGTGTTTGCAGGTTTGCGGTAGAGCAGAGTACTAGCAAGACAGTAAACTCTCTCCCCCACACTCGAGCTGTCTGTCTGTCTGCTCCCGAGTATCCCCCGGAGCTTCTTCTCCCCCGTGTCTCAACCGTCCCCCCCATCCATCCATCCATCCACGCATCCATCCATTCGCCCATTCGCCTCCCCCCCCTCACTCACTCCCACCCCCCCCCCTCTGCCTCTGCCTCTCCACACTCGATCTCTCCCCCCCTTCCACCCATATCTCCCCCCCTCACACCCTCACACCCTCACACCCTCCCTCCCCCCCCCCCCCCCCCCCATGTCACTCTCCCGTCTCCTACACCTAACCAACAGCCGCAAGCCCGCTCATGCCGCTGCTCACTGCTCGGGCTCCACCCATTCAGTCCAGTACTCCCACTCTGCTGTTATTCCTTCCAAGTGAGTGATGGATCACCAACACAACCGTGCTAATGCTGCCCCCCCCATATCAGCATCATCGCCCAAAGAGTTGTCGTCGTCGTCGTCGTCGTCCAGATCAGCCTCATCATCGCAGCAGCAAAACACAGAACACAACCACCACCACCACAACCACAACCACAACCACACGCACACGCAACCTCAGACCTTTGTCTCTCCTGCACCTCAGCAGTCATTCTCCTCGACCTCGATCTCCTCGCCCAGGCCCCCCTTCTCGCGCGCTACCTCCTCAATGAAACGGAAACTCGCAGAGGTAGCTGGTCTCGACGGCCAGCTGCAGCGTCCTCGCTCCCCCCTCGGCCCTTCCAGTAGCAATATCCCCGCCTCCACGGCACACGCCTCCCCCCTCCCCCGCCACGGCCAGATCCCACCGCTCCTGTCAGCCTCCCGCCCCAAGAGCTTCCCCGCCAATGCCTCCATCGCCCTCATCGGCCTGCGTGGCGTCGGCAAGTCTACTATAGGCGTCATTGTCTCGTCAACCCTCCGCCGCCGCCTCATCGACGCCGACATGCACTTCATCCAGGTGACGGGCATGGCCGCCGGCCAGTACGCGACGGCCCACGGCTGGCCCGCCTACCGCACCAAGGAGGCCAACATCCTCGCCGACATCCTGCGCGAGTACGACACGGGCGCCGTGATCGTGTGCTCGAGCGGGTGTGTGGAGAAGCCAGGCTCCCGCGCTCTGCTGCGCGACTGGATGGAGCGGCACCCCGTCGTGCATATCGTCCGCCACGAGAAGGAGGTCGAGGCGTACATCAGCCCGCAATCGCCCGGGGCGACACCACCGATCGCGGCCCTGGGGCAGCAGATGCAAATGCAGCTGCGGCTGCCGGGTGGTGCTGGCCCGGTGTCGGCCTCGGCCCAGACGCTGCGGAGACTTGCGGCTAGGAGGGAGCCGATGTATACCGTGTGCTCCAATTTCGAGTTCTACAACATGTGGGACAAGCAGCAGCTGTCCACGAGCGGAAAGTCCTCGCCGTCGTCCCCGACATTGAAAAAGGTCGAGCAGGACTTTCTCAGGCTGCTCAACTTTGCCTTTCAGCAGGAGATGGCGCCCTTGATTGTGTGGGACCGAAACAGCCCTCACCCGGCCTCTGCCGCCGCGTCGACGGCGCTCGAAGATAGATTGTATACCTATGCCCTTGTGCTGCCTCCCAGTGCCTCTTTTGGGCCCATTGATGGCGGCCGGATTGATCTTGACGACCTGGGTGCGACGGTCGAGGCGTTTGACCTCAGGATCGATCACTTGCTCCACTCGGGGATGCCTATCGGGGCGGACAAGAGGGACAACCCGGCGAATCTCCGGTTCGTGAGCGAGCAGTTTGCATACGTTCGGAGGCAGTCACACCTTCCCATCATCTACCATGTGGGCACAGTCAACCAGGACGGATCGTACCCTGCGCGGCCCGCCGATGCGAGGAGCGAGGACGACTACTTTAACCTTCTCTATCACGGACTCCGCTTGGGCGCCGAGTATCTTGTGGTGGAGCTGCAGTACAGCGACCAGCGAATCCGCGAACTGGTGGCGTCGAGAGGCGCAACCAAGATCATTGGCTCGCACCACGAAAAGTCCGGCGCGGTGGGGGGCTGGGACAGCCCGGAACGCATGAAGGTCTACGACCGTGCGGCCCAGCTGGGCTGCGACATTGCCCGGCTAAGCCAGCGGGCCACGGTCCCGGGCGACAATTTTGCCGCGATCGCCTTCAGCTGGGAGGTCAAGCGGCGGCGCAACGCCGCGGTCACCGAGCGCAGCCCCGCGCAGCCAAGCCTGCCGCCCCTGATCGCCTTCAACACGGGCAAGCTGGGGCGCATGTCGCGCTTCATGAACCGGGTGCTGTCGCCCGTCACGCACCCGCGGCTGGTCGAGTGCCAGAAGGAGCAGCTGATCGCCGTGGACGAGGAGGACGCCGTCACGCCGCGGGAGGCGCTGGTGGCGATCCATGCGTGCTCGGTGCTGCCACGGAGGCAGTTCTGCATCTTTGGGTCGGCCATCACGCACTCGCTCTCGCCCGCGATGCACAATGCGGGCTACGCGGTGTACGGCCTGCCGCACAACTACCGCGTCCAGCAGGCGGCGTCGATCAATGAGCTGCTGCATATTGTGCACGATCCGAACTTTGGCGGGGCGTCCATCACGCTGCCGTTCAAGCTCGAGATCATCCCGCTGCTGCACAGCATCTCGGACCATGCGCGGGCCATCGGGGCCGTCAACACAATTGTGCCCATCGACTCTGCCCGCGGCGAGGGCGCGCACCCGAGCCTGCACGGGGACAACACGGACTGGATCGGCATCCGGACGTGCACCCTCCGCTATCTCACCCCCGTGAACGCCATCACCGCCCGCACCAGCGCGCTCGTCGTCGGCGCCGGCGGGATGGCCCGCGCAGCCGTCTACGCCCTGCAGAAGCTCGGCGTCGAGAACATCTTCATCTACGGCCGCTCCGTGAACCGCGCCGCCGACCTCGCCCACTACTTCAACTGCCAGTCGCGCAGCAGCAGCAGCAGCAGCCTTGCGGTGCCGCACACCACCAGCCGCAACTCGCCCACCACCAGCGACACGCACATCCCGTCCGGCGCCAGCAGCCCCACCAACGCCGCAGCCACCACCCCCACCGGCACCGGCACGGGCACCGGCACAAAGAGCACAGTGCGCGTGCTGCCCTCACTCGACAACCGCTGGCCCGAGGACTTCTGGCTGCCCAGCATCGTGGTCAGCTGCATCCCCGCGCACAGCATCCAGGGCGCGCCGCCCGCAAACTTCACGCTCCCCGAGGCGTGGCTGGCGTCCCCCACGGGCGGCGTCTGCGTCGAGGTATGCATTTTCCACATCCTGTTCCTGCCCCGCCCCCGCCCCCGCCCCCGCCCCGGCCGTGCTGAAGAGAGTCTAACGGAGGTGAACCTGCAACAACAGCTCGCGTATAAGCCGCGCGTCACGCCGCTGCTGCACCAGGTGCGTGCGCTGGCGCACCGCGGGTGGATCGGCGTCGATGGGCTCGAGGTGCTGCCGGAGCAGGGGTATGCGCAGTTTGAGATGTTTTTGGGGCGCCAGGCGCCGCGGAGGGTGATGAGGGAGGCGGTGGAGGCCGCGTATGAGGAGGCGAGGAGGGCGAGTGCTGCCAGTGCGGGGCCGGCGAGCGAGGGGGAGTTGGGGGGCGGGGGGTGGGTGGTGAGGTAGCGTGCTGTGGGACGGGGGGTGTATATAGGACTCTGGGCTGTTTTTGTGTTAGTTTTTGGTCGTTTTTGTATGTCTGTAGCTTTTTGGAGTCTTGTGCTTTTTGGGACGCTGGGGTTGAATTGTAATATACGTATATGGCTGCTATGAAAGTATGGGTTTAACGTTCTTATATACACTGCTAGCTACCGGGAATGAAGGTGTGGGGTAGAGTATGGTATGTGCCTATAGCTATGTAGCCGGCGACCCGGTGGTTCGAGAAGTGGGATGATGGACAAGGGGCCCTGCAGATGTCAAACAGGGAGTTAGGGTGTGGTGTATAATTGAGGGTGGGGTCGGGGTGGAGGGATATATGGGGGGGCGAGGGGGTGGGAGGGCGTCATGAGCTGTCACTCGGTTCCGTTTTTCGTGGCTACCGACTCCAATCGTAAAGTGAACTCCCCCACCTCGATATATACCATCAATCCATATATATCACATCGATGAACAAAGAAGGCCTACCTCCTGCCGCTCTGGATCTCCTGGGGTCATATAATAATAGTAATATAGTTCTTCCCCTCCATCTGCGCCCAGCTAGCTGGCCTCTTTTGTGGCAGTTCCCGTGCTGGCGGAACAGGAGCTGGGAGTCCTGTTCATTGCGGCTGGGGTCTAGCTGGCTGTGTTTCTTCCACTGTGTTAATTGCGGTAAGGAGGTTTTGTGTGTTGTAGAGCTTGTATGTGGTGTGAGGTTTGCGTCTCTTGCGCGTGGGGAGCTTGTATGTGGTGTGCGGATTTCCGGCTTTTGGGGATTTCGGGGTACGTTTGGGGTTAGAGGTTGGTGCCGTATATGGCCGTCTACACACCGCGAAAGGCCGGCACCGAAGAAGGTTAGTACTTACTGAAGAGGGTTGATATTGTGACGAATTGGGGTCGCCTCGCTGGTGAGTACGTTGGGCGGGAGCGTTTGCTGGGGTTATGTTGTGTGCTTTTATGTTTTTGTTTTTAGTTGTTGGTCATTAGGCTGGTAAGGAAGGTTGGTATAAGGGTTGGTGGTCCATAGGCTAGAGAGGCCGAGGATAGAGTTGGTATGTAGGTTGATGGACAGGGTTAGGGTTATGTCTAGGCAGCATCGATAAATCCCAGACTGGAGTTCCTGGTTTAGATGGTGTGACTATATAACCCTCTCTCGTGGGGTACCATTCCTGTGTAGAAGTATATAAGACGAAGAGACTAAGCGGGGAGTGGTGTTGGTGCTGGTGAAGTGGGATTTCGAGGGTGTTGCGTTGGCGGGTGAATAAGGGGTGATTGTTTATCTCGGTGGTGTTGCTGAATACGTACCTCAAGACGGAGGGATAGGTAAGCTTAAAATAAGGGCCAGGGAGTTGTGAGGAATTGGGATTTTAGGGCGGCAAGTTCAAACGAGGGGAATGTTGCTACGTCTTTAAGTCAACGAGTGATATGTCATGACGACAATAAACTATGTACAGCCGCATTTGAAAAGTTTTGGCACCTCCGGGCCAAACTCAAGAGGCAGTCCTTTCTGCTTTGCAATTCTCATATTCGAGACCGTTGTCAGAGAGAGCTGCAATGTCTCTATTGCGGTCATACCTGTCAATAAGCTGAGTATGCGCGAGTGCTATGGTTGTTGGTGGGCTACAATTCATGAACAACTCAATATAGTAGGGTGCCAGTACTTTTCGAATGCGGCTGTACAACTATCGAGCGTAGGGCTGGCTATCAAGCTTGTGATAGATATTCGAGTATTGGCGAATAAAGAAAAGGAGGAAGATTTTGCTAATCGGGAATGGTCTGGATTTGTGTTGGGACTAAGTGGTAGTACATTGTCTAGAAGGCGTTCAACTTGGCAATGGTTTATACCGTACCTGAAAACAAGGCCTTGGGGCATGCATTCTGATAAGTGCGCATTGCACGTAAACCAACTCTGGATGTACAATAACTACATTTAGATAACCCGTGACTCGCATCTCTACCATCTCTGTACTGCATGCCCAGATATCTCAAAATCACGACAGATCAGACAACAGCCAACCCGGGCATACAAATGCAACCCTGGTAATAGTGGCGAGACCCTTGCAATCAATGGATGCCTTTCCTCGAGATCCTTTCTACCATACTATCTTTGACCCATTTCCTTATGCCTTACTCGATCCCTTTCGAGACACATTAATTGTGATTAGTGTAGCATACCTTTCCCGATGCTTTTCTCCATGTTTTTCCCATAGAAAGGGTTGATATATCTAAGTACTGATTAAAACTCGGGAAAGGCACAAGGAAAAGGCCTTAGGGAATGCGTCATGAAAGACATCGGAAAATGAATCAAATATGGTGTGGTAGTAAAGGTCTCGAGGAAAGGCATCCATTGACTACCTTTTACTACTTACCTTTCGGGAAAGCATTAGTCTCTCAACTGATTGCGCAAGTGATAAGATCTATATTAGTCAGTCAACCTACTGGCAGGAGTCCAACTCTCATCAAGATCACTTTTTAGGCGTTGTTCAGATAAGAAATGTGTAGACTTAAGCGACAAAGTACTGAACTCAAGGATTCGTTTACCGGTTCGTTTCCTCATACTAATTTGATTCATTTAAAGGCGAGAGACAGTGACTTTATTAAACACGTTTACGGCGATTCATTTCCCAACATGCAGGCAATGTGAAAATTGGATTCATTTGCTGATGAATTTATAAAATTGTAGAGGCTCCGGTCTGGTCGAACGAATGAAGCGGTCAAGAAAGAGTTTCGAAAGTGTGAAGGAGAGCTGCTACCAGTAGGGTTTCTCACCGGGCGTATGGCTATCCCGTCGGTTGTAGGAACACAGGTTTTGTGGTTCAACCGTGTACCGAATTACTTATCATATTTATGCAACTGGCAACCACACGTGAGAGAAAAAAAAATAACAATACGAGATATAATATATCACACTCGTCCTGTATTAATTACACTTAATATCTCCTCATATATATATCGCCTCTACCTTAATTATTTGACTGGATCCTTGCGCGATCTATATATGCTCGGCTATGGTAAACTGTGCAGGATATTGATTATCATAGATGCAGCACGCTACGAAAGGTATATAATTGCGTATGGTGGGGGAAGAGGGGTAGTTCCGGGGGGAAGGGTCAGATATTGTCACAGCCAGGTTGGGCTGCTGCACATAATCAACGGGTTGGCAACGAGGTACATAATCACAGAGCATCACTCGCATAATCAACAGAAATAGCAAACCCGAGTGATAATCCGTGTCGCGGCCTTGTGCTACCAATAATCAGGCCTCCATCGAACGTGTCATCGATCAGCAGCTCCTAACGTCCTCAACCACAACAACAACAACACAACTACACAGCTAAACAACTACACAATTAAACCCTCTCCGACTATCCAAACTATCAAGCATCACATCATGGCTTTCCAGGGGGGAGCTAGAGAAGAATATACTCGACCGTTTGGATCCCCTAAAGGTATGTCCGCCTCCCCAGCTTCCCCGCCCCACATATCCCGTTCGAACCCATCTACACCAAAGTCGCTATATACCCCGCGCCCATCCTCTCGTGCTAACCCCGTGTTCGCTCCAGCCTCCGGGTTCGGTCAAGGCTTCGGGTTCGGTAAAGCCTCTGGGCCCTCCCCGTTCGCTCCAGCCTCCGGGTCCGGTCAACCCCCCCCGTTCACTAAAGCCTCTGGGTCCTCCCCGTTCGCTCAACCCTCCGGGTCCGGTCAACCCTCCCCGTTTGCCTCGTGCGCCCCCTCTGATCCCACCACATCAGCGTTCGGTCGATCCCCCCCTGTCGACGTTACCACCCCGCCCCCACGCTCTCCCACCAAATCTTCGTTTGATAAACCCCTCCCCACCGACGTCGCCGCCCTCCAGTCCATAGTCCGTACCCTCTTCGCCGAGGTCAAGGCCACCACAAGCGTCAACACGCACCTCGCCGCCAGTGTCGCCCGCCTCCAAGGGTCACAATCAGCACCGTCCACCACCACCCCCACTCCTGCTACCACAGCTAACTCCACTCCCACCCCCACTACCCTCCCCCCACACCTTCCCATTGACAACCCCCGCACCATCGCCAGTGGCCGAGGTTGCGCCTCCCCTGAGCTCTTCCAGGAACTCATCAAAAAGAACTGGCATGGCCGTCTAGGCCGCACACATATGGTCGACGTCGACGCCCTCCCCGCCACGGCGCTCTCCGAGCTCGACTGCCTTATAAGGCGAAAGCTGCTTGCCAACTTCCCGCGCGGGAAGCCTAATGTACCTCCCGATGCAGACACGATCTTTGCAAGTCTTGCGGCCCTAGGGCTGCGGCTGGAGGACCGCGGGGCGTATGCGGATTTGCCGATTGCAAATGATGGTGACACGTTGAAAGATGCACCGACGCTTAGAAGGGGGGTGAACCATGCGGCGTGGTATTATAGTAAGGAAAATTATGGGGACTATTGGAAGGGGGTGGTGCAGGAAACGTTGGTGGAGCTGGCGAGGTATAGAGGGTTGTTTGATGACGAGGGGTTTCTGAAGACAGAGTAGTGGGAATGGAAGTTTTTTATTTATGGCATATCTCTTTGTTTCGTGGATGATCGATGTTACAAAACGCTATTCGTGCAGATAGGAGAAACTGAACTTTGCATTTTGTAAAGCAATCAAGGACTGATCCCGCTATCGCTTACAGAATATCGGGGCCATCAAGTCTCGTTATCCTACCTATCCGGGTTTCATCTGGATAGTTTGAGTCATCCGGAAAGAAAATACTGAGAATAGGATGCCTCTATCGACAGATGCCAATAGATACATAAAATGGGCACAGTAACCAGAAACAAACCTTGGGGCGTGTTTGGAAACGGCCTGAACGGAGGTAAAACTCCGTTCAAATTGAAAACTCCGTTATGGGAAGTTCTGAAGAACTAGCTCTGTGTGCTACTTTATCACGCTATAACCTATATTATGCGTTCTCAGAAAACATTATACGAACATCACCAAAGGGCATTGGTATTTGGCAGTCCAACGCTCGATTTCAAGGAATTTCACCTTGCAGGTTGCTAATGGGACCATTTCATCGAACGGCCCGTTAAATCTGTGGTTGATAGTAGGCCTAGCTAGGAATATATAATAATATGGTAAAACCTCCGTATCGATACTAGTACGGTGCAATGCAAAGACTTGAGAATCTTTATGTATACGTATCTCAAAGACCACTACGCCAAATCTTTCACCCCCTTCCCAAACCCTTTTTATTCTGGTACAAGGCTAGGGGCTCTTCACCAATTTAAGGCCGAACTTACCTGGTTTGTGATCCGGAGCGCAGGACAAAGATTCCGGGAAAGTGTCTGACTTTATCAAGAATGCTCTTTTATCTACCTGTATACCCCGGCCATCACACAATTCATGTTATCCCTTAGACCGCCAGGGATCACTAGCCGAATAAATTAGGTATGATAACATGAACTCTATGACTGGAGATGTTTGGTACCGCTTCCCATAGTCTGATAATCATCTTACCGTGATAGTAGGAGCATTTGGGCCTTTAACCCACCACTAGTGATCCACATTAATACCGGGCCTGGCGGTCTAAGGGATACCGCGAAGAAGGGAGGGTCCAGTCGCTGCGACGGTCCAGTCATCGTTTTTCTCGGCAATGATATATTAGGCTAGTTTTTCACCAACAACTTGAGCACTAGAAATTATGCCAAGACATGAAACCCTAACCCATGATGTGACCTCAGTCGGCGTTATGCATATGCATAGCCTCTGATCCGGTGGAAGATGTTATTAATTATGAAATGGGGATGTAGCGGAACTATCCTTTTAGGTTTCAATTGGTGCTGTTTCCGTAGTAGTCATAAGTGAATTTTAATTTTTGCCTTTCAATGCAATAGTAATCGCACATCAGGGCTGGCCTTTTCGGGTAGTGCGCTGCGAGTACGAGAACGTAGTACCCGGATACGTGTACTCTATGTATGGTCCATCTTTACAATACTCTGCTCTATTACATCATGTTCCATTTCCCCACGCAGGTTTTATCATGCGCAGTCTTTCAGTGCTCGTGGTGAGGCCTGGGGTTGGGAGGACACCCTTTTTCGCCGATATTAGACTCTTACTTCGTGGACTACTTGTATAGAGAACGTAGCTTATTACATGTAGTTTTATTCCAGTGCATAAAGAAAGAGCGTAATGCTTTCATAGAGTATAGGTTATGTACATGCATCCAATCAAAAACCAAAATGACGTTCCAGAACAAAAAAAGAAAAACCACATGACACTAGTAAATCGAGTAGAAGGAGAGCAGGTCGTGAGAAAGTTCGAATAGTGGAAGTGTTGTAAACGCTGCGAGAATCCAGGTCAAGTGTGAAATAGTTGGTTGTTTCTCCGCCAGACGTGATGATGAAATGAATGAAAACAATCTCCGAAAATTAAAGAAGAGTAAATAAAAATATATGATAGAGCGGTTGATGGGATTCTGTGATCCTGATAGTCCCCCGCGTCCTCTTGTTCCGCCAAAAAGACCAAGCACACCAATGTTCTACATCCAGCCCGAGACAAATCCCACACTCTCGAAAGAGCACTGGACACACCGGAAATATCCGATTAAGCATGCTGATACTGGGGCTGTGTGAATTTGATATTATGATTGATTTTGAGCGGATCGTAGATCTCTTCCGCATCTCTATCGATAACTGGTGCTGGTGCTGGGGCTGCTGCTGCCGGTGTGGGAACATTCCGACGAAACTGTTTGATGGCCTTAAACATTCCCGTGATGCCAAGGATATTAGCTTTAGCTTTAGCTTTCGCTTTCTCCTGCCTCACACGCTCAGCTTCAGCTTCACGTTGAGCACGACCCTCACGCTCCAACCTTGCACGCTGAGATTCCACCGCTGGGCGCCCGGTATCCAAAGGATCGACATCATCATTAAGGTCTTCATGATCCGTATACGTGTGATCCGTATATGCGTGATCCGTATGTGTTTGATGCGAAACTGACAATTGACGGAATTTTTTGGTTGCCTTCAATACTCCCGTGAGACCAAGGAGCCGAGATCTTGCAAGCTTACTTCGCATACGTCGCTCAGTTTCAGCTGCAAGGAAAGCACGCTCAGCTTCAGATATATGCTTGTGTTGAAGCCGCCCAGCTTTTGCACGCCGATCCTGTTGTTGTTGCCTGGCATCCCCGTGCCAATCCTGTGAATGTCTGGCATCCTCGCGATCACGGTAATCTAGGGAGTGCCTGGAATCCTCACGCCGATCTTGTGAGTGCCTGACATATACATCCTCACGCCGAGGATGATGATAACCAGGGTCTTCTGTATCCGTAGCTTCGGGGCGTGGAACTGCTTGACGGAACCGTTTAACGGCCTTGAGCATTCCCCTGAGGCCAAGGATATTAGCTTTCGCAACTTTTGAACGCCGCTCCTGGTCCACACGCTCGGCTTCAGCACGTTCGGCTTCAGCACGTTCGGCTCTAGCACGTTCGGCTCTAGCACGCTCGACTGCAGCACGCTGGGCTTTATCACGCTCGGCTTCGAATTCAGCTTCGTCGTACGCGTAGTCAACCTCTGAATATTGATCCCCTGAGTATCTGGTTTCATCACGTCGCTCAGTCCCTCTATAAGAATCATAATTCTGAAATTCTTCTTCCTCTTCTTCATCGGTAACTGTCGGGCGTGGTGGAACCATTCCACGAAACACTTTGGTGGCCCTTATCACGCCCGTGAGACCACGAATCCGAGCCCTTGCAAGTCGGATACGCTCATCTTCAGCGACTTGACGTTCAACTTCAAGACGTTCAGCCTCGAAACGCTCAGCTTCAAAACGTTCAGTTTGAGTAAAACCAGACCATGTGCGGGAAACGGGAGGTTTGATAGCGTGGTGCCAAGGTTCGACTAAAGCGACGTTTTCGTTGATCCATGGATGCTCAAGTGCTCTGGCGGCGGTTAAGCGGAGGGTTGGTTGAGGGACAAGGACGCATAGTATGAAGTCCTTGAATATGGAGGAATATGCCAATTTGCCATTCGCTGATCTTGCAAGAGGAAAGTCTCTCTTTCCATCGCAAAATTCTATCAACTCCCTTATGTTTGTATTACTTGTAGTACTCTTGGTGCTCCGTCCAGAGTTGCCATAGGTTATCCCGCTGAACATCGCGCTGTCATCGTTATTGACTGCGTTATCTTTGTCATTCTGGGTACGGGTATTGTTCGTGGGCGCAGGGGCGCAAAATGGTATTGATCCTGTCATGATCTCATGGGCGATGGTCCCCAAAGCCCACATATCGACAGCTTGACTGTACTCTTCTTCTGGCCCCAAATTAAGCAAATTATAGACCTCTGGGGCGATATATTTGCTTGTGCCGATTGCGGTCCTCATCACACTGTCCTGGCTCGTTGATTTCGCAATGCCGAAGTCCGCAAGCTTCAGCCTTAGAGGTGATGTCGAAGCCACAAGTACGTTCTAAGAATGAGAAGTTATGGTTAGCATTAGCAATTATGTTTCTACAACCGTAGGAGGGGGTGAATAGCAAGATGTGGAAAGACAGACCTGTGGCTTCAGGTCTCGGTGACAGAAATCATGTTGGTGCATTATCACAAGAGCCCCCAGAATTTGCCTAACAATTGTTTTACAGTTCTCCTTTGCCAGCGCTGGGTCATCCTCCATGTATGTTGATAGGTCGCCTGCGGAGATATATTCCATAGCGATAAATACGGTACCACTGTTATCTGTGGCCTCGTACCATCCATAGAAATCAACAAAATGATCTTTATGCTATAGACAACAATAGGTATCAGTTAGTCAACGGATTCATGGACGCCATGGTATTAGACTATTACCTTTCGCAGGGTTATCAGCGCATTCAACTCCCTCTTGATGGCCTTTATATCGTTCATGTGAGCGCTCCTGGTGATTGCTTTTACCGCACGAACCGAGTTCCTGGCATCTTTACTTCTTTGGAGATACACATCTCCGTATGCCCCGCCCCCAAGCCTTCGTTCCTGAACCCAGACCTCATTATAACCGTTAATCTTGTGTGTCACAGTTGTATTGCTAAGCGTAGCGTCGTATTTGAAAGTTTGGAGTTTGAAGTTTGAGTCGTTGGCAGCTAGTGATGAGGGTTTCTTAGATAGACCTAGACTTGTCCGCGAGGAAAAATGGTCTACCGACGATAGCGCCGGGCTCGACACCGGGGTTGACTGGCGACTAGACGGGCGACTTGCGTGACGGCTTGACGGGTGATCTGATGGGCGACTTAACGGGCGATCTAATGGGTAATCGAACGGGCGGTCTAACGAGCGATCTAACGGGCGACCTGACGTGCGATCTAACGGCCGATCAGACGGGCGATCGCGCCCAGACGGGCGTTCTGACGGGCAACCTGATGAGCGATTTGATGGGCGACTTGGGGAGCGCTCTAACGGGTGATCCCGCCTTGTCCGGTGCGCCTCGACCGCCGGAGGCATTGGCGGTGCAGGTCCATAAGGCATGGTGGTGGCCTTTCGATTTTCAGAATCGGGATGTGAGCTTCGCTTGAAGAGTAATTGCCACCTGGTGGGGTGTCCGCTCATCTCTGGTTTATTCAGATGAATAAATGAGATGTAGTTATCGAAAGCTTAGTGAAGGGGGGTCTCTTTTATTTAAGCTGGCGAGTATTCGAGTGCGTGGCCCTGGGGTATGTATGTGTATCTACACCTGGTTCTGCAGTATATGTAAGGAAATGTACCTGTTTTCGTCCAGCTCACGCCAGGGAGGTAACATGTGCCTGGAATTGTGGGAAGGAAATTGGTACCTACGTCTCTATCAATGCCCTACTCAATTCTCTGCTCGGATCTAGCCAAACTCACTGAAGTCCCTTTAGGCGTTCGGGAGGGGAAGAAGGGCCATATAAACCGTCACTATGTGAGGAGAGGAGATAATGTATCACAGGCTAGATCGAAAAATCTATCGTCCTCTTTAGTTCAACATTGCAATTAGAGCGTTTTGGAGAAGACCCCATCTTGAGCTTTCGAGCTAAACCTTTGAGCTATCCACACCAGGAGGATATCGATCGCCAACAGCTCAATGCTTGGGCCCAGAAGTAGTTGCAGATTTGTTCTGCGATTGGCGGGAGAGTGAGAGATCCGGGTGAGACGGAATATCGATAGAGGGGGAGGATGTGGAATAGTGTGGCTGACTGTGGCTAAATGTGGCTTAGTATGTACCTAGGTGTCAAAGAGTAGGTAGCACAAGCTGGAAAATTCAATATTCCCTTACATCATCGAGCAGTACACTCTGAAGGAGAGCGCGTAAATTGTTCAGACAGCTCGTTAGTGCTGTTTCAGCCTAGCCAAGCTTCACTGAATTCTGCAATGCACGCAAATGCAATGCGCTTGACGTGTACAGTGGATGGCCAGTCATCATGGACCTTCATTCGAGAATGCAGTGGGTTCAGCTATCACTATCGATATCATGAATTGTCAACCATATAGAAAAATCCCGTAGAAGGTGGATGTCGCGGTACGTTCAATTCCACATGACTTGGTTAATACATGTAGGTATACAACTGGTATCTACTATGTACGAAAGCCTTGGCATCCGAGTGCCTGTTAAATGTGTGCTCGTGTGCTCATGACCGCCGATATTGCATAAAATATAAAAGATCGCCCAAGTCCATCTCCTATATGTCATGCAATAGCGGCCATATTCGGAAAACGTTACGAGTATTGGTCACAGCTGCATAGAACATCACTCGAAAATAATTGTGATGGGCGCCAAGACCCCCTTGTTCAATCATCTTCAAACATTGTGATCAGAACCATGCATGCAACTTGTATGTATGTATGCTTAGATCAATCAGGCGCGATGACTCAGTGTCTCGGTTGAGCTGGAAATGGTGTAAAGATCGAGAGTCCATAACAGCCTCTTATTCGCGGAGATGAATAGGCAAGTCTGGAAACGCACTTTGTTACTTAGCACTCCATCAAAAGAAACTAAACGTATCCCACCTGAGCTAGATTAGCTCACCACGTCAGAGATGTGCGTAGAAACCTCAATCTGTGAAATGCTGCTGAAAAGAATATTCAGCACTCTTCTAAATCTTCGGTGCAATTTTTGCCCGCGCGTATTTGAGACTTCTCATTGAATCGTTTTTCAAGGAGGATGTATGTGGTTTAATAGAGATAAGTATATCCTTTGGGCGGGCGGGGCTCTCAAAGTTGCAGCTTTCCTGTTTGAGAAAAACGAAAGCCCTATTTAGTAAACACTAAAATTTAATGATTAGTTCTATGGCTATTATAATCTACAAAAAGAAAAGCTGAGATTGCATGAAATACGGTACCTAGAGTATGTAGAGTACTGTACTCGTATTGTCCTGACGTTTGTAAAAGGAACCACTATTGCATACCATACAAATACGCGCCAAATCCACAATTTAGTATGGTATGCAATAGCGGTTCCTTTTACAAACGTCACGAAAGTACGAGTAGAGTAGCTAGAGTACGTGGGTGCACGGACCGGACTGCGAGTTTTATCAAGCGAGTTCACCAGGCACATGGAATGAGTGTAAGACATTCTCGCATTCATAAACAACCGGCCGCTAAAGCAGCAGCCAAAGGTTATTTGTGTGGGAGTTGGGTGTTGGTCGGTACGTAGTGCACTCGCTAGTATAAAAAGTTTGAAATGTAGAATCCAATGTAGCGGGGGTAATTACAGAGCAGTCTGTGAACCTTGCGATAAAGTAGAAACTTGAACAAATGTGTGTTTAAACGATCGAATAAGAAAGAAAATAAACAAAGAGTAGATGTACATACGTATAGACGCTATGAGAGAAGATCAGAACATTTCCGGTATTCACTATATGTATTTCTATCAATACTCGTTCAACCTTATCAGACCTAGTCCGATAATTACATGTATTCTAGCTCAGGGTCCCACCTGACTACAAGTACCTACGGACTTCTAGTAGGATAGTGGGCTTTCACCCATTTTCTCGGTGAGGGCAGAGGTCACCCTTATGGTAAAGTATTTTGGATGTGTAGCGGCAATATATGGAAGGTATGTATCTGGAGAACAAAATCGAAGGATTCAAAAAAAAAGAAATCACTTTCGCTCTCAGCGTTTGTTCATCTGGATAATCAGATGACTTGAAGTTCTAGCAGCTAATGGCCAATGAAGAAGCCATCCCGTGAATATTCTGATCGAAGGCGTTCAAATCTTGCATAGCAACGGCTCACCACATTAAACTCTGTAGAACCTGGCTGGGTCGGTTCGGGGGGGGGGGGGGTGGGGGGGTGAGAAGAAAACCTTTAAACAGGATATCGATATCTGAAATGGCTAATGGTGCGGCCCCGACTTTCCTTTTGGCATTTTTGGGAGATATTGTGGCTTTGTTTAATCAATTGAAGTGTGAGAGTCGCAATTAAGAGTAGACCCCCCGGGGGGTCCCATAAATCACATTTGGATGTCCACATGAAACTTCCAAACCTGAGATCATATGAGAGTTAATCTATACGACCGGATGAGGTATGTTTATTGCTGAGATGCTTTTTGTGATGCGGGCGTTTGTGCAGCTATTTGAGTTGGATAGCAAACAATCGAGTAAGTGCTGAATCCTGGATACCCGGTTGACATATATAGAGTTCAAGTCGCTCCATCTCTATCGTTATGCCTGCTGGAGATCATAATTTTCCATATGCACCGGTAATTAACGCCTCAAACTGATCATGAGATATATGCATGATAGAAATACTAATTCTGGAGGATATCAGGCTATCAGGAATTCTCCGCTGATATTAGGCAAGCCATATTCTGGGAATGATATCGATATTGCGGCGTATAGAGGCGTAGAATAGAGGAGAAGTTAACCGCCTGAGGCTAAACATCACCAAGTTCTAAACATTGAATTCTACAGCACGATGAAGAGTGTCCAATAATTTCTTTAATTCCTTTATAAATGACAGGTAGTCGGTGCTCCCGCTTTGAAAACATCGATTAAACTTATGGAATTCAGTGCCTAGGTAAGGAGTTGAAAAGGCCAAGGAAAATGGGTTGTCCAACTTGGTGAGATGTGTGGCAGGCTGATCGGTATCCGGAAATATCTGGCATTGCTTACTCGCAACAGGCTTGAAGTACCTGAAAATGTAGCTGCAGGGTTTTGGTGTATTTTTGACTTCTACTCCAATGGCAATTGCAGATTAGGGCTTGCATTTTCGGTACTTGTTCCTTGCGGCGAGTACGTATTACTCTAAAGTATCGATCGACACGCGCTTGCCGATCAAGCTGCGAGTCTTGGGGTATCACTCGGGAGCCTGGTCAAATCTGCTGTTAATCTCGTCTGATCAAAGGTTTCACGGCGAAAATGAGGTATCAAGAGAGGTCCTCCTATCAAAGAGTTGTGTAATGATCTCTCTTCCGAGCCCTCCTATGGCTCTGGAACCCTTGATCGACCTTTTTTTATGTGGTTAGCGAGTTGATCAGGGTTAGGGTTAGCGGGGACACAAACAACTCCCCTTCAATACAAAGCCCCAGGAAAGAGCTTCAGGAAAGAGCCGTGCGTAAATCATTGTAACAGAACAGTGCTTACCTGGCCAATCTGCTGCTCGATAATTGTTTTGAAATTGGATATAGCTTTTTTTCTATCTATAGACATTTGCATCAGAACTCCCATAGTCTATAGGTTATCGATTTTCTCTCTGCAGCTATCTTTGGGAGGGAAGCCACGAAAGAAATCTTATGATTGCTTCAATAATGTTAAAGATACAGATCGTATACATACAAACCACAATTCATAATACGTATGGGGGGATCCGGAGGTAGAGATCTACAGACCGGAGAGGTGAAACTGTTTCAGTAGAATCGGGCAAAAGGAAAAAAAGGCTGGTTCATGGGTAGACTTCTAGTACTATAAAGATCTCTATCAAACTTTCCACTATGGAATGAGAAGTCTATTGACTGGTTGAAACAAGTCTTATCCTTCATGTGACCCCTACCAAGCCTCCATTAGATACCTTCACTTGCTATGTGAAATCTCCGCCACTAAATATACTTAACCACCCTTAAGCATAGTTCTATAGAGATAAAACTACCACGATTAGATTTGTAAATAAGGATTCAATTGTATTAGTGAGTCATTACGGAGTAGAGGAGAAGGCTAGCTTTCGCATCTGGACTTTGTTGAAATTCAAAAGCGAGAATACATATATTATTTTCTTGTATCTCGCTTCCTTCTGAGTACTTTACTAGATATGTATTGGATCTTTTAATCTAGTAGTTCACCTTATATATAAAGTGAAATGCCATATATCTTTGAATTACACGATGTTTTTTTAGCTGGGTCCTAGTGTAGTCCATGAGCCAGCTCGAGTCTAGCCGGGATATAAGCTCGAGCTGGCTCGGCTTGTGGGAGGCAGAGGCTCACAAGGCTCGAGCTTTGGTGACAGGCTCATAAACTGACTCGAGCCTGTGATCAATGATATAAAAAACAGGTTATCCGTAGAACAAGTCTAGTAAAATAGCAGATATAAGCTTCATTTCATGGGTTAATACTGTGAAAAAGATTAATTATTCAAGTGAACACTCTTGTGGGTAGAAATCCCCTTTTTGCTTCCTTTATGGCTTCTAGAGCCTAGTTCAGAGTGAGCAAATTGAGCTTGAGGTAAGGCTCGAGCCTTAGAGAAAATGGCTCAAGCCGTCTCAGGCTCGCTGGAGGGTGAGACTCACTGGGCTCGAGCCGAAAGTTCGAGGTTAAAGCTCGAGCCAGGCCGGCTCATGGACTACACTACTAGGTCCACCCATAAGAAAGCGAGGATTAGGGTTAAGTGTAATGTGTTTGAAACTGATCCAATAATGTAGCAGAAGATACAGAGGAAAGGATCTTCACCCAAGAGCTATTACCAACCGTTTTGGAATCAGTATAGAATGTGTTAACATCAGCAAGCCTGCAGCCTTCATCAGACACCCGAGGCGCTCAGGGTGCTCAGGGCACTCGGTAGGTAAACTACGTCTCCAGAGATACGGCAAGTGCTCCTGTTGAGTTCTGGCGTATGGTTGTCCGCCCCTGCGCACACTAGTCCGCCCAAAGTGCCCCGACACCTAATCCTAGCGCTCGTCGCAACCCGGACGTCAGTTCGGTTGCCAGAGAATGCCAGTTGCTTACTTGTATATCCTGACTGCTACTGGAGCACTCCCGACTACTCCTGCAGCACTCCCGACTGCTCCAGCGGGCCCTGAGATAGAATAATTGCCCTGACCCCTCCTGACTTTGCCGGATCGGGTGCTTTGAAACCTGGTTCACGCCCGACGTACCGATTCCTATATGTCCGCACCCCATTCTCTCCAGGCATACACCTCTCTACCGTATCAGCCTCTGGTCTTCACAATTCTACCATGAGATTACCAAAACATCACTCGCACGACGATCTCTACTGCCTCCAGAGCACTCGCGACTGCACTTTTAGAATTGGTCCATTCAACACCGTGATCCTCCACCTAATACTAAAACAATATGCTATTTGACACCCTAACGAACCCTAATACAATATACGGAAAAGAACAAATCCCCCACTATCTTCCTTAGCACTCGCGATTGTTGTACACATCCTTACTCCTCCCCCTTTGTATTCTCCCACTATAGGTAATTCGGGCTCCTCTTCTTCCTCCTCCCCCTCCTCTTCAGTGTCAACGCCACGAAGTTGGGCATTAATCACTTCGTCCTGGGCACTGTCGGAACCAACCCGACCTTTTGGAGCACTTGTGGGTATTCTCCGAGCATTTCGGAATGCGGCAAGATCCGCAGCCAGCGCTTCATCGTCCTCGCTAAAACCCTCCTCCGGTATCACCTCAATAGTTACCCCCTTTTTATCTCGTATCTATTAGGGTTAGCATTTAGAATACCACTCGCATTACCGGCATCTAGAAGTATCATACCTTTTCTCGAAGGTTATCTTTGATTACCTCCAAGGTGGCCTCCTGGTTCAATTTACTTCTCCCCTTCCAAGTGTTGCTCATCCTGTTGAACGTTTCTACTCGAGTTTGGATGTCAGCTCAGCAATCCCATATAGCCCTAGGAGCATCCGCCATTGCTCCCAAGGCACTCGCCATATCAACGTGGGCATCGGGCCATACTTACTCACGACACTCTCATTCTGCGACTGAAAATTATCAGGCTTCAAGTAATTCCCTGTTGACAACGCCCAAGTGCCGTGCCAGATCGCCGTCGATATCAGGCAAATAAGGGTAGTGGTTATCCACTGTAGAAATTCGGGATCCCTAACCCCTCGAATTCTTACCGCATCGAAGTATTTAAAATACAATATATGGATAATTTCAGGAGCCAGAAAGCGCAGTTGGTAGGTCTAGAATCTGTCAGTGGCTATCCCGAGTGCTCTCTGGGCATCCATCATACCTCGTAATGCTCTTGCGGGCTCAAGAAACGATCATTCTTCAAAAGGTATTCCACCTGGGCCGCCCTTGCCTCAGGCCCCACAAGATTTCCAAGCCCATATATTGTAGAGTCTGTCAGGCCCCCTTTCACCTTGTGCATCAAGTTGGAACGGACACGGGAGTGCAGACTTCTGAGCTATTGTTCTCAATTATATTTCCAGAGCACTCGTAATCTCTCTGGGGGCACTCGTAATCCCTTTGGGGGCACTCACCTGTTTAATAACAACCTCATCAAGGTCTACTTTACACTCCACTTGGTGACTTGCAGTTGCCCACATGCTCACTACCACTATCGAAAGTCTTGCTGCAGGTGGAAAGGGCTCATATAGAAGAGTATGCTACCCGATTAACATGCTACACCCCTTCTCAATTCTCTGAGCCTGCACTGACAGCACATTTGCACTCCTAGAGTTAGGGACCACAGACCTCCAAGTCAATTGGCTCGAAGGAATATCACCAGTGTTCTCAAAGACGTCGTGAGTATCCTCCGGAATACTAATCTCGCTTCCCGGAATCTAAATACCATCACTTTCTGGCATCGGAGCACTCTCGTCCTCCTCCCTAGATGAGGGAATGTACTCGAATTCGTAGACTCTTTGCGATCGACCTTGACCGTGAAGTTGGCTTGAAGGAATCTGATGACTGCTCACTGGGATGTCGGGAGTGCTCTCTGGGATGCATTCTGGCTGGGTGCTGGAGTGGGTGCTGCTCTCCCTTGTTTACGTATTACTTTCGCGCCCCATCGAGTTCTCCTCTGAATCGTGGGCCACTAATACTTACATGTTAAAAAGCATCAATGAGCGAGATAGAGTCGAACCTGTACCACGTCCACCGATACGTCGGAAGAAGCAATCACCTCCGCTACCATGCCAGTTGGTTTCCTCCGAGCATTGCCCACTGATCTGGCAGTAGTTGGTTGAATTGTATGAGGTCTCTTTCCAACAGTCTGACACATCTGGGTGGAAGATTGGGGGGGCTTGAGGTTCATCCTCCGGTTCATCCTCATCCCCCTCAGAGCTCTCATGGTCATTCTCCGGAGCATCATCATAGTCTGAGTGGCTAGTATCAACTATTTCTTCCATCTCAGGCGCCTCAATTGCCTCAGGCTCCTCCTGCGCTTCAAAATTGTCAGTATGATCCGTGGGGAGATGAAATTCTACCCTCCGAGGAATACTCCTCCCAGTCGGGGTTTCGGAAGAACGGAGAAGACCCTTCCGAGCTATTTGGATTGCGGTGGTCGATTGACTACTCCGAGTGCGGGCTGGTAGTGGAGTCAATGGTCGGTAAGATATCTCAGACTCATCAGTCTCTCCATCCTCTTCAGGTCGTGATGGGAGTCATGGGTGCTTTGGTGCAGGAGGTGCTGTACTGGAGGAGCACTTGGTGGGAGCCATTCTGATGACTGGTAGGAATATCTGCAGTGCTCTAGAAGCACTCGTGATATCTTTAATTAGAAATCAATTCTTGGCGAGAAAATTTGCGCCGCTAATCTTCATACGGTAGGGATCATCCGGTGTTACCGTTATTTCCGCACTCAACCGCATCATTTATCATCACTCGTTTTACTGCACTTTCTGAAGCGGTAACGAGTGCTCTGAGAGCAATCAAGGAGTTTGATTCGACTTTGAAATAAAAGCAATGCAATTACTACCTGGACTAATCTAATCTAATCTAATCTAATCTTATCCGGTATAACTCATCCATTGATATACAAAGGGAAACCCAAAACACCAAATCGTACCGCACCTCAGCAGCTATCGCGAGTGCTCAGAGAGTAATCCTAACAACTATTAAAAGGTTAGTGACAATTCCGCAGGAAGGGAAGTTAGAGATTATACCAAAGGGAACTAATGATGCCCGCCACCATCACCACCACCACCACCACCACCACTATCACCACTACTACCACCTCCACCACCTCCAGCATCAGCAGCTGGGAGTGCATCAGCAGCTCTCTTGGCTGCTATCCCGGCAGGTGTCCAGATCGTCCCCTGTAAGAAGTTTGGGTCAGCAACCCTGACACCCAAAGGATACTTCCTAAGTTATTTGGGGTCTAAATCGTCGATAGCATCCTGCTGTCTATCGCGACGCCTAACAAGAGTCTGAATTAGCCTTTGATTACTAGTATCAGTTCTAGGCATATAAACCCTCAGTCCTTTGGCATTTATTCGGTGCTTTACCTCCTCGTAATCCGAATCCTCTGCAGGAATATCGATCACGCTATAATCATCTTCCTCAACATGAGGGAAAGCTGGGTTCAACGGAGGGGATTCTGCACCACCCAGGTTAGCACTCACGCATGCTCTGTGGAGGACCGTCAATATCCTCCGAGGCCTGGCATTGCTGTTCCACAACCAACCTTCGAGCTCCTCTGAATCCGTAATTTGTACCTCCACTGGCCGAACGGGAGGAACAGCTGCCGGGGGGACGTTCTCAATTGCTCCCCAGATAGTCCTTACTGCTCTGCCAGGTGCTGTATACTTCAGGATCAAGTTGCATAACTCGGGGAAGGCTATCTTGGTCAAAGTTCCGATAAATGGAGGTTGGTTCAGGGGATCATTCCAGTCATAAGTAGGTGGTGGGACGAGGATAAAGAATGCACCTATAGCATCGGGGTCCACTATGGAAACCATTATGAAAGGTCGCACGAGCTCTGTAGGTGCTACATGCTCTTTCCCTTTGCGAGAGCGTCTTCTGGCTGCCTTACCACCGCCGGCATCATCATCATCACTATCACTGGCAGCATCTTTGAACTGACGGTCTCCCTGTCCCCTTGATAACTTATCCTTCATACCAACAGTGGCGATGAGCCACTGTAGAGCACTCGCCAGTGCTCTACGGGTATCGGAGTCACTCCCAGTCCAAATTAGCAGAAAATCATTGAGGGAGGGCAGGTTAATTAAATAAAGGCATAGGGCATTAAACACAGGCAATCCGGAGGTGTTTTTATCGACCCAACCTACATTTTGCATTTCTGCCTTTAGGCGGTTGGGGATGCTGGTGTACACTTTAGGTAGGTTGAGTACATCTAAATTCATTTTCGCTTTGCTTGCTTGAGTCATCTTAAATGCTCTCGAGCTCGAGGATATCTCTTGAACACTCAGGGATGTCTCTTGTACAATCGGCGATGGCTAAGGTCTAATTCTTCTCTGTCATACTGGTGAGGGGTGGTCTATTAGTTCGGATGGGCTTGCAATAGAAAACAACCGAGAGGGGCATCGGGGCTTGAATGGAGAGGTCTCCGGTGCAATAGCATGCAGTGGAGCACTGACTGGTGCTGATGAGGGAGTAGTAGAGCCTGCTGGGCCTGTTGAGCGGCCTGTTGCTGAGCCTGTTGCTGGGCCTATTGCTGCTGGGCATGTTGAGTGGACTGAACTAGACTTGGACTGAGTGAGAACTTGACCTGGGACTATTATACCCATTTCTGATGGGGTGAACTCAGGGTTAAGGTTAGCCCCCCATCACCAAAAACAGGGAGACCCCTATAGTATGCAGTTCTACGTGCCGTACAGTCCCCTTCAGGCACTTCTCCTTTGATATATAGGGGGCGTACGGTTGACTTGCTTTTGCCTCCTAGAACAAGCGTCGTGAGGCGGTTGTTCTACCTGTATGGATGCATTGCGTTCCGACCCAACGCAGATTTGCCCGCACAACACATACAAATTCGCAAGGCTTCAGTACCCTATCGGCTACAGCGCGCACCTCCACAGTCCGCACTTTCATAGGCCGCAGCTCCACAGCCCGTATCTCTACCACCGGCTCCCCGCGAACAAATCTAGCACCACCACATGCACCAAATTGACACCTCCGCCAGCACCAAATCAAGCATCAAGGCTGCAGCGATTCATGCACCAAACAGGCAGCGATTCTGCTTGAAATCATGCATCAAATAGGCAACGATTATACCTCCAAATCATGCCCCAAATAGGCAACGATTCTGCTCCAAATCATGCACCAAACAGGCAGCGATTATGCACCAAATGATTCAACGATTCTGCAATGAATAGGGCATACAACGACAGGTATTTGCACGCCTCTGCCACCATATCGAGACATCGCCCCCTCCCACCACTACGGCCTGCAGAACTGTCGACACCTGAAAGGAATCAAGTGAAGCGTAAATAAGGTTAGCTAGGGTTAGGTTTAGTTAGGTTTCTAGTAGTGGAATGTCGGACAGGATTTTGAGGTTGCCCGGGAACTGTCGCCCCACAATTCCGGGCTCCGTGGCTATGGGTCGAACAGGACGACCCGAGTCCATTCCCATCATCAGGTATGCGCGTACAGGGGGTCGTGGTCGTGATTGCGGGGGCGGAGGTGGTGGTTGGGGGCTGTTGAGTAGGGTAACTCACTGTGAGTTTTGGCAACCCGTCCTGGTTCACTCCCGGCGCCGCCACTCACCGGGCGAGTACAACGATCGATGACTGCATGGCATTGAACGCACCGTCTCGAGCCCACGATCATGACGGCGCTCGAAATTCAATGATGCCGCGTTTCCCCATCCTCTGCTTCGATGGAATACATATATTTCGGATTCTGAACTCCGGATTACCGCATTGGGCGAATCCCACTATTTGTCTCCGCTGTCTTCTTACGCTCTGGGATACTTTACTCCAGGTCACGGCTTTACTAAGTTTCAACGCTCGTAACCCTAACTACCCACATCCAGGTTCCAACCACCACCAAATACACATTGATGTATTTCATTTTTACCGAAGATTGTATTTTGTACACATAATTAAACCAGATTTGAGCGCTCATAACCCTAACTACCCACATCCAGGTTCCAACCACCACCAAATTCACATTGATATATTTCAGATTGCCGAAGGTTGTATTTTGTACACGTAACCAAACCAGATTTGAACGCTCATAACCCTAACTACCCACATCCAGGTTCCAACCACCACCAAATACATATTGATATATTTCAGATTACCGAAGGTTGTATTTTGTACACGTAACAAAACCAGTTTCAACGCTCGTAACCCTAACTACCCACCACCAGGTTTCAACCACCATCAAATTCACATTGATGTATTTCGTTTTGACCGAACATTGTATTTTGTACACGTCACCAAACCAACTTTCAATGCTCGTAACCCTAACTACCCATAACCAGGTTCCAATCACCACCAAATACACATTGATCTACCAACAAAATCCGCTTTCAACTCTCGTAACCCTAACTACCCATAAGCAGGTTTCAACCACCACCAAATACACATTGATGTACTAACAAAATCCGCTTTCAACGATCGTAACCCTAACTAGCTGTAAAAATATGGCATTGCGAAATCGGTTATGTATGGTAATTACTCATGTATAAGGAATGACTCATAGTTGGAATAAGGAGGCTTAGCGCTAGGATTATGTAATCAGGGGATCACGTGGTACTAAGAACTATATGTATATAAGGAGCAACAAACTCCCACAGTTGTCGCTGGAACTCAGCGGCGCACTAGTATCTTCTTCACACTATAAACATAGTCCTCACAAAGGTCACGTGTTCAACCCTCCTCAAGTCGTCTATTCTCCCACACTCCAATTCACTGGTTATAAGCCAGGGTTCTGCCAAATAGAATCCGCACTACACCATCGCCACCTCGCTTAACTCAACAACACTTCATACAACATCATGCCTTCAGGTGGAGAATCGTCATCCAAGGCTGCTGAGACTAAACCCTCAGAGACCACAGCCACCAGTAACATTCGTCTCAAGTTTGATAGACTCCCTAAACTACATGGCAATCCAACTACCAAACTTGGGCGAGTGCCTGGAGGATAACGTTCGATGCTGTAGACTGGTGGGAAGCGTTGAGCATCGAGAACCCTACCGAGAATGACACCGAACTCAGGAAAATCGAGATAAAGAAGGCTCGTAAACAAATGCACAGCCTTCTCATCTCTGCTGTATGTGAAGAAATATAACCAACAGTCGTCTTTGCCGAAAATGCATTCCATGCATAGAAGGCGCTCAAAGACCTCTACGATCATGTCTCACTCAACACCGCGATCACCCTCCTCAGCCACGTCCTAGATACGAAGATGCAAGAAGGTGGATCACTGAACGAGCATCTCGCGACTTTCGATGCGAACTGGAATACTCTCAAGTCCAGATGCCAAAGCGCAGACCACAAACTCGCTGAGGCTCTCCTACCCTTCACCAAATCCAACGAAGCCATAGCGGCATTCCTCCTAAGCTCGCTATCCAAATCGCTGAGCAACGTCGTCGACAACATCCAGACCAAACAGGATATTACCTATGAAGACGTACGCCAACGACTACAAAACCTGAATGAGGTAGCCCCTCAAACAGGGAACAAAGTACTCCATACTAGGAGTACTACAAGCGACAAGGAATGCACCTGGTGCAAGAAAAGGGGCCAGCCTTACAAAGCCTACGAGTACACGGATATCACGGGGACTATAGGCGATGGACTATGATGCCAAGGATTACAACCGAAGCGAGAACGTAGTAGAAGAGATTCGTGACTATGGACTATGAGGTGGTTCAATCCTGATCCGAGATCCAAGATGAGCCCTATGACGTAGCGTAGAACAAAAGTAATATTCGTGGAATAAATACAGAAGAAGAAGAAGAAACTTATATTGCTTTGAAGTACAAGACTTATCGCACGCCGACCCAACCACCTCAAACACGAACCGAACAAAAAGAAAGAAAGGAAAAACAACAAACGCAAAACACAAACGAACAAAACAAGAACAAAGCAAGCACAAACACAAACAATAACAAGGAAATTCCAGAACGACACTTCGGCCAGAAAACCCAACGACAAGGAGAAATAGCATATCTCAGCGGACTCGAGCGCTGGATCCATCAAGACAAAATAAAACAAAATTAAAGAGTAAAAGGAAACCACCCTTCCTAATCCCGTTCCTGATCATTTTCTTCCATCCCCTCTTCCAGGTCCGCCTCCGCCTCCGCCGACTCGTACCATTTCGAGAGTTGAGATTGTTTTGCAAATTGTAGGATGAGGTCCGTTCTCAGGTTTGTAAACATCCAGTTTTCCCAGGTCATCGCTCCGGGGATCTTCTCTATCAGAGGGGTGCGGATTCGAGCCCACGCTGGGCATTCCATAAGTATGTGTTTCGCCGAGTTTTCCATACCACACTGGCATGGTTCGGGGTCTGTATGTACTGCGTGTTTGTCGATTCGGGTGGTTTGGCACCGGATTCGAAATACCTTTTTTGCTTCCGTAAGGGTAAGTTTCGCTAACTTGGGGGGGGGGCGGAATTCCCCCCGGTGGTGGTAGTTCGGTATTGATTGTGTGTTCCATTCTTCCAACAGGTGGTCGCGTAGTAGTTTATTTTGGTTCCACTTATCTCTCGCATTTCCGGGGGTCTGGTATGGGAGTAGTAGGGAGGCGATTCGGTGTAGGCCTGTTCCTTTGATATTTGCTTCTCTGTATGGGAGGAGCTCGATCAGGGATTCGTTGTTGGGGTGGGTTGCCTCGGTGCAGAGTATTCTGGTTCCGTACTTTCTTGAGCGATATGTCAGGAGATGTTCTAAGGGGGGTAGGCCTGCTTCTCGGAGGAGTTTAGCTCTTTTGGTCCATCGTGGTAGGCCGGTGATGATCCGGGCCGCTTCATTATATAGTGGTTCGAGGGATCTTATAATGTGGTCTGCGCCAGTCCACCAAGCCTCGGATCCGTAGAGTAGGCTCGGGAGGAAGCCTTGTGTTATAATGTGATGGATTGTTTTAACCGTTATGCCTGGCAGGCGGGCTGTGTAACGAATCTGGTGGAGGGCTTTGAGGCCTTTTGCGATCGCTGCTTCGATGTGGGGCCGGAAGGAGAGGGTCGGATCTATCCAGACTCCTACATATTTCAGCCTTTCCTTGGGGTGTATATTGATGTTGTTAATTTTGACCGGAAGTCGTGGTTGTTGTGTGGATGATGTGGTGGGCCGGAAGAAGATCAGGTCGGATTTATCCGGGTCGTATTTAATTTGGAGTTGCTCAGCTTTTATTAGTCTCTCTCTCATTCGTTCCTCCATTCTCTTGATTGTGAAGCCTGGTGTTTTGGATATTTGCACCAGCGCATCGTCATCGATGTAAGTAGTGTCCATCTCTTTCGGGCTGCTTGTTGGGTCCAGGATTACTCCAGCATAGATCATAAATAGCACCGGGGACATGGGGCTACCTTGCGGCACTCCAGAGTCATAGGGCTGTGGCTCTTCTAGCTCATGGTTGAATTGGAACTGTAGTTTTCTGCCTGTATTGAATTCCTTGCACCATTCTGTTAAGTAGGTAGGAAATTTTTGTTGTTGCATGATTTCCGCGAGGAGTAGGTGGTCGACGCAGTTAAATGCTCCTTGGATATCATTGGTTAGGATCGCTGGCCTGTCTCGCCGAGCGACTCCGGTACTGTTTTTCAGTAGTAGGTTTTGTTGTATTGGTGTTAAGGTTCACAGCAGGGCGTCGATTGCCGAGATGGTTGGTCTTCCTCCAAATTGATTCGCTGAGAGTGTGCCTAGAATTTCTCCAGCGGTGCAGAGTCTTTGGGCCACTATCTTCTCCAGGATTTTGCTGAAACATTGTAGAAGGGAAATGGGCCGGTAGGCTTTTGCTTCATGATAGTTCGCTTTACCGGGTTTCGGGATCGGGATACACTTAGCTATTTTCCATGCCGCTGGGTGTACACCGTGCCGGAGCATGGCGGAGAACATGTCTTGGATCAGAGTTGTATTTGCTTTGACTATTGCTTTAATAAAGGTGTAAGGAATGCAATCCGGGCCGGTCGCCGAGTGCGCTGGACAGGAGTCGATTGCTTTATTAAGTTCTTCGGGGGTGACTATGTCGAAGGTGTTGCTAAGGTCAAAAGAAGGGGGTCTAATGTTTAGGGGGGGGTGGTCGGGGGACGTCCGTTTTGAGGGGAAAAGTTGGGCTCTTAGAGCTTGACACTTCCCCGCAAACGTTTCTTCACCTTGTATTGTTGGTATGATTGTGTCTCTTCTTCTTCCTGCATTCAGGATTCTCCAGACCTCACTCCCTTTCGCCTCGTTCATCGTCTTTTCCCGCTGGTCCGCTTTTGCTTTCCGGATCATGACTGTCCATTCTCTGCATGCCTTCCGGTGCTCCTCCGCGTGGTTGGGTTTCTTTGTATTTCTCGCCTTCCCTTCTGCCGCGTTTACCCTTGCCTTCATTTGTTTCATTGCCTCTGACCACCAGGAGTTGGCTCTTACTCCTTCCTTCGAGAGTGGTGTTACTATAGTGATTGTTGCCCTGACCAGTTCTAGGAAGAAGTCGACGGTTTGTTCCGTATGTTCCTTGGTTTCCCATGCCTCTGCAGGGAGAGAAATGTTTGACATATGGTTCTCCAAGAGCTTCCAGTCTGTTTGTCGCCACATCCGTCTTGGTACGAATGGTGGTTTTTCCAAGTGTAAGTGAACGGAGGTTCTCCCGTGGTCTGAGCCCGCTCCATAGGGTTCAGTGCTCCATCGTAGATTATGGTCGAGAGTTGGGCCTTTTACAAATGTAAGGTCGATAATTGTAGGCCTTTTCCCTCTGTCTCTGGGGAAGTGCGTAAAGACGCCTGGTTCGTTCAGGAGGGTCAGTTTCTGTCGGGTTATCCATTGTTTTAGCCGTGCACCGTTGGCGCGGTCTGCTCGGATGTTGTTTCTGTATTCATGTGATGTTACTCCGTACCACAATTGGTGATGGCAGTTGAAGTCTCCCATTACTAGGCAATTGTCGAGGGTTTGGATTGTTTTTGCTATTTGGGCAAAGGGGCCACTTCGGCCTGGGGAGTATATATTTAGGATTTGGGTTTTCTTGTTTTGGATTTCTACCGTAATCGATACTATGAAATTATCGTGTGTGTAGTGGTGTTTTGGTTTGAGGTTGGCATGTTTGCGGACGTATGTTGTACATTTTGTATTGGTGTTGCTGGCCGTAAAGATATAAAAGAGATTTGATTCTGGTGGATATCCCTCTGCTGAGGTCCATGGTTCTTGTAATAATAGGAAATAAATACTAGAGTCTGTTTCCGCTTCTTCTACCGCCGCCTTGGTGATAAGTTCGCTCCGTGCACAATTGAGTTGGTGTGCGAGCGCGGTGGTTCGAGGCCTAAGCATTATTTGTCATGTGTTGGTCGTCTTCGGGAACGGGTGTGGCTCCGACTGGGGCGGTGGCTGGTACTTGAACTATCGGATGCAACTCTTGGATGGGTGCGGCCGGTAGGTCTTGAGCGGGTGGGGCGTTTTCCTTTCCTTTGTTGAGGAATCGGCGTTTGACTCTTTCGGGGCATGCTGGGTCGGAGGCCTTATGGATTCCTTTACAGTTCAGACATCTGATTGGGGTGTGAGTGCATCTGTATCCTCCCTGGCATTGATTGCATGGGTGGAAGCTGGTGAGATGGTCTCCGGCACAATGACCGCATCTCCCACTGTTTTTGCATTTCTCCTGGCGGTGACCGTATTCGAGGCACTTCGCGCATTGGGTGTCTGGGAAGGTTGGGAGGAAGGCCTCAATGTGGCAGCTTCGATTAAAGAGGGATAGGAACTTAACTCCTAGTGTTTCCATTGTAACTTGTCCTGGGAACGCGATGACCATTGATGAGTGGGTTTTCTCCATTCGAGTCTCTGCTCTGGAGATCCAGCGGGGAATCTGGGCAAGTTGGAAATTATCTCCATAATTGCTTCTAATTTCGGATGCTACCAGTTGTCCTGCCTCGACGCCTTCTCCGACCGTTGTAGGGATTCCGTGAATAAGGAACTTTGACCATTTGGAGTTTGCCCGGATAATGGCGACTGGTACTTGTAGGGTGAGGAGAGCCTCCTCAATTTCTTTGGCATATTCCATTGCCTTTGTTGCTGGGGTGACAAACTTTGTTTCCAGGATAAAGTTGTCCTTGGGTGTTCTCCTTGCTGAAATGAAGTGGCAGGATTCGTCCTGAATTCTTGCATTGACTAGGGTCCTGATCTCGGAGGGATTGACGTCGGATGGGGCAGTGGTTTCAACAATATTTCTCTGTTGATTTTGGTATATTCTGGCTTGAAGAGAGGGTCCGCTTTTGGCTTTGCGTACTTCTTTCTTCTCTCAACAACCTGGAAATTTCCTTGAGCAGGACTGGGTGCCGAGGCCACGGCGGCCCAGGTGCCTGCTTTCCATCCACGGGGTGGGGCTTGTTGGGGGGGTGCGGGTAGGGGGGCCTGAGGAGCTGCCTGAGGCGCTGCTTGGGGAACTGTTTGGAGGACCGCTGGAGGGGGCATTCTCTGTCCCTGCGGTTGTTGTGGTTTTCGCTGTTGTTGCTGTTGTTGCTGTTGATAGTTTTGTTGTGGTTGCTGCGGTTGTTGCGGTTGTGGTTGTTTGTTGAGGAGAAGATGGATCGCTGAGTGCATATTGGTAATCATATTTGTCTGCGCCTCGATTTGGTGCTTCAGTGTATCCACTGTTCTCCGGAGTGTAGTTGTTTGCTCTTCGAGGATTTCAATCCTGTCGGAGGGTGGGCAGATTCGGCTGGTGGCATGTCTGATGGCCCAGGTAATATAGTTCAGGTCCGTCTGGGTGTGAGTGTCCTGGGGAACAACGCTCGGGTAGAGGTAGTCAATTCTCGGTTGGTATGGGTCGTTGTAGTCGGATTCTGTTGCGAAGGTCGAGGAGAATTCCTGTTCTTGAGCTCCGGATGGGGTTGGGTCGGGAACCTGGGTGTTCCTGTTCTGCGAGGGGGCTGTCCCTTGCTGGGAAGACTGGGTGAAGAAGGATTGGAGCGAAGCTTGCTGCGACATAACTGAATGTCCAGTTCTTCTGGCGGCGTAGAGTGATGTTTCGGATAGGTTTCTTTTCCTTCCTTTCGGGAGGTCAAGGCTGGAGAATTCTTCGCTGGAAGCCAGTTTTCGTAGGTTTCTTTCGCTTGGAACAACAAAACGCGACCGTACGATCGGGGACGAAGTGGCTCAGCCTGGTATGGTATACCAGGGTAAACCGAGAGGAATAAAATAAAATGTTTTTAAAGCGAGGTTAATTGTCAGGGAGTTCGTGGCGAGCCTTAGCGAGCCGAATGAATACAGAAGAAGAAGAAGAAGAAATTTATGTTGCTTAGAAGCCGAAGCTTATCGCACACCTAACTACCCGACTACAACCTCCACCGACTAACCCGAAAGCAAAACAAAGTACAAAAACTAACTACCGCAGCTACAAGAACTACGTACATAAAATAAAAGTAAACGACGCACGAAGAGGGCGCAAATAACAAGTGGTACAGGTAAGCAGAATCTAAGCGACAACAAAGAAACCTCCCCGTAGTAAGAATGAACCCCAAACTTCTCCGTCAACTACATAAGCGAGCACAATCCTAAACGTAGTGTTCAATCGAAACGATATCATTACCAACGTTCCCGGTGTCATATCTGTGGACAAACCTTAACAGGACTGGGAAACCACGCGCACGAAGGCAGGAGAGGCCAACCGCCGCAGCGTCAGGGTGGAAGCGAGGGGGGGTGGGTCGAATGTGGGTCCTCGGGCATCTGGTTGTCAGGCAGCGAGGAGTTGAGGAGTGGTGACCGGTAGGTCAGATAAGAATGGGTGGGGTCGTCGGTCCCTGGAGCAACGGCTAAAGACTGTGCCCGAGTCGTAATTGAAGTAGTGTCCTCTGGAGGGGACATACAAAGAGGGTTGAGCCGAAGGCTCAGTAAGTATGGGGGTCGCAATCGAAGGTGCCGACCGTGTTGTGTTGAGGGTGGTCTCGGAGACCGGTTGGGTTGGGGTGAGGGGAGCGGGCCGCCTCGGGTAAAAAGGGTTGCCTGGTTAAGGCCGATAAAGAGGGGTAAGGTCACGGGACCTCGGGTAAAAAATTTGACGATAGTTTCGCGACCGAGAGGTCGCTAACTTCGCGGGCTGTCGAGCGCTTTGGCAGTAGGTTCTCGCTGACTGGAGATTACTGACAGTGTGCGTACCCAACATGTGGGATCACTCGTGCGATGAGTGAAAGTAAGGAGGGGCGAAGGCGGCTTTCGAGAGTAGCCGCTGGTTTGGCGAGGGGTGAACGGTGGACGCGTCCCGTGAGGGCACCGAACGAGCAAAGAATGGGGGGTGTCGAGCGAGGGAAGTTCAGGGACCGAAGCAATTCGAGAATCAGTATAACTCCATCTCGGGGGGGAAGAAATCCATCGCGAGCCAGAGGCGAGCGAATGAATACAGAGGTTGCGTAAAGAGAGAAGGAAAGAGAGAAAACAAATAAAAGCACGAAACAACACCCCCTTATATATCCAACGATAGTCCAATGATGACTAATACTTCCGCGTAACAGAAACAAAAAGAACATAACAGAATCCCCATTACAAATCCTAATTCCACTACACAATATCTCCTCGTCTCGTACCAATCTATTACCTGGCCGTAATACATAGCTGCCATTACAGATCACGCCCCCCTCTAAGGCCTACCTCCTGGTAGGCTTAGGCTTCCCTGGATAATGCTCGTGGAATCGTTTGACGATATCAGGTGAATGCTCAAGGTCCGATAGTGGTTGCCAGGAGGCTTCATCATACCCTCTATATCGTACCAAGTACTCAAACCTTCCTCTTCGTTTCCTCGAATCCAAAATATTTTCGACTTCCCATTCTTCCTCTCCTTCGATCTCAACCGGAGGTGGTGGCGACTGTTGTTGTCCAGGTAAAGGATTACCTGCTTCAGGAGACAATAATGAGACATGAAATACTGGATGTATTTTCATCGACTGGGGAAGTTCCAATTCGTAAGCATAGGGATTAACGATCCGCTTAATGCTATAGGGTCCAATACGTTTCCAATCGAATTTCTTGGAAGGTCGCTTCGTTAGAATTTGACGTGTCGATAGGAAAACTTTATCTCCCAAAATGCAGCGAGGGGCTGGAGTTCGATTCGCATTGGCGGATTCTTCTTGTATTCTTTGCGCTCGGAACATTTCTTCCTTTAGGAATTCCACTATCTTTTCCATCTCTCTTGCAATGCTATTAGCTTGGTCTTCCGCAGTGGTCCTACCATGTTCTAAAAGGCCAAAGGTCATTCTTGGATTTCTTCCTGAATTGGCATAAAACGGGGAGACCTTTGTTGTTTCGGAGGCATGATTGTTTGTCGCAAATTCAGCCATTGGTAACATTCGAGCCCAATCATCTTGTTGGTAGGAAACATAGCTTCGGAGATACTCTTCCATTATGGCATTGATTCTTTCCGTTTGTCTGTCTGTTTGGGGATGAAATGCAGTAGAGAATTTTGGCGATATTTCTAGACGATTACAAAGCGACTTCCAGAATTCTGCAACGAACTGTGTTCCTCGATCTGATACAATAGTATCTGGTAATCCATGTAGCTTCCAAACATTATCGATATATAGCCTCGTCTCAAGGGGGTGAGTAGCGAGTATTCCGCAGGGTACGAAGAGTGTAATAAGGGGGCGGTATGGGAACTCGTAATAGGGGTCCCACGGGACTCTAGCGTTGGTAAGGTTCGACGGGGCACGGAGGAAGCGAGGCGGTGGTCTTCTTTAAAGAGAGAAGAGAACGGTGATATTGTATAGCAGTAAACGGCGTAGATACAGAAGACGTTGCGTAAAGAAAGAAGAAGGAAAAGAACAAGAAGTACAAACATCCCCCCTTAATATACTCAAGGAAATCCCAGCGATGACAAATCCAACATGACTCATACATTAACAATCAACAGAATCCAATAGAACTCAATAGAACCTTTCTGACTAATCCAACTCTTCGTAACCCCGTTCCTCCACTAGTCGATCCATGAAAGTAGCCCCTCCCTTCAAGCGCGAGCTCCTGCGAGCCTTAACCTTAATCTTGCCTTCCAACGGTCCAGGTTTGTCGGGGTAGTGTATATGGAAGATATCGACGGCGGCGGTATTGTCGTGGTATGCGGCAGGTTCCCAGGTGGGGTCGGTATAGCCTGTCCATTTAACAAAATATTGCAGGCCACTGTGCCGTGTTTCCCGCGAGTCCAAGATTTCCTCAACTGCATATTCCTCCTCCTGCTCGACGATAACAGGTGGGGGTGGTGGTTGAATTTGCCCCGGTACAGGATCGTTTGCAGCGGGGTCTAGCAATGATACATGGAAGACGGGGTGCATCTTCATACTCCTAGGCAGGTCGACTCGATACGCATATGGCGATATAATTTCTTTAATGGGGAACGGTCCCAGCTTCTTCCAGTCCAGCTTCCGGGAGTTCCGCGCGGTTCGGATGTTTTTTGCTGAAACAAACACCATATCGCCGATATCGTACCGTGGAGCCGGCGTTCGTTTAGTGTTGACGGCCTGCTCTTGTTGATCTTGCGCCGTGCGGATGTTGGAACGTAGGTACTCATGGAGTTCTTTCATCTTCGAGGCGAAGTCTTTAGCGTTAAGACTCGGTGGGGTCCTGTCGAGCGATTTAATCGTCACTGTGAAACGGGGGTGGAATCCATAGTTCGCGAAGAATGGTGTAGCTTTAGTGGATGCGGAGACCTGGTTGTTGGCGGAGAATTCTGCCATAGGAAGCCATTTTACCCAATCGTCCTGTTGGTAAGAAACATACCCACGTAGGTATTGCTCCATCACAGCATTCAGCCTTTCGGTTTGGCCGTCGGTCTCCGGGTGGAAGGCGGTAGACATCCTTGCTTCGATGTCGAGGTGTTTACACAGAGCCTTCCAAAACTTGGCCGTAAATTGCGTACCGCGGTCGGAGGTGACGTGTGTGGGTAGCCCGTGGAGCTTCCATATGTTTCGCAGGTATAGTTGGGCGACGTCTTCGGAGTTGACAGTTGTATTACAGGGGAGGAGATGTCGCATCTTCGTTAGCCGGTCAACAACTACCATAATTGCATCGTACCCTTCACTCTCAGGTAGGCCGGTAACGAAGTCCATTGATACCTCCCGCCATGGTTGTTCGGGAATCGGTAAAGGTCGAAGTACGCCGAGTTTTCCGTGGGTATTGGGCTTGCTTCGTTGACAGGTGTGGCAGTTCCGAACGTAGCGGGCAATATAATTACGCATAAGGGGCCAGTAGTAGTCTCGACTAACGAGTTCGAATGTTTTCTCGCGTCCCGGGTGTCCAGCAGAGGCAGCGTCATGGTAAAGTTGGAGGATTCGGAGCTTAAGAGGGTCGTAATCGGGGACATATATATTGCCTCGGTAAAGCAATCGGCCTTCGACCTCGGTGCATTCGGCGAGTGATATGTCCTTTGATTGTCGTTCACCTTTATTCCGCATATCCAGTACCTTTTGTGGAAACGGGTCAGTGCTGTATCCTTCATCGAATAGTCCATGCAGTGAGGCGTTCTTTTCAGCGGGCTCGTTTGAGAAAGAACCCGCCGACAAACTTAGCTTTGCATCAAAGTTCTCCTTCTTTAATACCACTTGACTCTGATGCAATTGTCTTTCATCCCCCTCTCCAGGGAGATCTCCTGATCTTCTTGTCAACGCGTCCGGTTTCCCTCCTTGTTTCCCTGGTCGGTACTTGATGACAAAATTAAACCGTGACAGATATTCTGCCCACCGTGCTTGTCTCCGGTTGAGTTGTTTGGTGCTCATAAAGTATTCGAGATTTTTATGATCGGATATAACGGCGATTGGATGTGCAGCTCCTTCAAGTTCCGGTCGCCATTCCTCAAAAGACCGAATAATTGCCAGTAGTTCCTTGTCGTAAATCTCGTAGTTGCATTCGGCGGGGGAGTGCTTTTTTGAGAAGTATGCGACAGGTCGAAGGGTACCATTGTCATCGTATTGGGAGAGTACACCGGCAGAGACATAGTCAGATGCGTCAGTTTCCACGGTGATTTCTTTCTCGGGGTCAAAATGAGTAAGAATGGGAGCCGTGGTGAAGGCTTCTTTCAGGGCGTTGAAGGCGGTTTGGGCTTCGGGTGTCCATCCAAATGATATATCCTTACGCGTCAGTCTGGTAAGGGGAGAAGCCAGTTCCGAGAATCCACGTATAAATCGGCGGTAAAAGTTAGCAAAACCTAGAAATGCTTGCACATCCTTAACTGTTTTGGGGACGGTCCAATTCTTCACTGTCTCCACTTTTCTCGGGTCCATTTTAATACCATTAGGTTCGATAATAAGGCCGAGATAAGTGGTGCTTTGTGTATGAAATTCGCATTTCTCCGGTTTCAACAGTACTCCATTTCTTTGTAGGGCTTCCAGGACTTTTTCGACGTGTATTTGGTGTTCCTCGAGGGTGTCGCTATAAATAAGAATATCGTCGAGGTAGGCCGTACAGAACATATCGAGGTAGTCGCGAACGCAATCATTGATGAAATGTTGAAAGGTGGCTGGTGCATTGGTAAGGCCGAAAGGCATCACCGTATATTCGAAATGCCCGTAACGCGTTCGGAAGGCTGTTTTCCATTCTTCACCCTCAGCCATTCGGATCTGATTGTACCCTTGGCGAAGATCAAGTTTGGTGTACCACTTGGCTTTAGAAAGGCGGTCGAGAGTTTCCCGAATAAGTGGCAGCGGGTAGCGGTTTTTGACAGTGAGTTCGTTGAGGCCACGATAGTCGACACAGAGGCGGAGTGTTCCATCGGCCTTTTTAACAAATAGGACAGGGGCGCCGGCAGGCGAAGAACTGGCCTGAATGAAGCCTTTTTGGAGGTTGTCCTGTATGTACCGTTTAAGCACAATAAGTTCCTCACGGGACATACCATAAAGTGGCCCAAAAGGGGGCTCTTTCCCTTCCTTAAGTGGTATCTTATGATCGTAGGGGCGGCGAGGCGGCATCTCGTTAGCGAATTTCTCGTCCATCATTTCATAAAACCTCTTATACTGGGTTGGGACTCGGGTTCTCCAGTCTTCCTTAGGGGCCTCGCCCATTGTTTGATCTATTTCCTCAATAGTTGTACAAAAGATTTGGAGTTTGTCCCTTCGAGCAAAGCGACAAAGAGCAGCTGAACTGACGAAGTGGAAACGGGGCGGTGGTGCAACCCCCTTGATGGGAACGGGTATCGCGGAAGAGTTGCACTTGCGTTTGCAGTGTTCGGAGTCGAACAGTATACTGTTGTCCTTAAACCGTAATGTAACGTCATGCAATTGGAGCCAGGGGATTCCGAGGACGAGTGGGTACGAGCCGAGTTTGGTAACAAAGAAGGGGATAGTTTCGTGGTGGGAGTCGATTGATAGTGGTAGGTAGCAGAGGTGGGTAATTTGTCCGGAAGATATGGGCCGTCCGTCAATGACTTCAAGAGTGCGGGGTGAATTAAGGGGGAGAAATGGGAAGTTGTTATGGCGCGCGAATGTTTCATCAATGAATGCGAATCCGGAGCAACCGGTATCAATCAATGCGTGAGTTTGAATGGATATTTTATTGTTTATAATTTTACAAGAAGCAACAAAATGATCCCCATCCAATTTATCCTCCACAGACGATACCGAGAAGCCAGAGATAGAAAACGCAGACAAAGGAGAAACATTGGGAGGTCCCGGGCAGGGGCCATTAATCAAGCCCGGGACTACTGAAAACCCGACTCAGAGGAGGCGGGACTAGCGACCGGTGGAACAGCGGGGTCGACGGCCGTATGACTGGGTGCGAGGAGGGCGCCCCTCATAACCGGTTGATTACCACGCGGACGATTTGCAGAGGGGCAGTTGGCAAAGACATGACCGGGGTTAGCGCAGTACATGCAGAGGTTGTTGTCCCTTCGCCATTGTTTTTCCGCGGCAGAGGTTTTACGTTGTCCATTGACAAAAGTGTATCGTTGTTCGATGGCAGGACGTTGAGTGGGACGGCTTTGGAGAGCGGAGAGGTCCATTGGGGCGAGGCCTCCGGCGGTGTGAGATGGATGTGCGACAGCAGCGGGGGCGGTGAATTGTCCCATCGTATTCCGGATGGCCCGTTGTTCAGCTTTACGGCCCCGAACCTGGTTATCAATTGTCATCAACATGGTGGCATAGGCCTCGACGGTGTTAGGCCTATCCGTCCGGTATGTCATGGCGTCCTTCAGATCTTCCGACAGTCCTTCGGCCAGGGCATCGATCTTGGCTCCTTCGTTGTAGTCCAGGTATGCCACGATACGGAGGAACTGCGAGTAATAGGTGGCGAAGTCCCCTTTACCTTGCTTCAGGGCAACGAGCTGGCGACGGGCGGTACCCCGGGGGTCTGGGTCTCCAAACGAAGCTTCCAGATGGGCAACGAAGGCAGTGACGGAGGAGAAGGGGGCGGCAGGGTTAGCGTTAACGAGTGGAACGACCTGGTCAAGGGCCCTTCCTTCCAAGCGACTGACGGCATAAATAACCTTTGCTGCCTCGTTTCGGAACCGATCGTGGTTGACTTCAAGTTTCATTCGAAGTTGGGTGGTGAATCCGGGGAGCTTGGTGCGGGTGCCGTCGAATTTTTCAGGGTCTGGAAACTTTTCAGACCTGAAGGCGGGGACAGGAGCAGGTGGGGGAGCAGCGGCAACGGGGACAGCGACGGTAGGGGCGGAGGCAGCGCGGGCGACATTGAGGTCGAGGTTGAGCCGGTTTATTTGCTCCTCGAGGTTGTCAATGGTTTCGTTGGCGGCGGTGAGTTGTGTATGAAAGGTGTCCCTTTGGAGGCGGACGCGCTGGACGAGGGTGGCGATGTTGTTGAATAATTCAGTAGAGTCGGCCTCATACATCTGCCTGAATCCTTCTACATCGTTGGGTGCAGCCCATACAGGTGGGTCGGAGGTGGACATGTCGTACGGTGCGGATGACGACGCAACGTAATCTCAAGGGGGTGAGTAGCGAGTATTCCGCAGGGTACGAAGAGTGTAATAAGGGGGCGGTATGGGAACTCGTAATAGGGGTCCCACGGGACTCTAGCGTTGGTAAGGTTCGACGGGGCACGGAGGAAGCGAGGCGGTGGTCTTCTTTAAAGAGAGAAGAGAACGGTGATATTGTATAGCAGTAAACGGCGTAGATACAGAAGACGTTGCGTAAAGAAAGAAGAAGGAAAAGAACAAGAAGTACAAACATCTCCCCTTAATATACTCAAGGAAATCCCAGCGATGACAAATCCAACATGACTCATACATTAACAATCAACAGAATCCAATAGAACTCAATAGAACCTTTCTGACTAATCCAACTCTTCGTAACCCCGTTCCTCCACTAGTCGATCCATGAAACCTCGCTACTTCCCTTGAGTCCACTTCTTTGGTTGTTGGTATCAAATGTCGCATTTTGGTTAACCTATCAACCACGACCAAGATTGCATCATATCCCTCACTCTCAGGAAGATCGGTAACAAAATCCATTGACACATCCGTCCACGGTCCATCAGGTATTGGCATCGGACGAAGTACTCCATAAGGTGCATTTCGGGGCGCCTTGCTACGGGTGCACACATTGCAATTCCCAACATATTGATCGACGTATCTTTGCATCTGTGGCCAATAATATTCTCGACTTAGGAGTTCTAAGGTTTTCGCTCTACCTGGATGACCTGCCGATAGTTTGTCATGGTGTTCTTTTAGGAGCCTTAGCCGAAGATCATTATCCTCTGGTACATATAATGCACCTCGATAAAGTAGCCGACCGTTGTTATCTTCCGTACATTCGGCAAGCGAAATTTTATTCGAGTGGCGAACGCCATTCCAAAGCATGGTGAGGATCTTATTTGGAAAACTATCAACTTGGTAAGCTTTTGAAAATAACTCCTCTACAGTGGACGCTCCTTCAGCGGATTCATTTGACAAAGAACCCGCGAACAAACTTAGCTTTGTACTCAAATCTTTTCGCTTCAAAATCACTTGACTCTGATGCGTCAACCGTTCATCCCCCTCTTTAGGTAGATCACCTGATCTTCTAGTCAATGCATCTGGTTTCGCTCCCTGTTTTCCTGGCCGAAATTGTATAACGAAATCGAAGCGTGAAAGGAATTCGGACCAACGGGCTTGTCGACGATTTAATAATTTTGTTGTCATAAAATATTCAAGATTCCGATGGTCGCTAAAAAATTCAATTGGGAATTGAGCTCCCTCCAAGTAATGTCGCCATTCTTCAAAGCATCGTATAATTGCTAAAAGTTCTTTGTCATAGATTTCATAGTTTCATTCTGCAGGAGAATGTTTTTTGGAGAATAAAGCAACTGGAGGTAGGATTCCTTCGTCATCACGTTGAGATAGGATTCCTGCTGAAACATAATCAGATGCATCGGTTTCTATCACAATCCTCCGATCCGGATTAAAATGAACTAGTGTCGGTGCCGTTGTAAACATCTTTTTCAAAGTTTGAAATGCTTCCTCCCTGTCATCCGTCCATTCGAATTTAACATTTTTCTTGGTCAAAGCTGTAAGTGGAGCAACAATTTTCGAATATCCTAGAATGAACCGTCGATAGAAATTTGCAAATACTAGAAATACTTGAACATCATGAAGGTTCATCGATGTAGACTATTCCAAAACATCGATAACTTTCTTTGGGTCCATTCTATTCCCATTCGGGGTAAGGATTAAACCAAGATATTTCGTTTCCTGAACCATAAATTCACATTTTTTAGGTTTAAGGTGAACATGATTCTCATCAAGTACCTTTAGAACCTTTCGAATGTGTTCTTTATGTTCCGATAGAGTCTCGGAGTAGATGAGGATATCGTCTAAGTATGCTGTTACGAATTGGTCGAGATAAGGACGTAAGATATCATTGATCCAATGTTGAAATGTAGCAGGGGCATTAGCTAATCCAAACGGCATTACTGTATATTCAAAATGTCCATATCGAGTCCGAAATGCCGTCTTCCATTCGTACCCCTCCGCTATTCTAATCTGGTTATATCCCCAACGCAAATCCAACTTGGTATAATATTGTGCTTTTGACAACTTGGCTAGGGTTTCCTTTAACAGTGGTAACGGATATCGATTTTTGATTGTAATTGCATTTAGACCTCGATAGTCAACACAAAGTCGAAGGGTTCCATCGTTCTTCTTCACAAATAATATAGGTGCTCCCGCTGGTGACTCACTAGCCCGAATAAATCCTTTAGGTAAATTTTCATCAAGATATTCTCGTAGTGCTTTCAACTCGATTTGAGACAATCCATATATAGGTCCATATGGTGGTCGTTTGCCTTCTTCTAACACTATTTCAATATCATGGGACGGCCGATGTGGTGGAAGGATTGAAGCGTCATATTCTTTGAACATATGGAGACGATGTTGAAACTCCTTCGGTACTAGTTTTTGGATGTCGACGGTAGATTTTTCAATTGCTGAAACGATGACTGTATGGTATTCTGGTAAGGGAATCGAGATTCCATGAACGATAATTGCAGTTCCGCTAAGTGAACAGTGTTGGCAACAGCTCCGAGAGTCAAAGACAAGTAGATTTTCCTTTGGTCGAATCGTAACATCATGACGTCGCATCCAAGGTATTCCCATCACAATCGGATAGTGTCCTAACTTCGTCACAAAACATGGCGCAGTCTCCTGATGACCATGAATGTCCAGCGAGACATCGACAATATGGGTAATTTTTCCTGATTTGATAGGCCTTCCGTCTATAACATCTACATGGCGAGGTATTTTAAGGGGGGTCATTGTAAGATTATTGTGGCGTGCAAAAGATTCGTCAATAAAAGCGTATCCTGATGCTCCGGTATCAATAAGAGCGTAGGTGGGGATGAAAGAGTTTTTATTCTGTGAAATCGAACAAGTTACTACAAGTTGATTCCCATCCATTTCCTCCTCTGATACCGAAAAACCAGAAATACACATGCTAGAAAAATTTCTTAAACGGTCCCTGAGCTAAGCCACTTAGTGCAGGGACAAATCTTTTGCCGACTCGTTATCGCTTCCATCATTTTCCTCCACCGTCAATGCTGCTCCTCTCATTACAGGCCTTCTTGGTTGATTTCCAGTTGCCCTCGCTTGGGGACAATCCCTAACCATGTGTCCAACACCTCCGCAATAGAAACATCGGCCCTCAACTAAGCGGGCATTTCTTTCGGCACGGGAGGGGCGACGACGTCCTCCAGACAGATCCATTGGTACATCGCCTCCCGGGCGGGATGAGGGATGACTTTCAGTAACAGGTACATTGGCGACTGGGGCAGCAGCATGGGGAGCAGGAACAGGATTTACTGGTGGGGGACGAGGGGCCGAAGTAGTAGTAACATTCCAAGGTTTTTTACTTCCTCGTTTAGCTTCTGCCGCTCGACGGCGATTATCCAACCGTTGCAAAAGTGTCGCACAGGCATTTACCGTCGCAGGAGTTTCATGGTGTATCATTGATTCATCGAGTTCCGCATTAATACCTTCCATCAAAGCCTCAATCCGAGAGACTTCATCCATACCCGACTCAGCAGCATACCGTTGAAACTCAGCGAAAGAGTCGGCGAACGTTCGATTTCGTTGACGGATGTTCCGGAGGTTCCTCCTAGCCGTGCGCATCCGATCGGGGTCCCCAAAAGCAGTGTCCAAAACTTCATAAAACCGTAGCATAGAGGGCAAGGTAATACCTCCTTCCCCGACATACTGTAAGAACTGATTGGCAGCAACGCCTTCCAATCTGCTGAACGCATAGGATAATTTCGACTGTAGGGTGGGATAGCGATCGGCATTTCCCAATAGCTTGATTTTCATTTGTTGCTTAAATAGGTGTAATCTTTCTCGATCACGATCCCCCCTGAACACCTCAGGATCCGGAAGCTTTTCCGACCGATAGGTAGTATCTGTAGCGGGTGGTATTGGGGGTGCAAGTGGAGCATTGTCCTCAACGGGTGCTCCCTCAGGGGTAACAGCTTGGACAGCAGTCTGTTGGGTTCGGGCAGCAGCAAGATCTCGTTCAAACATTCTTCTTGCCCTCTCAGCCTCCGCTTCTACCTCTTGTAAATCCGTTGCATATTGAGCAAGACCATGTTGGCACTGTTGGAGAAGCGCATAGAATTCGGCTCCAACAACTTCATCGACCTATGGGTGCGCTTGAAAAAAGGTTCGGAGGTTATTGTTGAGTTGTTGATAATCAATAGGTGCATGTTCCGACATTGTAAACTATGGTATTGTATTGGTTGGCGATAGAGGACGCAACCTACGTATCACGGGGACTATAGGCGATGGACTATGATGCCAAGGAATACAACCGAAGCGAGAACGTAGTAGAAGAGATTCGTGACTATGGACTATGAGGTGGTTCAATCCTGATCCGAGATCCAAGATGAGCCCTATGACGTAGCGTAGAACAAAAGTAATATTCGTGGAATAAATACAGAGAGAGAGAGAGAATCTTATATTGCTTAGAAGCCGAAGCTTATCGCACACCTAACTACCCGACTACAACCTCCACCGACTAACCCGAAGAAAAAAACAAAGTACAAAAACTAACTACCGCAGCTACGAGAACTACGTACATGATAAGAAAAAACAGCGCACGAAGAGGGCGCGAATAACAAGTGGTACAGGTAAGCAGAATCTAAGCGACAACAAAGAAACCTTCCCGCAGTAAGAAAGAACCCCAAACTTCTCCGTCAACTACATATAAGCGAGCACGATCCTAAACATGGTGTTCAACCGAAACGGTATCATTACCAACGTCTCCGGTGTCATATCTGTGGACGAACCTTAACAGGACTGGGAAACCACGCGCACAAAGGCAGGAAAGGCCAACCGCAACAGCGTCAGGTGTGAAAGCGAGGGGGGGTGGGTCGAATGTGGGTCCTCGGGCATCTGGTTGTCAGGCAGCGAGGAGTTGAGGAGTGGTGACCGGTAGGTCAGATAAGAATGGGTGGGGTCGTCGGTCCCAGGAGCAACGGCTAAAGACTGTGCCCGAGTCGTGTTTGAAGTGGTGTCCTCTGGAGGGGACATGCAAAGAGGGTTGAGTCTGAGACTCAGTATGTATGGGGGTCGCAATCGAAAGTGCCGACCGTATTGTGTTGAGGGGTGGTCTCGGAGACCGGTTGGGTTGGGGTGAGGGGAGCGGGCCGCCTCGGGTAAGAATGGGTTGCCTGGTTAAGGCCGATAGAGAGTGGTAAGGTCACGGGACCTCGGGTAAAAAATTTGACGATAGTTTCGCGACCGAAGGGTCGCTAACTTCGCGGGCTGTCGAGCGCTTTGGCAGTAGGTTCTCGCTGACTGGAGATTACTGACAGTGTGCGTACCCGACGTGTGGGATCACTCGTGCGATGAGTGAAAATAAGGAGGGGCGAAGACGGCTTTCGAGAGTAGCCGTTATTTTGGCGAGGGGTGAACGGTGGACGCATCCCGTGAGGGCACCGAACGAACAAAGAAGGGGGGTGTCGAGCGAGGGAAGTTCAGGGACCGAAGCAATTCGAGAATCAGTATAACTCCATCTCGGGGGGGAAGAAATCCATCGCGAGCCAGAGGCGAGCGAATGAATACAGAAGAAGAAGAGGAAACTTATATTGCTTTGAAGTACAAGACTTATCGCACGCCAAACCGACCGCCTAAAAACAAAACCGAACCGAGACGAAAGGAAAAACAACGACCAACAAACACAAACACAAACAAAATAAAACAAAGCAAGAACAAGAACAAAACGAACACGAACAAAGACAAGAAGATTCAAGAGCAACACACGACCCAGAAACCCAACGACAAGGAGAAATAACATATCTCAGCGGACTCGGGCGCTGGATCCATCAAAGAGACAAATAAACAAAATAAAAGGTAAAAAGGAAACTACCCTTCCTAATCCCGTCCCTAATCATTTTCTTCCATCCCCTCCTCCAGGTCCGCCTCCGCCTCCGCCGACTCGTACCATTTCGAGAGTTGAGATTTCTTTGCAAAGTGTAGGATAAGGTCCGTATCCAGGTTTGTGAACATCCAGTTTTCCCAGGTCATCGCTCCGGGAATTTTTTCAATCAGGGGGGCGCGGATTCGAGCCCACGCTGGGCATTCCATAAGTATATGTTTCGCTGAGTTTTCCATACCACATTGGCATGGTTCGAGGTCTGTATGTGCTGCGTGTTTATCGATTCGGGTGGTTTGGCATCGGATTCGAAAAACTTTCTTTGCTTCTGTAAGGGTGAGTTTTGCGATCTTGGGAGGGGGGCGGAATTCCCCCCGATGGTGGTAGTTAGGTATTGGTTGTGTATTCCATTCTTTTAGCAGGTGGTCGCGTGATAGTTTGTTTTGGTTCCACTTGTCTCTCATGTTTCCGGGGGTTTGGTATGGAAGTAAGAGGGAGGCAATTCGGTGTAGGCCTGTCCCTTTGATATTTGCCTCTCTGTATGGGAGCAGCTCGATCAGGGATTCGTTATTGGGATGGGTTGCGTTGGTGCAGAGTATTCTGGTTCCGTACTTTCTTGAACGGTATGTCAGAAGGTGTTCTAGGAGGGGTAGGCCTGCTTCTCGGAGGAGTTTAGCTCTCTTGGTCCATCGTGGTAGGCCAATGATGACCCGGGCAGCTTCATTGTATAGTGGTTCGAGGGATCTTATAATGGGGTCTGCACCAGTCCACCAAGCCTCGGATCCGTAGAGCAGGCTTGGAAGGAAGCCTTGTGTTATTAGGTGGTGGATTGTCTTAACGGTTATGCCTGGCAGGCGGGCAGTGTTCCGGATTTGGTGAAGGGCTTTAAGGCCTTTTGCGATTGCTGCTTCGATATGGGGCCGGAAAGAGAGGGTCGGATCTGTCCAGACTCCTATATATTTCAGCCTCTCCTTGGGGTATGTAGTGGTGTTGTTAATTTTGACTGGAAGTCGTGGTTGTTGTATGGATGATGTGGTGGGGCGGAAGAAGATCAGGTCAGATTTATCCGGATCGTATTTAATTTGGAGTGGCTCGGCTTTTATTAGTCTTTCTCTCATGCGTTCCTCCATTCTTTTGATTATGAAGCCTGGTGTTTTGGATATTTGCACCAGCGCATCATCATCGATGTATGTAGTGTCCATCTCTTTCGGGCTGCTTGTTGGGTCCAGAATTACTCCGGCATAGATCATAAATAGCACCGGGGACATGAGGCTGCCTTGCGGTACTCCAGATTCGTAGGGCTGTGGTTCCTCTAGCTCGTGGTTAAATTGGAATTGTAGTTTTCTGCCGGTGTTGAATTCCTTGCACTATTCTGTTAGATAGGTGGGGAATTTTTGCTGGTGCATGATTTCTGCGAGGAGTAGGTGGTCTACACAGTTGAATGCTCCCTGGATATCGTTGGTTAGGATCGCTGGTCTGTCCCGCCGGGCGACTCCAGTGCTGTTTTTCAGTAGTAGGTTTTGTTGTATTGGTGTTAGGGTTCTTAAGAGGGCGTCGATTGCTGAGATGGTTGGTCTCCCCCCAAATTGATTCGCGGTGAGTGTGCCTAAGATTTCCCCGGAGGTGCAAAGTCTTTGAGCCACTATTTTCTCCAGGATTTTGCTGAAGCATTGTAGAAGGGATATGGGCCGGTAGGCTTTTGCTTCGTGATAGTTTGCTTTGCCGGGTTTCGGGATCGGGATGCATTTTGCTATTTTCCATTCCGCTGGGTGTACTCCGTGCCGAAGCCTAGCGGAGAACATTTCTTGGATCAGAGTTGTGTTTGCCTTGATTATTGCTTTGATAAAGGTATAGGGAATGCCATCTGGGCCGGTCGCCGAGTGCACTGGGCAGGAGTCAATTGCTTTTTTGAGTTCTTCGGGGGTGACTATGTCAAAAGTGTCGCGAAGGTCAAAAGAGGGGGGTCTAATGTTTAGGGGGGGGTGGTCGGGGGACGTCCGTTTTGTGGGGAAGAGTTGGGCTCTTAGAGCTTGGC